TTCTCTTTTATTTTTGTATCGATTTCATGTAAATATCTTTTATGTTATTTTTATTCAGGTGCAACTTCATTTATCCCTACTTTATTAAGCACATTATTATGATTTGTACAGAAAAGATAAAGAAAAGTGAGAAAATGAGGCATTATGAACTTTGTCGTTGATATAATCACTCTCAATTTACAGTCACAAAATGGTTTAGAATTGTTTTGATTGAGAGGTTTTGAAGAGGAGAGTAAAATTTATATTTTAAATAAATATTTTTTAAATTAAAAATATAAATTAATATATTAACATAAACTTAATATATTAATAATGTATTTATCTATTATAAATAATATATAATTTTTAATTTAAAATTTAAAAATATGTACTCTCTTTAAAAATCACTTTCCAAACATGCCTAGGGCCAGAAATCATTTGCACTCCCTTTTTTTACCCCTGAAATCGTTGCCTATGGGCTGCATCTGAAAGGGCTCTGTGTTTTTCGGCCCATGGGCTTGTCCCTACCATTGTTGGTCGCTTATTTGAATGATTTAGCTTTCTTTATATTTAATTAATATTTTTTTTCTAAAGTCAGAAATTATGAAATTCAAAAGTTAAATACTAATCTCTATTTGTGATTCATTGCTATTATTAACTTGAAAGAATTTAATTTATATAGTTTTTTGATTTTCTTCTGCTTAATGCTCTGTTTGTCATAAGAGAAAATAGTAAAGAAAAAAATTTCTAATGGAATTTTTTTAGTTTGAAAAAACATAAAAATAAACGCTAAAGAAACAATTTATTTGAAACGTATACCAAAATTCTTTCTCTCTAAATTGTCTAGAAAATAAAGGAGAGAAAGAGATAAATATTTTATTCCTTTTTTGGTCTTATTTTGTATCTTTTATACTTTCTATTAAAGCGTTTTTAAAGTAAAGTATATAAATATATCATAAGAATATATGACAGCGATTCCAACAAACAATAATTTAGATTAGGTTATGAAAAAGTTTCTATAATGTAATCCAACATACACGTGCTATTTTTATTGAATCACATATTATCTTGTGAACTAATGACAATTCCCCATCAAAAGTAAAAAAAAAAAAAAGAAAGAAGAAATCCTTTTAAAATATAAAAATCATTATAATAAATTGTCTTTTTTATAAATTTATATATATAAATTAAAAATAAAACATAATTAGCTTGTTACATAAATATCTGTCGAATATGTGACTTTATTGATAATCCTCTCTTATATTGGACGTTAGTTTTAAATGAAAAAAAAAAAAGAGTTAAAAGGGACTGATAGAGAACATGCTGAGTACAGAAACTAGCAAGAAAAAAAGTGGCCAAGTTAAATTTTAGACATCAGAGAACTTTCTTGGAAAGATGATGGCAGAAAGCACAACATTAATTCGATAATGCAGACAACATTCAATTTGCTAGGTTTAATTGTATGTCTTTCAAGCACCAATATTAATCGGATACAAGTTGATAATTAATGCTTAAAGAATCTGCAGTGTTAAAGCTGACACCATCAACATAATCATTAATCAACATAAAGCAAAACACAAAAGTTTTTCTTTGAGGCTACCCAACACACAAATCTTATTTAGTTACAACAAGGAAACAAACATTTATCTTTTTAGTCCCATTTTTTGAAGCAGTTGAGGCATCATGTTGGTACTATGGTAAAACAAATAGACTATAATGATAAGAAGAATTTGGGTGTTTCTTAAGTTAACCTTAAAAACAAGGTTGATGGATATATTAATCGTTCGAAATGGGATGCTTGTTTGGTGCAATGATTAATATAAAAACTACTTCTTTAATTATGCTGAGCTAATAAAAAGCATAATCACTATGCTTTTATTGATGCAAGACGGCTAAAAGAAGAAAGCTCCAATATGATGGTCATGTAAGAGTGGGAAGATGAGAGGCAAGGGAAGAGACAAAAAGAGAATAACAATTCTTATTGTGTACGCTGTATTTTTATTTATTTTTTTAAATTAAAAGTTGTATGCATTAATTCATTTTCTAATAGAAAGGATGCATTTTAATGTTTAAATTTGTTGTTCTATATTTGTTATTGTAATAATAATATATATATATATATATAAACAGAAAAAGCATTTAATAATAATAAAATATTTAATATAATATACTACTTAATGTTTTTACCCGATCTTGCAATAAAAAAAAAGCCTCAAAATAATATTGCGTTTAACACGTGAAACGTTACTTGTAAACATCATTCTTTCTTATTATAATGTAAATTTTCTAAAAGTTTTACTGTCAATAAACAAAGAAGGAAGAAGAATGGCATAAAAAATATTATATAAAATTATTTTCATGTGATTTTTTTAACTAATATTAAATAATAATGTAACTAATAAAATAATAATGTCACCCACTATTATATATGAAATTAACGTAATGCCCACAACTTTAATTTAGTCAATCTTCAACTAATTCATTCACTTCGTGACCAGTGAGTTTTTTTCTCTCTTTCTTGAGAGTCATTTGTAAATCAACTAATACTAGAATGTTCGGTTATTATTTTCAAATCTCTCAAACAATTTCAAAGATAGAAAAAAAAACACTTTATTAATTAGCCAAAGATAGAAATTTAAAAGGTATATTTAAGAATGAAATTTGTGAATATGAAAAAAATACCAAAGTTAAAGAATGAGTTGAATTAACTAATGTCTTTAGAGTATATATATATATATATATATATATATATATATATATATCTTTATAACATGTTAAGTAATTTAAGTCTAATTCACTTTTAAAAGTTAATTTATAAAAAAAAAAACTACACAAGTTTTCATAAGAACTAATATGACTCTTTTTTATTAATGTAAAATGTCTTAAACAGAAGTGATTTTAAGAGATAAAATTCTGATGTTTAATTAGATGATCAACACATAAGCATTAATTGTGGATAGAAAGTCCTCTCCTTCAACATCTTATTACATTTCAGAAGACACTTTTTTTAACACACTTTTATTACATTTCACATATTGGGTATTGCTTGTTCATTAATTCATACTAAGACTGACATGTGTATCCAACATATAAAAGTCCATTGATGACGAACTCTCAAGCTGAATGGTGATGCAATTGCAAACCATGCCACGTAACCTTGTTGTGCTACTATCAATCTCTGTCTGTACATTTAAATTTATATAATTTTTACTACAACAAAAAGAAAACTAAGAAAAGAAAAGAAAAACTTATGTGATAAAATGATTATTGTAATAAAGAGATAAAAACAAGTTTCACTTTAATTTTTAATATTTTATTAATTTAATTTTATAAATTATTTTTTCAAGTCAAGGTAATTCTTTAACTTTTTCTAACTTAATAAAAGTTTTTAAATTGACTTTTGGACAATAATTTTTACTTGTTTTTAATTTCCTATGCATTTCCTTTCATGGAATTTGGATATCTATAAATTATTACCCTGACATACAAATATAACTATGAGGTAATCTTAGCATGAAGTGAGTTTAGTTAACAATGAAATTAATGTTTTACTTATAGGATTCGTCGAATGCCAATGAATTATTTGCTCAAGCACAACTTCATAATCTTAGCATTAAGTATGTTAACTATTAAATTTGTTGAAAGCCTCATGAAATGTAGTACCTAATAACTTAATTTTTTTTACTTTTAAATATAATGTTAAGTATAAAATGCGTGACACTAACACATTTTTTAACACACTTTTCACTAGATAAAATTTATTAAAAATTACAAAAATGAGATGTGTTTTACTCTTTTATATTTTTTAGTAAATTTTATCTAATAATAAAAATTATATTAAAAAAAATATGTCAAAGAGTATAATATTAACCTTCTCGAAAGTATAAACTAAGTACTTCCTTGACTTTTGTCAATTCAATAAAAAGAAATTTCAACAATCAAAATCAAAGCCATAGTGGAGTAAGATTTATTAGACTGAACATCATATCCAATTAAAAGATTTGGACAATCAAAGCAATATGGGAGTAAGATTCATTAGACTGAGCTTTTAATTGTGTAGACCCACGAGAGTTATGTTTATGTCTTTTGTTACAATATATTTAGCTATATGTTATTATTTGTGTAATAAAGAGTCCAACTACTCACTGTTGTCCACCGTCTAGATTCATGGATACCAAAGACTATGAAACTTAAAACTGTGTTGTATGAATATGTATTATTAAGATCATGAAAATGAGATGACGTTGATAGCATGGAAGATGAAATCGAATCAATATGGCTTCCTATATCTTCACGTAAAATATTATATCATTGGATAAGATAAAAACAAAAGAAGATATAAACACAACTAACTCATTTGCATGAAGTTGCCCTATATATTCAACCTATTTGGTTACGTTTTTTAAATATATTTTTTATTTAATATTTTTAAGAAATATATAAAAATGTATATATTTCTATATTTTAAGAAAGCTTGTATAATTATATTATTATATTTTTAAGCATGTTTTGTTTAAAAAACAAACAAATGGACATGTATATTTACATAGACAAACCATGCTTACAAATATAGAAAGTAAACAGATTAGTAAAGTGCACATATTATTCTTATATCATCAGGCATAACAATATTAAATTTCACGATCAGAATTGTTACTCCAAAATGTATTGTTACTTCTATTTAAAACTAATAATTATATTTAAATAAAAAATTAAATAAAAATTAACACATATTTTAAAATGCTAATGGATTCTCAAACTCTTAACGTGACATTATAATGAAATATTGTATTTATCTTTTTTTTTCAATAAACAATATATAATTAAAACTTCTCAATCATTTATTAAGCGATAAATAAGCACAATATTTCAACACAATTGATAAAAAAAAAGGATTATTTTTTAATGCATGAAATTCTTTCTCTGTCGTGCTTATGCAGTGCCCTGCAGCCCTATCACATAAGTAATTGGTATTTGGCACTGCGAGGAGTACAAAAATCGTTTAATCACCAATCAAATTCACTATAACGTCGAACCGTATTAACTCGATCTGGACCCACCATCACAAACAACACCCTTCACCCAATAACCACACCTTCTATAATTCCTGATAAGTTTCTGTTCATTTCTCGGGAAAATCAGAGATACTGTAACCAATAATCACGCTACTTCGATGCCCATTTCCCACAAAATACAGAGACAGGAACCTTTTTCTGTTTCTTTTTTGTTCCTGAGCTCACCGAGCTACCCAATGTGATTTCGATTCTGAAGGTTTTCATTTTCACCTAAATTTTCAATCTTTGAGAAAAGTAACGCGACCCCAGCTGCTTTTATGAGCCAAATTTGAATTAAAAGCTGAAAAAAGTGATAATTTTTCTCTAGGGAATCTGGGTTTGAAGTGAGTAACGTTTTCTAGAACATGTCTTTGATTCGAAGGAGAAAAGGGTCGGAAGCGGAAAAGGGTGATAGGCAGAGTTCAGAACCGAAGGTTAAAGATGAGAAGATTGAAGAAGAAGAAGCAGGAGGAGGAGATGATAAGAAGAAGAAGAAGCAGAAGAAGGTGATGGGTCAGAAGAGGAAGTGGTCGTGTGTAGATAGCTGTTGTTGGTTGGTGGGTTGCATTTGCACGATGTGGTGGTTTCTTCTGTTTTTGTATAAGATGATGCCCGATTCTATTCCTCAGTATGTGACCGAGGCCTTTACTGGGCCCATGCCAGACCCACCAGGCCTCAAACTCAAGAAGGAAGGCCTCACTGTGAAGCACCCTGTGGTCTTTGTGCCAGGGATTGTCACTGGTGGCCTTGAACTTTGGGAGGGTCATCAGTGTTCGGAGGGGTTGTTCAGGAAGCGCTTGTGGGGTGGTACCTTTGGTGAAGTTTACAAAAGGTATGAACAGTTTTGATTGTGCTTGTTTTTATTTGTTTTTGTGATCTTAATTTGATAATTGATGGTGATGGTTGGATGTGGCTAGCCTGGTTTGTTATGCTAGCTAAGTGGTTTATGGTGTTGGGATGTTTTTATGTTATGTTTTTTTTGGTTGGTGATAACAGGTTGTTGAAGTGGTCTTGATTAGGTAATGTTTGATGATGCTTGGAGGGTAAAATTGTGATATGTTATGTCACTCTAGTTTCAGTTTGTTGGATGGATTTGTCAACTTGTTTCCATTATTGGTGGAGTAATTGGAAGGAAGTAATGAATTGAAAAAGGAACTTCCCTTTTATGGTCTTGCTTGTTGACTGATCATGAGATTGCCTGAGATGGTTAAGTTTTTCACTTTTGAGTTATTTTTTTGTGTATGTATTGACTTGTCGTAAGAAGGTTTGTTCTCGGACTCTGTCCTTTTGGATAATGTGAAGTCAGGTCATTATTTTCCTAAAAACCTTTGACTCTCGGAAAAGATATTTTCAAGTGCTGTGCCTAACCTTGAACATGTTTAAACATGTTAAGTGCTGATAGTGAGTGTTTGTTTAAATTTTGGTCTAGATAAGGCATATAAGGTAGTTCACCATCACTTGATGTTTTCTGAAATGTGCATACTCCGGTGGGAGTAATACCTGCATAGGCACTGTTGCATTCTTTATCTACACTTCTGATACTTGTAACTATCCTGTGGACCTAGAAATGGTGGGGAACTGGGATAATGAATTAAGTGTGCTTGAAAACATGTTGAAAAACCTATAAACGTAGATCCAACACAAACACTACAACTAATAGCATTGGAGTAAATCTGAATCTGTACTAATTCAAATGTGAATCCAAACATGCTATTAATCTTGTTTCTTTATAAATCTTTTGCAGACCTTCATGCTGGGTAGAGCACATGTCACTGGACAATGAAACGGGATTGGATCCACCTGGCATAAGAGTCAGGCCTGTCTCTGGACTTGTAGCTGCTGATTACTTTGCTGCAGGATACTTCGTGTGGGCAGTCCTAATTGCTAATTTGGCACGCATTGGTTATGAGGAAAAAACAATGTACATGGCTGCATATGATTGGAGATTATCATTTCAGAACACAGAGGTATTCTTTAAAGTTTTAATTTTCCTGGAATTGTTATGTCTCAGCCAAAGATCTATATTCTTGCACCTGTAGGAAGTGGAAAAGAAGAACTATGATACATATTTAAAATTGCTGAATCTTTCTTTTTCCCAAATATTAATAAATTAATTGATCAGGTGAGGGATCAAACACTAAGTCGGATAAAAAGCAACATAGAACTTATGGTTGCTACTAATGGTGGGAATAAGGCAGTTATTATTCCACATTCAATGGGTGTGTTGTACTTTCTTCATTTTATGAAATGGGTTGAAGCACCAGCTCCAATGGGTGGTGGAGGAGGACCAGATTGGTGTTCCAAGTATATAAAGGCGGTTGTAAACATTGGTGGACCATTTTTAGGTGTTCCCAAGGCTATAGCAGGGCTTTTCTCAGCTGAAGCCAGGGATATTGCTGTTGCCAGGTAAGTTTTCTTAATGATAGGATCAGTTACTATGTAGCAAGTTGGTGATGACTTAATGAGTTTAGCATGCTTCAACAGTATTATACTCACTCCAGCTAAGAATATTTAGATCAGCTCTTATGCTATTAGATACCCTTTTAAGATATCTCTTATATTTTCCTCTTTTAAAAACTTCTTTTAATTACAGATTTTGCTCAGTAAACAATCATGTCCAACATTGTCTGCTTGTCCTTGTACCGATATGTATTAGAAAAAGCAAATTCTGATTGCATCTGGCAGCCATCATATGTTTTTTTAGCCAACAGCTCAATATCTTAAACTAAATTTGGTTCTTTCTTGTTGTATATCAAGGACAATAGCTCCGGGATTTTTAGATAATGATCTGTTTCGCCTTCAAACCTTGCAACATGTAATGAGGATGACCCGCACTTGGGACTCAACAATGTCAATGATACCAAAAGGAGGGGACACTATATGGGGTGATCTTGATTGGTCACCAGAAGAAGGTTATGTTCCTAACAAGAGAAAACAAAACTGTAACAACAATACTCAGTTGACTTGCCAAGAGACAAATAAAACACATGCTGTTAACTATGGAAGAATGATATCATTTGGCAGAGACGTGGCAGAGGCACCATCCTCTGAAATTGAGATGGTCGAGTTCCGGGTTAGCATATTTTTAACATTGAATCTTGAAATTGTTGCAGTCTTGTATGCTTACTCCTTCTATTACCACATATCTCAGGTTCCTGAATATATTACGTTTATAGTTAATAGTTGTTCTTTTAACAGGGTGCCATTAAGGGTCACAATGTTGCAAATACCTCTTGTCATGATGTGTGGACTGAGTACCATGACATGGGATTTCAGGGAGTAAAAGCAGTTGCAGAACATAAAGTTTACACAGCTAGCTCAATCATAGATTTGCTTCATTTTGTTGCTCCAAAAATGATGGCTCGTGGTAATGCTCATTTCTCTTATGGAATTGCTGACAATTTGGATGATCCTACATATAATCACTACAGACATTGGTCAAACCCCTTGGAGACCAAGTAAGAGTTTTTAGTTCCTTTCTTCTATCAGTTTATTTGAATTATTATTATTCTTTATACATTTCTGAATTAAATGCTATGGTGGTAGTTCTCCAAAACTTTTTAGCTCCCTCAATGTGGCACGTTTATTATATTCTCAAATTTTTGAGTTGGTCTATTGGTTGACACTGTCTTAATAACTTGTCATGTATATTTGACTACTCTTTGTTTTTTTTTTTTGGATTTTGTTAACCACAGCCATTAGAGCTGGGTTTAAATATTCGAAAGTAGCAAGTTTCCATTGAAAGAACACATTTGTTATATTAAATTTATAAAAATATAATAAATACTTTTTTTTTCAATAAAATATTACTATTATTAGTTGTTTTAGTCTTTAGAGTTAAGGTTAAGATTTTTTTTTTTCTTTGGCTATTCAGTTTATGCCTTTTGCTACTCTAAAATAATTGCAGGTTACCAAATGCTCCTGACATGGAAATCTTCACCATGTATGGAGTTGGCTTACCAACCGAAAGAGCTTATGTTTACAAGTTAACTCCCTTTGCCAAAGGAGAGTGTTACATTCCCTTTGAAATTGATACAACAGCAGATGGTGGCAGTGATGAAGATAGCTGTCTGAAGGGTGGAGTGTACACTGTTGACGGGGATGAAACTGTGCCAGCTCTAAGTTCAGGCTTCATGTGTGCTAAAGCTTGGCGCGGAAAAACAAGATTTAACCCTTCTGGGATTCGCACTTACGTTAGAGAATACGATCATTCTCCTCCAGCCAACTTGTTAGAGGGTCGTGGTACACAAAGTGGTGCTCATGTTGACATCATGGGAAATTTTGCATTGATTGAGGATGTTATAAGGGTAGCAGCTGGTGCCACAGGAGAAGATCTAGGTGGTGATAGAGTGTATTCTGATATCTTCAAATGGTCTCAGAAAATCAAGTTGCCTCTATGAATCAACCACAATGCATGCACCAAAGGGTGGGGTGAACTATGCAAATTGGTTATATTAAAAGATCATGTATTGAATATTATTGTTATTATTATAGTTACTCAATCAGAAAACATTTGATTTGTTATATCTGATAAACTGGGCCGGGGGGGGGGGGCATGATTCTAAATAAGCTCAGCTAGTTAGTTATGAGGTACAACTCAAAAGCATCTGTAGGTAGGTGTTTTTGTTGTATCATCAAAATTTTCTATGGTCCCTTTTATTTTTCGTCATTCTTTTTTAAATGACTCAATCTGAAAAAGATTTGTGAGAGAGGGTAAACATCAGTTAACGGAACGTTTGAATGAGTGCGTGTTTTGATATCAGTTAATATTGCATATACATGCGTTTTGTATTCATACGTTACTCTCAGCTGCTTAATAAAAAACGCAGTCTACAGCATATAGATGTAGAACCAAACATACTATGAGCTTATTTTACTTAAAAAAAACACACTTTAGTCCATAAAGATTAACTTTTAACTGAATACTTTCTATTACAAAATAGTTTAAAACTGTTGAATTATGGATAGGAATTTTAAGGGCCGTTTGATTTAGTTTTAATTTTTAAAAATTACTTTCTAAAATAATTTTATAAAACTAATTTTAAGAAAAATATAAAAGAAAATGTATTTGATAACTTAGTTTTAAAACTACTTTTAGTTAAACTTTTGTTAGTTTTACCAAAAGAAACATATAAATAAAAATAAAAACATCCAAATAATAATTCTGTTTTTCAGTTTTAAAAATTGGAAATAAAAATTTATTTTTAATTTTTTTTAAAAATTTACATTAACAAATAAGTTTTTTGTTTTTTTATTTTTAAAAATAAAAAATTATATTTAAAAAGAGAAAACAAACCAGTCCTAAATAAGTCATTTTTCAGTTTTTTAACCTTGAATATGATTTTGAACATAAATTCATAATCAAAATTTACTTTTAAGATAATTTTAAAATTAATATCTTAAAACTTAATTCTTTTTCAATTGATTATATAAAAATAAAGTATAAATCAAACATGAAAGTGAAGATACCATTGCATGAGACCTAACCCTTTTTGATATATGCTATTTATATGATATATTTTATTTTAAATAAAAAAGTTTAAATAAATCAATGGTGAAATTAGCATAACTGATGGTGTTCAGTTTTTTATTTTACACATGAGAGGATGATCCATCAAACATGTATTCTTTTATTTATAGTTAGTGATTGAGACAAATTTACTCAACTTTTGTTTTTTTTATAAGGAAAGTCGTTGATTTTAATGAAACTAATAATAATTGTAAACAAAATTAATTTTATTACTAATGGTTTAGTTAAAAAAGAAAATATTTTAAAACATAATATTTAACATTATTATCTATTTTGTTATCATTTTAAAAAAAATATTATTTTTTTAACGATTGTTCACGACATAATAATTAATAAAATAGAATTAAAAAAAGTTTTGCTAATCAGTAATTTGGAAGTAATAATTAAAAGATTAACTTTTTTTACTAAATACTACATTAGATTTATTAAAAAATATAAAAAAATAGTGCATAAGTAACATTTTTCTTTTTACTTTTGAATGTAGGTGAGAGTAGAATTTCTTAATTTAACTTGACTCGTGAGTCGCGATAAATTATTGATTGTGAGAAATAATTAATGATTAGGATATTGCATTTATCTCTAATTGTTTACGCCAACTTTGGAAAATATCTGTGTTATTTCTATGCTTCGTTGCGTTCTCGGTCGCTCTTTTTTCTCTCTTCGCCTTTGAAACCGAAGAAACAGTGTGATTCCGATTTTGGATCACCGAACCCTACACTTCTCTCTCCGTCGCTGCAATCGCTTCCTCCGTCGTTCTCATCGTTCCAATTCCTATCCCTACTAACCCGCGCATCGCATTTTCAATTTCAACCAAATTCCCATTCTGATCAAGTTAGCTCCCACAGGTACCCCAGCCTTATTATCTCTCTCCGCAACCAACAACGCTGCTTTGTTTATTTTATATATTCAATTTGTAAAATCAAGCCACGGTAGCATCATGCATTCGTTTAATTGGTAGGTAAGAAGACGGTTAATTAGTTGCTTGGTACAATTGCATTTGTTTTTCAATGCACGAGTTAAAATATTTAATTAATAAATTTTTAATAGAAGAAGGAGGGGAACTGAAAATTAAGCTAAAGGAAAAGTGAAAATTATCTGGGAAAGGTGAAAATACAGCTTCATCACGAAGAAGAAGTGATGGCAATAGAAATCGATCCTTGAAGGTTTATGAATCTAGCATTTTTCTGCTATCTTAAGCTTTGTAGTCAACTGTTGGTGGTATTTGAAATTTGAAGTCATTATTTTTGGTGGTATTTGAAATCTATTGAGGACATTAAGGTTCCAATTTCCACGCTTTGTTTTAGGTTTGGGAATAGAGGAATGGTTTGTGGGTTTTAAAGGTTGTTTTTGCTTGCACAAGACTGAGTTGTAACAAAAAGAGGGGTTTGGAATGTGAGGAATGGTATGGTGTGTATCCTCTGTGACCGGGACTTAGATGATTTGGATGTATATAAATATGGTTCTTTTGCAGATGGGAAGAAGAGAATGAGGGCTGGACTGTAAGTCTGAGGAAGTAAACAAGAAGAGACTCGAGAGTGGAGAGAGAACAGATACTTGACTTTTGAAGCTTTAATATGTAAAATACCTTCATGAGACTTAAATTCCCATGCTTACAGCTTAAGAATGTTGAATCTAAACGTACATGGCTCGTGTCCTTTTTGTAGATATTTATCTCATATTATATGCTATATAGCTCTTGGTCAAATATAACCAGTCCGTTGTTACATGAATGATGATTGCGAGGGATATATAGTAGCATCCTTTGTGATTATTTCATTTTATATCCTTCTGCTTTGTAATGTTTTAGCAATGTCTTTTGAGATTATTATTCTATGAATATATATATATGTATACCCTTTCTTTGTCATTTTTTATGGAATGAACTCTTGTAAATTTACTTTCTAAATATTCTAGATTAGTGGGGGAAGGGCTGTGGGTAAGGATGAGTTTGCAACAAATTGGGCAGCCTAAATCATCTAATGGATATGGTCGATGGAAATCTGAAAAAGAAAGGGCAACTAAGTCTGATAATAAGTTCTCTGGAAAATCAAATGCTTGCAGCAGATTAGCAAGTACAGGTGATCTTCTGACCTGACTATTTATTATTTTCTATTTTACTTACTGCTTTACTGATATTTATTATTACAGGTGTAATGACTGGCAATAAAGGTGGAAGTTATGAGAGTACTTCACGTGATCGACTAGTATATTTAACGACATGTCTTATTGGGCAACAAGTGGAAGTCCAGGTGAAAAATGGATCTATATACTCTGGAATATTTCATGCAACAAATACTGACAAAGATTTTGGTATGTTCTGTTATGTTTGTTTATCAATTTGATGATATTGAAGACAATAATATTTTTGTATTGTTGTAGAGCTGAATAGATTCCTGATTCCTGTTTTCATTATTATCTTTATAGATCATACAGAATTGACATTTTTTCTAATGCTTATGTCATTATTGCTGTTTTTTTAGGAATCATTTTGAAAATGGCTTGCTTGACAAAGGATGGTTCTTTCCAAGGGCAGAGGTCTGGTGTAGAATTTGTCAGCAAAGCTCCATCTAAGACTTTAATTATACCTGCCAATGACCTTGTACAAGTCATAGCGAAGGTTTGCTACTTTCATCTATTTGCAGTTTCCTGAGAAAATCATGGGGGTAATTTCATTTTAAATTTTGCTATCCTGTTTTGTTGTAGTTGTTGTTTTAAGATGCTGTATAGTAATGAATGATGTTGGGAGAGTTTTAGTGGTGGATTAGGTGAAGTTGCATACTTGCATTGAACATGCCATCAATTTGCTTGCTGATTATATTTTTGATGTGGCACTTTGGCAGAATGTTGCTGTTTCCAGAGATGGCCTATCTAGTGAATCTCATCATGATATGCATGAGGAGATCATGGTTGATTCAGTAATATCTCAATCTCGTCATGTGGAGCTAGGTAGAGAATTACAAAGATGGGTACCTGATGAAGACGATCCACAATGCCCTGAAATGGAAAGTACCTTTGATGGCCCTTGGAAAAGGTGGTTTTACAATTCTCTTATTATTCCTTGAAAATATTTTCCAGAACAATAGGATTGTTTTCAGTGGACCCCAGTTCCCCACTTAGCAGGAGCTTTATTAGCACTAGGCTGCTCATTTTTAGAAATGTTTCTTTGTTGAAGCCTTGAAACTCAGATGCATGCTTATCAGTCCCCTTTGTTATTCTTTAAACTTGGATGTTGGCTGAGAAACTCTAATATGTAGCTTTTCTCATTTACAATTGGAAATCCATTAAAAATAGGACGTGAGATGCAAATGGTAGATGTCTCAACTACTGCTCTCTCCTCCTTTTTAAAATTATAAACATTGGATATTGGGTATATTGGAAAAACTGAAACTGGACACCAAGAAAGTGATACCCCCAATATATGCTGTATACTATATCATTAGTCATAGTTGTTGGAATCAAGTGTGAATTGAGTTATACATGAAATGAAATATGAGTAATCTAGGAGTTTATAAGGAGATGGACCTATGTACCTATCGCCTTAAGATTTTGGAGTTGCATTATGGTGTACTACTCATTGTAAGGCTCCCTACTTAAAACTCTCCAACCCAACAATGGTCACCTTTTGGATACTGATTCTGCAAATTTACTTATGATTTCTATTTTCTCCAGCATTCTTGTTTTGTTGACTTTCTAATCACATGTTGCTTGTTCATCTCTATGACTTTTCAGAACTAGGTTTTTTTTGTTAAGGACAATTCAATTTGCCATGACTCGGAATTTTTTTGCTGAGGACCTATTTTTCAGTGAAGTTTTTATCTAAGAAATGACTTCAGTTAAACATGACTAACCTCTCTTTAGAGGGCATTGTAATGATAATAGACATATGGCTTGTATGAGATCTTTGGTTAAATGCCTTGTTGGATGTACCAGTAACAAGTGAAGGAAAAGCAATAAATGATTTTTTAATGACTATTAAGAAACATAGGGCTAACTCATTCTCAAAAGCTAGCTCATAGAAAGAGAATTATCATATCCCTTATAAGGAGTATATTGGTTTTATTCCTAATCAATATGGAATATCTTAACACCACTTTCACACCTAGGACTGGACATCTGGTATGTGAAATTTGTAGGACTGAATTGACTGGACATTTGTGAGTAGCCCAACATTCAAACTAGATAGACTTTGATACTATGTTAAAAAACTTAAACTTAATTTACGCCCAAAAGGTAGCTCATAGGAAGAGGATTATCTTATCTCTTATAAGGAGTATACTGTCTCTATTCCTAACCAATATGGGACATTTTAACAATGATGGATTGAAATTTTTGTAGGAGCTTAATAATTCCATTGTTTATACAAGTTTTTTAGGTTTTCTGTTTTTCCATGCTTTAGTTTTTCTCCTTTTTACTTGTTGACATTTCTTTCATTTATGTCATGTAGTTGAATTGTTCCCCCTTGAAGCCTTCTAATACATTTTACTTGTCAAGAAGAAAAAAAAAAAGATGTTTTCTTGTTGTATCACTATTCCATTCTCTGGGCTGTAGTCTAGGAGCATTTGATGGAAGTAAGCAATGTTCCTTGGGGAATTATTGGCATGAAATTGGGTTATTAATTATTCCAACTTAGCTAAAAGGAAGTAGTAGATTTTATGGTAGGTTCTTATTAAATGAGGCTTAATTGAGTATTTCATTTGTTTCTTCCTTTTTATTGTAACTATTCACAGCTCCTCTTTTGTTATAGTTGACTTTTTTTTTTTTTTTTGGTATTTCTCTAGGGATTGGGATCAATTTGAAACAAATGAAATGTTGTTTGGTGTGAAAAGCACATTCAACGAGGAACTCTATACAACAAAGCTCGAAAAGGGGCCTCAGATGAGAGAATTGGAAAAGGAAGCATTAAGAATAGCAAGAGAAATTGAGGGTGAGGAAACCCAAGATCTTCATCTAGCAGAGGTTGGTGTGGCTTCAATGCCTTTTCCCAGTGTGAATTTCAATAATTTCTTATTTAATTGTCTATTTGAATTCCTTAAACTCTGTTTTTACTCAACAGGAAAGAGGGATTTACCATAACTTTAATATTGATGAAGAGACCAGATTCTCTTCAGTATATAGGGGTAAAGGTGTTGATGATAGTGGATATGATGAAAATGAGGACAAATTGTCAGATTCACAAAATTCTGAAACATTTGGTGACATGTATGGTTCAAGCATTAAGAAACCAGGTGAAATAAGTGGTCGAAGAGGCAATACTGGAGCTCAAACATGGTCAAATTTCACCTCTGTGGTATCTCCTCAACCAGTTATTTAATAATTATAAGTTTTGCATTTTATTAAGTCTCAAATCTCAATCATTTATCATTTTGGATGCCATCAGCTTGTCCTTTCTTGTTGCTGAATTCTACCATCACCGTGGTTATGCACTACTGATTTTAACAAACAGTTTATTTTAGATTTGCTGGCATGCAGCATTTTTCAGCCACATGAGGGCACCACTCTGTACTGTTGTCTCATTCTACGTCAATATTGTGATTCTGCAATTTTAAATTATTATTAGTTAAGAGTTTGAGTGTTGTAATAGGAAGATGTGTGTTAGCTGTTTTGGCGGTTAATGGGGTTACTCAGTAAATGATATATCTGTGTCATGGTTATAATAGTTATTTCAAATTGTTTTTTTACTCCCTTTACAACTTCAAATTACGAGTAAGACAACTGGCTGGCATTTGCTTTTCACTGCGTTTATTTTAGCACACAGTTTTCCATCCAGAAGAACTCATTTACTCTAAAGAGGGACCAAAAATTTAATTGTATTGTAGCAGTAAAGTTACTGTTATATCGCTCTTCTAGTGCAAGAGAAACAGAGAGAGAGAAAGAAGAAACGCATCTGCCTAAAACCGCGTCTCAATGTTTATATATTAATAAATACAATGATATGGTTTTTGTAATCATTACTTTTATGCAATACACTGAACCTAGACATGATAATACTCATTTCTAACATAGAAGATTGTGATTGATGACATGGAAAATTTACTGCATTTGTTAATTGGTGTTAAAGTGGGATGCGGCTTTATATTCCAGCGATGTCAAGATTTGAGTTTACTCATAGGATCTCACAATCCCAAGTGTAGTGAGGATTGTTAAGCTGCAGGATTGGGGTGGCATTGCTTTGTAAACTTGCCAAGATGGTGGAATTTGTCTGAGTCAATGTTATTAATAGCGGATGGCGGCTCATAGCAAAAAATCAAAAAACTACCATAAAGTTATGGCAATCGCCATGGCGGGTTATGGTAGATTTATGACGGATATAATAAAATATATATAAAAAATACTATAGGTCATAGAAAATGATAGAAAATAATTAACTCAAAATATATATGGTATAATCCACAATCTAAAGCATAATTTAATACAAAATATGCAATTATCAAATGTCAAGTTAACATTAAAAACAAAGATTATCAATTTAGTCATTTTCTTCAACTCTAATATAATCATCTTATTTGTCATCCACCAAGGCATATCCTTCTTCCTCTTCTCTCTAATATTGTGAAAGATTAATTTGTAATTTATATTCCCTATATCTCTTCATCTTTTAATTCTTCATCATCATCTTCAAGAACTATTTTTCCTTTTTCTTTTACTGTTGAACATGCCTTGATCTTGGAAACTTTTGCAGCTTTGATAGTGATACTACTTAATAGACTCTTTCTTTTCTTAGAATGACGCCTAGTATATGTTGTAAGCTCTTTAATTCCAGAAGCTTTATAAACAGTTACCCAATTTAAAGTGTCATCATCATAAAAAACTAAGTCATTTTCAGCATCTTCATCTTGAGCATCATTATCTATTTCTCCAACTAACCACTCATCAATGTCATTAAGTGTAGTTGGATCAATTACATCTTTAAGATTGTAACATTCTTTGAGTTGTTGGTTGTATTTCACATAAACCAAGTCATGTAATTTTTTGTAATCAAGTCTATTTCTCTTCTTTGAATGAATTTACAACGTGAGTTTAAATATAAGAATTGGAGAAGAAAAAGATCTGAGATAAGTGCAGATCTACATTGGAGAAGATAGAGATTGGAGAAGAGAAATCGAAAAAGATGATGTTAAAGAGAGGTCGGAGAAAAGCAGAGAAGAGAGAGATTTGAGATGAGGGAGAAGGGTTTTGAGTGACGGAGAAGAGAGACTTACCTAAGTTTATGCGCGGGTTAGCCTTGGACCGGGTTGGGTTTGGGCCCAAATAACAAAAATCAGCCATTTTTCACAATTTTTTGCCATGGCAGCCATTACTGCCATGGGCGTAACGGCCGCCATGGCACCGTCACGCAAAACGGCCATGTAACGGAGGCGGTTTAACAACGGGGTTGAAAACCGCCACTGCAAGCTGCCATGGCGCTGCCATTTGACAACGCTGGTCTGAGTTTGGCGAGTCAGGGAAGCCTCTCTAAATCACTCAACTTTCCCCTTCTCTTTCCAGCTTGGCTTCTCTCTCTCAGACTCCTTGACGACCTTGTCTCTTAGCCCTTGATCTCCCTCTCTCTCTTGTATCACTATGGTTTGGGTCTTGTTTCTTCTTCTTGATTCTTTTTTTCCTTTTAGTTTTTGAAACCCATGAATTGTGTTTGTTCTGGGCCTTTATTTGTTGGAATTCAACCTCTTATCTTTGGTTTCACTACTTTCCTATTCTCTTTCTAAGGCGTAACCTGAGGACGACTCTGTCATGTCAGAAGCCTTGCCGGAGATGAAGAAGGACATCGGAAGCAAGAGAATGTCGCAAAGAACGGAAATGGGGAAGAGCGAACCAGAGAATTGAGAGACAAAAATGAAAACTTAGGGCTCGTGAGAAAGAAGATATCAGAAATATAAAAGGGCGCGAAATCTCAAGATTACCAAGATATCAGAAATATAAAAGGGCGCGAAATCTCAAGATTACCCCCATTTAAAGATGTCCAACGTTAAGAAAGCAAGGACAAAGTCGGGTTTTGGCCAGGGATAAAATAGCAGCCGCTATGGCTGCGATTCTTCCGCGATTTGGCCGCTATTCGCGGCACGATGGTTGCTTCACTGAAACGCAACGCTATAAGCTTCCCATAGCGGCGACCTGCCGCTCCGCTTCGCTCTTGTGTGATAGCGGTTGACTACTATAAGTAATAAAATATTCCTTTTTGTCCAAACTTTTGGTTTGTCCACCCTCCTTCCTTATAAACTAATTGCTTTACTTTCTAAATTCAGTGTAATATTTCATATATTATTTGCATGCACAGGATCACTCACAGTCATCTCAGTCAAGTACCGGTGTGGCTTTGTGTCGCTCTGGATCTAATGATCATGCTAAGCAGTTAGCACCTGAACCCCCTGCCCAAAGTTGCTTAGTTTCAGATGGGGAAAGAAGGTATTTGTTGACTTTGGTTTTCCTTTCCATAGTGTAATTATTTGTATTCCTCTTCCCCAAACATGGCCTCCAAGAATCAGAACATAGAAATGTAAATATCTACTTTATTATTAATTCTCAAATCCAACTAACAGGATTCAGGAGAACTCGGTTAGCGATCTGGATGGAGCCCATGATAATGCCGTGGAAGAAAATTGGACAGTGAGTTGAAATTTCAGTTTTACAACTCTCATATCTGCATATATATCTTGCACGAGATTGCTATAATATGAATCTTAAATCTCACTTTTCTCTCTTTCTTTTTACCATTAATTGATGCAGCAAGCTGAGGATGCCCAGCTATCAAAATCTGAGGGTTCGTGAAATTTCTTTCTCAGCTCCCTGTAAATTGACCAGATCTAAAGCATTGTGCATGAATTAATGTGCAATTGTGCATGAAACTAAACCAGTGCCATTTTAAGTGTTTATTTTGTTTATTATAAATGATGTATTGAAGTTTTTTGTCAGTACTCAATGGTACTTCTGAATGGAAGCTCTTGCCTACTGTTGAAATTTCATTTTAGTGATCGATTCCTTCATTATATTTTGTAGTTCTTTGATCTTGGCAATTTTTAGTGCAGATTTACAGTCATCACTCAACATAAAGAAAGATGGTTCCAGTGAAAAGGGGTTATCTCCTGATGCAGCCTCTGGTACCCCTTCTACTAATATTTTATCGAAGACTCATGAGGGAACTGTTGGGGAGTTGACTGGGGGTTCTGCATCTGTTAAAGCTAACAAGGAAACAAAGTCTGTAAATTCACGCGGAAGACTAGGTAGTACACAATCTGGTTTGGATTGTGTTGTAGCATCTTCTGGTCCTGGTCTGTCTCCAAGCTCTTCAGTTGGTTCAATGTCTTCGGAAAAGTCAACTCTGAATCCCAATGCCAAGGTGTGAAAGTTTAAGAGCAACTTTTTAAAATCGGAAATAACACTTCAAATGCTGTTCAATTTTTTTGTTTGGGTAGACACATTCTGGTCTTTTATATTATTACTGGCATGTTTCAGAGCTTCTCCTTTTTTGTTTTCCCTTTGTCAGGAATTCAAGCTAAACCCCAATGCTAAGAGTTTTATTCCATCTCAAACACATGCTAGGCCTCGCTCCCCAGTTTCTGATGGTTCCTACTATTACCCACCTAATGTAACCACTGTACCAAATATGCCAGCCATGCCCATGGGTATTGGAGTAAGTAATGATATTCTCAATCAGCAGTTAGCAAATTATGTATTATACAATTATTTCAATATTTTTGCCCATGTTCTTTTATAAAGTTTTCTTCTGGGCCATTATTGTATAAGATTCATATTAATTGCCACTAGTTCTAATAACATTTCTGTCTGCTGAAGTGAACTGAGTGAATGGATTCAGGCTTATTATAGTTTTCAATTCGGACTATGCTAGTCTGGTAATGCAACTTATGTCATCATATTAACTTAAAAGGTGTGAATCCTAATGAGTTGTGTGATGTAAAAACGGATGATGTTAGTAATTGCTTTCTTGTCTTGGTTGAAATCTCTGGAGACCATGCTTTGGAACTATCTTTGCTATTTGGATAAGAAAATCTGACTGCAAGTCTGGCAGGATCTGTAAAACTTTATTGTATTTGAGGCTTGAGCCATGATCTTGTATTACCCATTGTTAACAGGATAAAAGTCTTTTGCATGTAGTGGAAATTTTGCTTCATTTCCTTTTTATTCTAAAAGATGAGGACTGATATAGCATTTGATAATTGGCTTAATTTAGTGGGATAGTTTCTGCTGTCCCATAGACCATAATTGAGACTAGAAAGAAGTTTAATATGGAAATTAGTTCCTTGCTCCTTCCAGTTGGAGGCATAATGACATTTTTAGAAGGACATTCATATTTCTTAAGGAATATATAGGAGTGCATATTTATGGGATGGAGTTACCTCCTTTAGGCTACTGATTTTTTTAAGTGGCACCATAGGACTAAAAACTTCCTGAAAAGTAAAAATTTAGGAGCTGTCAGTGAATAGATTTCACATAAGCTATTGTGAGAGCTTTTATAGAAGTGAAAAGTTGTTTTCAAAATATATCCAAACATTAGTTTTAGATTGTACACGAAACTAAACTAGTAGATAAGTGTTTATGAGCTGTATCCAAACAGGCCCTACATCGCAGAATTATCAGTATGGTCCAAATGTTGTACTCAGTAACCTCTGACTTGCTTGTGTTTGAAACCTTGATAATGTTGCGTGGGGTATGCAGGTTGGAACTACTTTTGCTGGTCCACAACCTGTCATATATAATCCGCAGGTAGCACAAATACCATCGCAACCATATTTTCATCCAAATGGACCGCAGGTGGGATTTGACTTGTAGTTTCTAATTGGTGACTTATGTGAATATAGATGCTAATATTATTAATCTAATTGCAGTATGGACAACTTCCTGGTCATCCTAGGCAAGTTTTATACATGCCAAGTTACCTACCGGTAAGGACTCACGTTTTGCTCATACTTAGGTTTTTTTATTTTGCTTGTTTTTATTTGAAAATGTTTCTAGTTAATTTTGGTTTTCGTGTCTGTTATTTGGTTAGACTGCGTTGGGTATGCTTTAATTTTATGTATACTAGTTTTGCTTTTTGCAGTTTGAGAAAACAAATGATTAAATCAGTTATCTCAGTAACATAATGTGTGTTTATGCATCATGGATGTTGGACATTCTTCCTTGTAAGAGGCATGGAGCTAGAATTTTCTTCATTTAGGCATTTGATCTTAATTTGATCAATGTCAGCCACCAGTGTATATTTTCGGGGTAACTTCTCTGATCACTTTTTGGGAAACTAAATTTTCCAGTTTGGTTTTTTACAGGAGACGCCGTATAGGGGACGGGATTATTGACCACTTGGTGAACTGCATTCTTGGCTAGTTTGCTCTTTGCCTGGAAAGAATGAACTGAGTGGATGGCGTTAAAGAGTTTCAAATCACAAGGATATCCGCCGCTGAGGATTTCCTTAAAGGTTGGATAATTTCTAGGCAAGCTGGTTCATACATCTTTTATAAGTTAATTGATCTTGTATTCGCTCATACATCTTTTGGGATTTCTTAGTTTTCGGTCATGTAGTAGCTAAACTCAATTTTTTTCTTCCTTAGTATTATTATTATGCAACATTTACTTTAAATTGCGTCTTCCCTAGTTCAGTAACTATCATTATTTTGACCTTCAATAGTTTCTCCAGCCATTAGGTTATCAGTGCGATGCTCATAAATGTTTTTAAATATAAACAATTCATTCTAATCCTTAACTGAAATTGATTTTGTAAATTCAAATTCATTTAGGATTCAGTATAATTAATTTTTATAAAACTAATTTTTATTGTCGAATGTAATTAAGATGTATGTTTAAACCAGTATTGCTTTTCACTTATTTTTAAATTCTATTATTTCTTAACCTCACACGTATTCATTGCAAAAAAAAATTATAAATTAGCAAAGTAATAAAATAAAAGAATTGAAAAAAATAGTTAAAAAATTCCTTGTGATAACTTTTTGATAAAGAGGAAAAGAAAAAAAAAAGACAAATTACAGAATATGTAAACTGTTTAGAACTAGAGATTTAAAAATTTTATTTGGAAAATGATTTAGAGAGTAAAAAAAAATTTCAAACAAGAGTTTTAAAAAATATTATTCTATTGTGAAAGAGTAGTCTCTATAGCTTAGCTTAGAGTAGTGATTTTAAAACCAAAATCTTAAATATACTTCCTAAAATCACAATTATCTTTTAAAGATGAAACATTGATTAATAAAATTTTAAAAAAACTAAGTTGAAATAAAAAGGATAATTTTATCTTTTTGGTGATTAATTTGAGTCAGCTTTAAATCTTTAGAGACCAAAGTAGTTTTTTTAATATTTTTATAAAAAATAAATAACTAATTCATAAAAAATAATTACATATCATACATTTATTTATTTATATATAAAAAAGAAATGTTAATAATACTTTTTTCAATACACTTTTTAATTTTTTTTACAAAATTAACCAATCATGTAAGATGAGTTGAAAAATATTGCTAGCATTACATATATATATATATATATATATATATATATACACACACACACACTTTATAATTAAATAAAATACATAATTTTTCTTAAAAATATTAATACATTTCTATTCAATAGTTAAGAAATTTACAGATATGGAGGATATAAAAATTTTAAAAATTGTTTTAAAGGCAGGGAAGTATAAAAGAAAAAGATTGATCTTATTTAGTCTCACTTGTGGTACTTTGATTTGTGTACGATCTCAAGAATATAATATAATTAAATGTAATGTGGTACTTGTAGTTGTCCTTCATTAAAAATATAATGTATAGGAAACCAACATCATAAGACGTGTAAATGAAAAGAACAATCACTTTTTAAAATCAAATTTAAAAATATTATTACAGTTTTTAAAATTTTAAAGTAAAATTCATCCTAATCCTATCATAATCCCTGATAACTACTAAAACTCGTATTATATGCCTATAGACGACATGATGACTAGCAGCCAACTCTCTGTAATTCATTTTTAATAGAGACTGAAAATTTACATATATATCAAAATTTATAAACATAAATTAAATATAAAATATAATTGATAATATTAAAATAAATTTTAAATCATAATTATTAAAATGCAAATCAAAAGACAGCCTGAATTAATATTCCTCTTCAGCTATTCGATTGTATTTGATATTGTACGATAAAATATTGCATCCGCCATTGGTGAGATCATAAGAGAAGAAACCTAAAATCATAGATTAAGGTACGTTTCATTTATCTTTTAAAAAGAGTTTTCTGTTTTTAAAAATAAAATACTTAATAAATTTATATAGTATTTTAATACAGTTAAATTAAATATAATTCATTATTATTATACAATTTTTTAGTTGATTTTATCATTCATTAATTTAAAAAAATTTAAAATTATTTAATATTTGACATTATAATAATAATATTATGCAAAAAATAACTAAGAAATTTCATTAAATTTTATTTTGTCTAACAAGTTATTGTAACATCACACAACATTACATGTTATTAAACTATATTACAACCTAATTTTAATTAAACAAAAATATAAACTAAATTAAAATATTAAAAAATAAAAAAATAAAAAAATAAAATATTGTTACTAACCTCTGATGCAGCAAAAATCTTAGCACTGACCAACCACATAATTTTTTACTTGAAATACTTAACAAATTACAACAGTATATTTTTAAATTTTTAGAAATTTAAATAATAAACAAAATACAAATTAATATCTAAAAATATATATAAAATAATTAATACCTCATATAAAACACGTCCAAAACTTCCTCAATTGTTTATTTTGAATATATTTATTTATTATTATTTTTGCTTTCTATGACAACTTAATCAGATTGTGTTACATGTCATCTCGCTGCATGTTGTTTTCCTTTGCTGATGGTGAACTCTGTTTTAAATTTATAAAATTTATGACGAAATTTATGAATGCGTGACATAATCTCGTTTATTTTGAACTTTTGTAGCGAAACTTATTTAAAAAAGACGATAATAAATTTTGTAAATAATATTCACAAACAGATAAATAGTTTTAAAAAACAATAAATAAAAAAGTTTATTTTTTAAAATACAATATTTAAATAAAAAGCTGTTAAAAAGCGCGTGGATGAGGCAGAAATTTAAAGAGCGAGGAAGACATTTAAGGCGCACACAGAAGTCTATGAGTAGGAGCCATCACAGATTCAGAGTCTGATGTGAGGTTGAAACTTGGAACACACTATTCATTTTTTTACTATTTATATCCCCATAACCAATACCAATGTATCTCCCGTCACTATGCATTTCAACGTACCACAAACGACAAATCAGAAATGCATCCTTTAAAATTATGATTTTCTTAACCATGTTGATACTTGATACTGATGGATAATATAAATTTTAATAAAAGTTTATTATATACAATTTTTTATTATTCACAACATTGCACATATAAAAAAAATTGTTAAAAATATTCATGTGATGTGATAAAAGAAAGTTTGGATTCTTGTTTCATACCACCCTTTTTTTCTCTCGTGTCTAATTAATATTATCAATAGTATAATAAATTATAATAATCGAGAGGAGAATTGAGAGAAAGGTGGTGTGGTCTGTGGAAGGTGGGTGATGACTGGTGAGGGACTGCACTTGAACTTGATTGATCATTGACGTCTGTTAATGCAGCAGAGAGAGAGAGTGTTCTTTGTTCTTCATGCCTCTACCCTTAAGAGACCAAATACAAGTGAAAGACTGAAGAGTGAGTGGGTGATGAAGTGGTGTACTAATCACTAGTGGGGTATCACTTTAGTTTTTTGAGATTTTCTTCTAAGGCTTTAAGTGCATGTATACATGTACATGCATGATTTCTGGTTAGTAGCAAAATCCCATTTTTTTTTCCTCTTCAATTTACTGAATTTTGAAGGTTACTTTTTTTTGGCTTAGTTGTCGTCTTCTTTCTTTCACTCTCTTTTTTCTTAACTTTTTTTCTGGTAAAGATTTGTTTTTTTGAAAAAAGCCTTGGAGTTTAATATAACATTAACAAGTGGCTGATCTTAGATAGTGGACTCGTTGTTTTTGGTAAGACAGTCTTCTATTTGCTGATGGTTGATACGTTGCTGGTGTTTTTGGCAATGATTTTGTTTCTTCTTTCTGTGAATATTCTCTGGAATTATCAATTTAGGAAAGAGCTTTTCAATTTTGACATGCTTTTTATGATGTTAAAAATTTTGAAAAGGGAGAATTGCTTTTCATTCAACTCCTTTCTCTAGTTTTTATGAATTTTCTTTTTTAAAAAAATTCTGAAGGGATCACATGCATTCACTATCTCTATTCTGTTGTGTTGATTCAAGTTGTCTTCTGTTGGATTGCTTTCTTGAGGTTGTAATTTAGTTAACGACTCCCAAACTATTCATGTTTCTTTTTTTAAAAGAAAATATTGACTTATTATTTGTATGCCTGTGTTGTTGAATGAAATCCACTTTCGTTCTCCCATTTCATTTTAGACAAGAGAAGTTTGATGACCTCCTACATCTTATTTGCATAAAAGTAGCATATGAATTTCTATAGGGCAAATTAGGTGTCATGGTTAACAAGGGATGAGTTGATTCAAGTTTTGAAAGATTAACGGCATGTTTTTCTGAACCTCTATACTAAGTCCTTACAAATATCTTGTTGGAGCTTCTGTATGTCATGTCATGTTGTCTGATTTCTTAGTTTTCCAGTTAGTTCATGAAGATAATGGTTTTCTTTTTCTCTTCCATACACCTCTCTCTTCCAATACACAAGCATGAGTGTATTTTCTGACTATAAACACGCTGCAAGATGCGAGGTTGTATACCCAGTTGCCTCATACACAATGACTAAAAGTTGATGTAATCTAGTAGCTACCTGTACTTGTTTGTCTTATTTGTAGCTGCATGTAAAATTTGCAATGTTCATTTATAGTTCGATTCTTACGTTGTTCCGAATTCTCGAAGCTCCTGCAGTTGCTTTGTGCAATTTGGTTGCTATTAATAACTGAAAAACAATATGATAAGTATATGCTACTTTGGGAAATAATTGTCGTTGATCGAGAAGGTTTTAGCCAAGTTTCCCAGCTCATAGTTTTAAATTTGTTGAAGGTAAGTGAATTGCTATTCTTATAAGCAAGCCTTGTGCCGTAGTGGAAAACAATGAAGAACTTATCTAAGAAAGATTCTGGTTCTGCCCATTTAACATCTTATGCTCTTGGATGCTCATCATGGGGCACTTCCTCTGAATCTAATGTGCAACAATCGTCCATGTCCAAAAATTTGACCTTGAAAATGAGTGTTCTTCCACATCAATGCCATAAGACTAAGCCAATGAATTTTCAATTTCAAGACCAAGATTCATCTTCAACTCAATCAACTGGTCAATCTTATCCGGAAGTGGGTTCGGCACAATCAGGTATTTGTAATGAAATACTATCTATATCTCTATGTCTGACCATGTTTATCAATTGGCTTTGGTTATCTCTAGATCTGTATATCATTTCTATTGAGAAGCTGCAGGAGTACTTTGTATGGTAAAAACAGAGAAATGAATTAATACAAATTAATGATTATGATGCAATTGTTAAGTAATATCCTAGCATTGACTATAGGATAATAACAATATCCATACATGTAACACATTTTTTTTCCTTTCGAAAGTATGGAATTGATCTTAGATAGCCTAATCAGTGTCTGGAAACACTTGTTACTTCCTAATGCATATTAATGAGTATTTGCTCTAGGTCAAATTTCTGTCCAGTATAGCAATTCTTCTGCTTGTTCAACACTTAACAAAACTGGGGAAAAGAGCGTGGCAGGTCTCATCAGGTCATCTGTGGGGAGTCAGGATTTTACCTTCCCTCCTTCGCAACTGGGTCACAACCAATCATTTGTAAGTAGATATAGGCTTTTGTCTCACTGGACAGAAGATATTTGTAGTTTTTTTCCCTTATAACTTGTGTTTCAGGTTCATACTGCATTCCATCATGGGGAGCCTTGCTTTAGTGGCCTACTAGCTACTCCATATAGGCCAGAACCTAATGTAAGATGTTAGAATCTATTCATTTCTTTTTCATTATTGTGTATTTGTGTCAGTTTGTCCCCAGCATAATAAGATTCACTATATAATATAATGTTGAAAATAATTGTATGACAGACTCATGGCATCAGATTTATGCTTTATTTGGGAAGTGTTTTATTCAGATCTGGTATTATGAGTTTTCACTTCAATTGCTCCACTCTCTGTGTTCTGATTAAGTTTGGTACAATGCTATTTTTCCTTTTTTTGTTGAGATTGGCTTAGTCTTTGTTATGTCATTGTCTTAGAAATAGGTAATGAACTTCCTGGGAAAGCAAGTTGTTCTTATTATATATAGTTTTCTTTAGAATTGGAATAAATTCTGTCCAAAGCTTTTGAGAGACTTCTAAATAGATTTTACTAGGGGTAAATGATGCCATGGTTGAATACTGTTCATGCCTTTATGATGTTTATTAAAATGAATAATTGAATTAGTCCATGCTCTCTCAAGATGTTCAATTTTTGCGTCCTTGGGAATCTTTTTAGTCAGTCATCTATGCTTAATTAATTTTTACAATTTGTTGTGCCACGGATAGTTTGCCAAACTTACAGATTCTCCTAGTTCATTAAGTATATTTTATGAAGAATCTCTTTATTAAAAATGTTTCTTAGTCTTTCCTTTGCACCTCCTTTGTTCTTATTCTTTCATTGCTTTTTATTATTTATTTAAATACTTTTCTTGTGGTGGAAAACTTGTTTCAGGATTTTCATTATTATAAACTTTTAACACTGAGAGATGCAATCTATACGAGACAGCATGGTTATTCTTAGTAACCTTTTTCCTTAGTTGATGAAAAAGAAATCGGGCTCTCTATAGATAATAGGGATACAATTCAATCTTGAAGTATTTGGAATTTCGAATGACTTGTTGGTTCTCTAATTTAATGACCTAAAGAAGTTACATAATGCCATGAAACTTCCAGTGAGTTGCATGTTTGTACCACCTAGACGAAGTCTGTCCATTACTGTATTCTAAAATATATGCTATAAAATCTGGCTAGATTCATCATGCTCAGCTAATAGGAATGACTCCTATGCGAATTCCTCTGCCACTTGCTCTCAGTGACGAACCCATATATGTGAATGCAAAGCAGTACCATGCTATCCTGAGACGCAGGCAGTATCGTGCAAAGCTGGAAGTGCAGAACAAACTCATCAAAGAACGGAAAGTAAGTGCACTTTTTTTTTTTCCACTCCCCTCTAAAGTCATTTCTCTTAACAACTCTGACATTTGTTTGCAGCCATATCTTCATGAGTCCCGCCACCTACACGCACTGAAGAGAGCAAGAGGTTCTGGTGGACGCTTTCTGAATACCAAAAATCTCCAAGAGTCAAAGCTCGTTTCTGGCCGAGACGTTTCTGGCTGTACTCAATTGAATCTGTGTGGAAAAATTTCAGAATCGAAGGTGCATGCAGTGGAAAACTACAGAGATGGTGCTTCCACAACCACTTGTTCTGATGTTACTAGTGCATCTAATAGTGATGACTTGTTCCGGCAACATGAGTCAGACTTTAGATTATGTGGTTACCCTTCTAACATTGGGAGGAACATACAGGGTTTCTCAGCTGATTTTGGTGGTGGTAATAAACATCATCTACCAGTCCTAATGTGACAAACTTGAATGGCTCACAGTAGTAAGTTATTCTTCAGCACATAGTTGGAGAATATGACTACTTGTGTTCCGTTGGGAAGTCATCCTTGGCTCATTTACATTATTATGTCTAACTATTGTTCATGTTAATTGTTTTGGAACTAGGATATGAACCTTTGCTTGATTCCATGTATTGTTGCCCTGAGAATGTTTGGGCTAAGAAACACATTAAACAATTTAACTGACTACTCAAAAACATTTCTTTATGTTGATGTCATGTTGCAAAAATGTTTTATCTTATATGCTGATGCTTTTTTTATTTTTAAGGTAAGAAAATGGCTTGGCTGCTCTTGACAATGTCTTTACTAAAATCAATTGTGTTAGGTCCTTGTCCTTATTGATAAAGCCTTCATAAAAATTTGATGGATGATTGTTTTGAACAGCAAAGCATCTTCTGCTTTGCAAGATATCACTTTTCGGTTGTGCTTTGCTTCACTTCCCTGCCAACCCTTCTCTCCCCACCGCCAAGTTGCTCACTTCAGAGAATTTGAGAGGTTTAAGATTGTAAGTTACAAAAAAAGAGGCAATCCTTTTCTGTCCCCAAGACACTAATTCGTTGATTGATAGTGAAAATGAATTTAGATATGATGGTTGTGATTGTATAGAGTGCCAAATTCTCTGTCTCATAATATTGTGAAATGTGAAGTTTTTCTAGAATTTATTTTTAGTTTACAGATTACCCTGAGTTGTTTTTTTATTTTTAGGGTGTATTTAGATAAATAATTTAATTAAATACTTACATAGTGATTTATTATCATACAAGAATTTATGATATAAATTTAATCATAAAATTTACAGGTATGTGTTAAAAAAAGTTCACTAAAGTTATGATTTATTTTTGTAAGGCTTTTATAATATCTTTCAAATAACAAAAAACTGAGTTCGATGTGTATTGAAAAGCATTTTTTGGTAAATTATTCATAGATACAGTTTAGCTAACTATTATTTTAAGGATAATAATTTAAATTTTTAAACATTTTATTAAAAATTATGATATTTGATATTATTAATACTTTATCATATTTTTTTAAAATTTTCTAAAATTTCTTAATAATTGTTCGCAAGATAATGATTAACAAAACCGCGCATCACCGAATTATTTATGTCCTTTTATACTAATGAATTAATTAATGTAATCACATTTATTAAACATTTTAAATTTTAATTAGCTGACTTGTCAATTAATTTTTATCAAAACAATGTCCTTAACTGTAAAAGTGGGAAAACTCAAGATAGAAATTTTTTCCCTATTCTTAAAAAATATTTAAGAATAGGAAAAATATATCATTTTTTCAAAAAGCAATTATTTTAAAGGAAAAATTAAAAATAATTGAAATTTTAATTTTAAAAAATATAAAAATACATACTAAAATAAAATTAAAACTACGTATTAAAAGAAAGATGAATAGACGAAGTATATTTGGCAAGCCTTTTAAATTAGCTTTAAATTATTAGACTAACTTAAAAATTTGCTTAACTAAATTAACCGTGTTTAGTAAATGGCTTTATATAACTTAAAATCTTACAGCATTTTTTAAAACACTAGTTCAAATAATGTTTGAGTTAATAAAGTCCTAATTTATTTTTAAATTGTTATTCTTATAATTTGATTATTTATCAATTAATTAATTAAAAATAATTAAAATAAAATTATGTAATATACCTCATGAAACAGAGTATAATAAATATAAAAGCGAGGAAGTGGTTGATTTATTTGCATGAAGGAGAGAGTAGTGAGTGTACTTGACCACACGCCGGCGCAATTACATTACGTATCCTTAATAGGAAATTTCGCTTCCAATTTTTCGACCAAAATAATAAAAAAAGAAAAAGAGTTGTGTTGTTGTGAATTGCATTGCAATTTGCAAATTGCAGAAGCAGAGAGAGCCACCACTACTCTCTACACTCTGTAACTCTCAAATCTCTTTCTTCCATCTGAAACCACTTTTCTCTCTCTCTCTCTCTCTCTCTATTTGGTTCGGTTCTTCTGATTCAGAGGGAGGAGCAGGAGAAGGAGCAATGGACTCGCGCGCACAGTATAATCCTCGTACCGTCGAAGAGGTTTTTAGGGATTTCAAGGGTCGACGAGCTGGTCTCATCAAAGCCCTTACCATCGGTATCCATCTTTATGCAACCTTTTTCTTTTTTTAATTGTTTTTTGCAATTTCTGTGTTCGAGGCTGTTTTGCTTGTCAAGTAACGTGCTTTGCATGCTAAATTTTCGGGTTTTGATTTTGTTTTTCGGTTTTACTTAATGGTCTGAAAATTTTCTAGGGGGTTGTTTCCTACGCGTTGCTGTTGACAAATGACAAGTGTTAGTGTGAAATTTTGATTTTGATTTTTGTTTAGCATTTGACGTTTTCTCTTTTACAGTTTATTTTCAGTTGAAAATTTGAGATTTTGAATGTTATGCCTATGCGAAAATTTTAATGTTTTAGTACTTTTTAAACTCTGTGTTGTTTGCTTTGAAGCTGGTGGGTATGAATGGGTTTGACTTTCAAATTTTATATGGATGGTTTTCAGTGGTTATTTTTGTCTCATTTGATTTGTGTAACAATTTGTGCCTTCCCTATGGGCATTGTAATGTGGTTTGAAGAAGAGGCACTAAATGTAGCTTGTGGGAAACATGGAAGGGAAGGAACCTAGAGCTGAAACTTCCTTAGTTGTAGTGTGTGTGTGGTTTACAAATTAAAAGCATTGCTTGATTTGAGAATTGGATTGGTTTGTATGGAAGTTGCAGTGCATTTCCTGATAAACTTGTATTTATATTCATTTTCATTACTTGAATATGACATTCAGTACTATTATGGCGTTCAGGATTTTGTATTTGTTTATCTTTTAATATGAATGTTTTGAAAACTTTTCCATACTAATGAACTTTTTCCTGCTTGGTAATGCTGCTGCAGATGTTGAAGATTTCTACAACCAATGTGATCCTGGTCAGTTATACTCTCATTTAATGTAGTCTTTGTTTACCAACTCATTTGTGTTTTGCAATGGTCAATTGGTTTTTAACTTGCTGGGCGCCAGATTCAATTGAGGCCTCTCTAAAATTAGCAAACAAGTAATCATTCTGTTGATTTATATGATTGAAGGATTTTTGCTGTGAATGTAGGTTTAACAACTATTATTGCTTTTTGGGTAGTACTCAGTTCCTCGAGTTCTTTATTTGTTCTCACCTTCCTTTAATAAATGCCATGCAGTCAATTTTATATGAGAGTGCCTATATTTTAATTTTTAATCTCTTCCAAGTTACCTATTCTCACGATAAATTTACACTTCTCTTGGTTCTTCCATCCAGGAAAATCATTTAAAGCTAACTTATAATCATGTTGTTTTCTTTTCTAATATTAATTCCTTTGTGATGCCTTGTTGAATTGTAGCTTAGTTATGCATTCCATGTGATAATCAGTCAGAGTGGCCATAACTTGCATTTCAGTACTTGCTGATGTTTATGATTAAATGGAATTTGTATCAAACATGTTGTAAAGTTTGGATATGGTATATGGAAGCCAATGAAAAATTGACAAAAGGGATTGGCATGATGCAATTTTTTTCGTTTAAAATCCGTGAGTGGTTATTTTGTTATTGAAGTGTGATTATCCAATCTGGTTATAAACCAAACATTAAGGGAATACATTTGCATTGTGAACCTGTCATATCAGTGTAATGTCACTCTCATGTAGATTGTGGACATTCTTGTGTGCAGAACTAGGTTAAATCAAATGCTTGATACTTATCAGTCTCTTGGTGATAATTTTTGTTAATTTTTCTAGGAAAAAAATTATTATTATGCATCTTTTCTATCTGCAAAAAAAAGCTCGGCAGAGAAAGGGTTATGAATTATTTAATAGGAATTGTAAGGCTTTCCTTTTCAGATATTTTTATTTGGTGTTGTGTTTTATGAATCAGTTACCTTCATTCTTTCAGAGAAGGAGAATTTGTGCTTGTATGGCTTCCCCAGTGAGCAGTGGGAAGTAAATTTACCTGCTGAAGAAGTACCGCCGGAGCTTCCTGAGCCTGTGCTGGGCATTAACTTTGCTAGGGATGGGATGCAAGAAAAAGACTGGTTATCTTTAGTTGCTGTTCATAGTGATGCATGGTTACTTGCTATTGCATTCTATTTTGGAGCCAGATTTGGGTTTGATAAAGCTGACAGGTATTCATACTCTGATCATAAATCTTATCCATATATCTGAAGTTAACTTATGAGGAAGTAAACTTATGATGGTTGAAAATAACAAAGAAGTTGGGATCCTACTTGTTTGATTATCTCATTGGTTCAGTTCTTTTCTTCAAGTTTCTTATTCATCCTTGTATTCATGATTTGCATATGTGATGCAGGAAACGACTTTTCAATATGATCAATGAACTGCCAACAGTATTTGAAGTTGTTACTGGTTCAGCAAAGAAACAAACTAAGGAGAAGTCTTCTGTTTCAAATCACAGTGGTAGCAAGTCTAAGTCCAGCTCTAAGGTAGTAACCAGTAACAATATCTTCTCACATCTATCCCTGACATATAACTATTGTTTTCATTCATAATTTTTTTTGTGTTGCTGTGAAGAACATTGATTTTCAGGTGTGGTCTTTTTCTAGATACAGGCCCTATTTAAAATTGAACACCCAAGGTCATTGAGTTAAATTTTGGAGAGTTCAGTCTATATTTTAAAATACTAGATTGACTGTGTAGATGTTATGAAAATGATGAGTGAATGTGTAACGTATGTGGCTAATCTATACCATGCTTGGAAGATAAATTTAGTATCATTTGGGATGAGTATTATCTGAATGAGTGTGTGTGATGTAGGTAGGTGTTTAATATCATGGTATCCCCAAAATATAACCCTTGACATTAAATATCGATAGTTATGGTTAGTGACATTCTCTTATATGCTCTAAATAAAAAAATTTAGAAAAAGATTGCCTTGAGTGCATGCCATGAATAATGATAAAAGTTTATATGAATAGAAATTAAAGTTAGATGTAGAGAAACTGGAATAGTAAACAATGTGTGTTGAAACTTGTATGCGTTGCTACAAATTAATCCCTTCAGATTAAGCTATGGTCTTAAAGGCTGAGGTGTTGGTGAAATGAAAATATCTCTATACTTGACCTTACTTTTATTTTACTATGCTAATTTTGACCTTGCTCATGTATTCAAAAGAAAATGAAAAATATTGGTAGCACTTGTAGATTCTTGCAAGCTGTTGTACTTGTAAGATGAAATTTGGTCCTAAAAGAGTTATGGCAAATGAACGAGTTTGTAACTGTTGGAGTACATTATAACTGTAGTTCTGTAAATGTACTACAAAGTTGTGCTGCCTTGTGTAGTGTGTCATCATATTGTGGTTCTCTTTTACTCAGCTAGTTTATTTTCTCATCTAATTATTGGCTTGTGGAACAGCGGGCTCCAGAATCTCTGACTAGGCAGGCAAAGCCTCTGCAGTCAAAAGATGAGGATGAGGAACTGGATGAGCCAGACGATGATGAACATGGCGAGACCTTGTGTGGTGCATGTGGTGAGCATTATGGCACTGATGAATTCTGGATATGCTGTGACATTTGTGAGAAGTGGTTCCATGGTAAATGTGTGAAGATCACCCCTGCTAGGGCAGAGCATATCAAGCAATACAAGTGCCCATCATGCAGTAACAAGAGAGCTCGCCCCTGACATCTCCAAAATACCATTATTGAGAATCTTATATTTGTTGCAGTCTTTGCTGATCTTGTTATTTTGCTTTTCTTCCTAGATGTTGCAGTTAATGGATAGTTACTGTTTGATACAGGTAGGTTTCTTTACTAGTCTGTAGGATTCTGCTGTGTTTGTTTTGTTTGTGTCAGCTGCAATTCAGTTGATTCCTTCTTGGGTTTGATCAATCTGTAGTTTATGCATTGTTGACTTGGGAAAGTGAAGTCTTTTCCTTAATGTTATTCTAAAACTAGGTTAATGAAACAAATTATTTGAAATGATGTCTAATTATGTCATTGTTGATAGTTTGTCCCCTACCCCAAAACTGGAGGTTGAGTCACTTTCCTGGTCAAGCATTTTGCATTTCTCATCTAGAGAATTTCCACATTCTTGGATCGGCTTGAAGTACTTGCTCATAATTTGAGTTTTGCTCGGGGAAAAAGTGGCTAAGCTAATGATGTTTACGGGATGCGATCTCGTTTTTGTTAATCTACAACACTGGAATCATCTGGCTATGTTTCATAAGGAGAAATATTTTTTGCACAACTCGTTTTTGTTAGCTGCACTGTTATTTTTTTTTTGTCGATTTTTTTTTAGAATTTAATTTCTAAAAGCATATTTTATATTTTTTAAACTTTTAATTTCGAAAGTTATTAGTCAATTCCACTATTCTCTACAGCAGATGAATCCTTAAAGTCGATAGCCCCTTCTCCAGTCATTATTTCAAGAGATCACAGTTGCTACATTCACATTTCCACAACTGTCTTCTTCACTTTTGCCAACTAATTGATTTTCTTTAACAAAGAAAGTTGTTGCTGAAACATCTGAAGCGTAAGTTATAGTCGTGGCAATCCTATTCAGCCACTGTTTATCTTGTCTTTCACAGTAGCTTCTCGTCTAAAAGTTTCCTTAAACAGTTAATGTTCTCTGATTGATACCTTGTGCTTAAATAGTACCTTAAACATCTGCTCAGTGTACTGCAAGAAGTTTAAACATTTAGAAGGACCCTATTAAAATGAAAATACTATAAATACCATGATATACTGGCAAAAAGGCCAGAGACTACGTGCACATATCAACGAAAGGAAAATCCACAGCACGCCGTTAAGAAAAATGAATAATTAACCACTTCCCAAATAAAACTACGTACATAGTACAGGATATAAAAATCTAATGTAGGAGACTCGAGGCTCAGATATAGAAATTTAAATCCAAGCAAGCACATGAGTACATAACCATGACTAGGAAAAAATCGATTATGATACCCATTTAACTTTCTTGTGTCCAAGATGAAAATGTTGCAGTCTACACAAGTAAATCCAAGCTCAAATTATTCATTAAAGTTCTGCCAAACTGAAGTGTCCGCAATTATTAAATGCTATAATTCTTAATTAGAAACCTCAGTCACTTATTAAGCTATCTCTAACTGCATTACCCATGCAATGTAAACATTTTTTCTTTTCTTTTCTGGTGACCTAAGAATTTTTATCAGAGAATTGTGTGGAAAATTCCATGGGAAAATACAAATTGGCATTGCTTGATTCACACACGGGAATACAAGTGCTGCAAAAAATGTGACTATATATACCAGGCAAAAGCATGCCGTGGATAATACATTGCTCAAAACAAAATAAGTTGTTGACAAAAATGAAAAAAAAAAAAAAAAAAGTTATCAGAAATGATCATCGCTTGTTCTACATTTCACAATTTGACAAAAAGGGAAGATTATACTGATCACTCCTTTATGTTATATGTTCTAATGGAAGCAAGCATCAAGTTGGATACACAGTATATGTTCAAACTTCAAACATAATTGCAAAAGCACAATTAATGCGTGCATGCATTCTGAGAAACATTAGATCAACCAAAGAATGCCCCCATCTCACTTGTGAGAACCTTATTCATCTCCCGAAACCAAAAACCGTTTGGTTGGTGGGTAAAAAGTGAAATTGGAACTCTCCTTTGGCTTTTTCCTCATCTGGGTCCCCATCTTTGGCATGCTTTCTGAAGAAAAACTGAGCCTTTCTATGCAATTAAGGTGTCATGGGAGACAATAGATAGAAAAGGGGTGTATTGGGGATATTTTTGTAAAGTTGACATGATCCAACGGTTAGTATCATGGAATCGAAGTTTTTTGACGGCTATGATTTAAAAAATTGATTTTTTTTGGGGGATTATTAATTGTTAATGAAATGGCATCATTGGTAAGAAATGCGTTATCCTTTCTACAGGGAAGAAACGGTTGGAGAAGAAAGGAGAGTGACACTGCCAGCAATGGTGTTGGCATGTGCTGTTGCGCTTTCTTCCACACTTTTAGTCCAAAAGTCTGTTCCTTTGATTTCACAAAGTTCAGGGACATCATTTGGTTCCTCTTTACTATTCAGCAGAGAGAATGATTCTGTTGTTCCACTTCTTGTTGTGTGTCATGCTAAGAAGAAACTCAATTTTGTGGACCAAATTCTTGATTACATTGAAGGTGGATAGTAATACCTTTACCTTCTTTACATAACCCATTTTTATTTATTTTTGGTTCTTTGATCAAGTTTCCAACCTTTCTTCATGTTTTGCTCAATGCTTGACTCTCTGTTCATTTAGGGGGTCCCAAATTAAGGAAGTGGTATGGTGCACCTGATCTTGAAAAAGATGGTACTGCCACAGAAGAATATGGTGATGATGATTATCCGGGTAAGTAAATATGGCATAATCATCCATACATGGCAATGGTTATATTTATACGGGTATCTAAGTATCATGTTTTTAGTAATAGTGATTTTCATCTGACACAAATGTTTAAAAACAGAAGATGAAGTCAGGGATGCAGTGCTGGTAACAGATGGAGATAGTGAGATGGGTCAGGTCTGCTTGCCTTTTTTATCCACTATATTACAAGTTTTGCTTAGTAATATTGAAATTCGAATTTTATATTATTGTTATAGATAGATATATTATAATAGTTAAAAAAGGAAGGACCATACAGTGCCAACTCCAAACCGTGAGTCGTGAGATATTTGGCAATGAATCCCATCACAACTTTAAAGAATTTCAACTACATAAATATGTTAGCTTATAACCAAAAAAGTGTGAAGATAAATTTATTAAATGCCAGCCATTGGATTGGAATCACACACATCTCTACCTGTGTAGATGATCCAATTCCATTAAGCAACATGATAACTTGTTCTTATCTCCATCTTTATTGTCATTAAGTTGCCTCCAAATTCTAAAATCTTATAGTTCATAAATGTCTTGTGTTTATTACCATGATTGATTTACATAATTCCAATGAATTCTGACTTGTGAGCCTGTTTTCTGGCTTTCGCAGATGGTGATATTGTCATTGATTGTGAAAAAAGCTCGAGTAAAGACACTGGTCAAGGATAAAAGGGTTGCACTTGAAGCCTTTGGAAGTTATGTTGAGGTGAGTGAAGTTAATTTGCAATACAACTAGGACATGGCAACTTTATGTTGTGTGTTAGTATTTTTGTCTTTTAGACTTTAATTTCTTGTTATTGATTACATGATGCTTGTTGCAAAGTCAATGGCAGGAGATACAAATGACAATCGGTTCCTCAAGAAAGCTCTGAGAGGAGTTCGCACAATTATATGCCCAAATGTATGCACACCTTCCTATGCCTCTTTAGAGATGGAACAAACAAATCAAACCCCCATAAAAAACAGATATGCTTATTTCAGTCTTAATAAAGCTTATTTTTCTGTCAAGGCTATATTCCTTTTTGTGTGGAAAGGAGGGAAGCTTCTCTTTTGATGTGCCTTTTGAATATAAGCTGCAACGAGTCATTGCTATTCAATAGAGAGTGAATTTCTATGATAGTTATATCTTTAGAAATGGCACCAAAGAATAATCTGTATCCAGGATACCACGGTCCTGATCAACTAACTGAACAGACATAGAGAAAGTACATATGCATGTCTACTTCTGTTATTTACTTGGATAACAGGGGAAAATCTTTGTGATATAAGTTTTAGTCCAAGCAAAGCATTTTATTTTTTACTAAAAACAATTTACCTCTATCCTTGATTCTGGTTCTTTTTTCCCCGGGTTTCATTTGGACCATAATGATGAGAATTAACCTTCAAACAATTTTCTGAAGAAATGCTTGAATTGTTTCATTCTTTTCCAGGAGGGTTTTCTTTCCAGCATTGGGAGCCTTCAAGGGGTACAACATGTAATCCTCTTATCTCAGGTACACTTTTTGGTCCCTCAAGTTACTTTCCTTTGCACTACAAAAACAAGGATCCGGATTCAGTGCAGTCTGTGCGAGAACTGCACTGAACATTTAGGCAAAATTTTGCATTTTTGCTTAAGCGAAAATGCAAGGGCTTAAGCGAAAATAAAAAATCACGTAACGGGACGGTGCAGTTACTGCACTGAATCCGGATCCCAAAAACAATCTTTATTTTGTTTTAATGAAGTTGCAGTTGTCAGTTTATAGTGGTAAAAGTGGCATTCAATCTATGATAAAAAGCAACGCAAAGAAATTGGCTGAGCAAGATGAATCAATATTAAAGACTTCAGGAATTCCTTACACCATAATTAGAACTGGTGCGTTACAAGATACACCTGGTGGGAAGCAAGGCTTTACCTTTGATGAGGTAAGGACTAAAGCCTTTAATTTCTACATTTTGATGAACAAAACAAATTGATACAAAAGGCATTAATTTCACAAGTGTATATGCTAATTGAAAATTTGGAAAACACTAGCAAATGCATTATATTTGGATCATCATTTATCACCTAAAACTGAAATCTCCTGAACATAAGAAGGTTCTGGCTATTTATATTATCATAGCTATGACCACTAATGTTATTTGATGACTACAACAATAGGGTTGTGCAGCTAGTGGAAGTATAAGCAAAGAAGATGCTGCCTTTGTTAGTGTAGCAGCCTTGGACTCTGTCCCTCAAACTGGATTCTTATTTGAGGTGGCTAACGGGGACAACAAAGTTTCAGATTGGAAAGTATGTTTGGCCACATTGATGGACAAAGCTAGTCAGCAACTTCAGTGACTGTTTTCATTGTTTACGTGCGTTATGGGCTTAAATGGGTTTGTATTTCATGAGAGAAAAAACAAGTTTTGTTTTTTTTTTTCTTGCAGTGTACAAAATTGTTGGTTGCAGACTAGACCGCATATTTTAGGGGCACTGGTTAAATAACTAATAAATAAATAAAATTATTAAAATTACGATAGAGATACATTAAAATTTATAAGGGGGTATATTGTCACATTTTTTAATAAATTCTTTTCTTAAGGATATTGATTACTAAAATTTGTTATTATGACTTAAGGAATCTTTGGCACCACTTCAATGAGCTAAGGATACTCTATTGAATCCAACAGCAGATGGTGTTATGCATTGGTGTGTTTTGCTTGTTTACTCACACTTTGTATTTTGCACCACCTTTAGAAGTATTAGTTAAAAGATTTTTGTTATCCTCAACTCTTAGAGTTGCATTTAAACATTTAAAAATATAAGTTTTTATTAAAAAAATACATTTATTATATCAAAATTATAAAAGTATAACATATTTTTTTAATAAATTTTTATTATTATGAATTGTTTAAATTCAGCTTTAAAGATTAAGGTTAACATTTTTCTTTAATTAAATTATGTAAATAATTTCTCACTTATTAATCAAGCTCAAAACGGGTATATTTAAATAGAAGAAATGGGATAAGAAATCCACCAAGAGATGCAACACGAAATAAATAAATAAATGAAAAAGGATCTCACCTAACCTGAACATGACCATGTCCGAAGAGAAAGCTCGATTTCTTGTCTTTGAGTGGACATGGTAGGAAGGACGTTGTCTTTTGGATTATTACTTACTACTATTCAGAGTTCAATGCGCACTACCTCTGCGTTGCTAACAACTATTTGAAGTTTTATTTAATTTTTTTCATTTTCTTTTAAATTATCAAAATGATGATAAGATTCAATGTTAGTCACTAACGATGATTAATACAAACAAAGCAATCTTAAGAAAGTCATTCAAAATTTAGATAAAAATATAACATGTATTAATCCCTTAAAAGGTATAATATTTTAAAGTAAAAAAAATTATCTAATATGAAAGTTTCTTCTGAAAATATAATTTATATTATAAATGTTGAATATCTCAATGAGAATATTATTCTTATTAAAAATGCTAAACAAGTTGTTTTTTTGTGTGGCTAAAATGTATTTTATATTTGAAATTTTTTAATACAATCTTTTAAATTAATTCTAAGCAACTAAAAAAAAATAAAATTTTATTAAAAATATTTATTACATTTTTATCTTTCTAATATAATAAATACCATCTTTTAATTAAAATCTTGCCTATTTTTATGATTTTTTTGTGCATATTGATTTAGTTATCCATTATGAGTTTTGTTTAATTTATTTAGGGGATTTCCTACTCATCTTATCAATATAACTTTTTAAACAAGTTCATATGAAGATAACAGATAAGATGGTATTTATAAAGTTAAAAGTATAGCACCGAATATTTTCAACCAATTATCTTATAGTTGTAAGATATGTGGTTACTTATAAAAGTATATTTTGAGTCAGTTTGAAGTAATTTATAAAAATAATTTATGATTTATGATTTATATTTTTTATTTTTATAATTTTTTAGTATAATTCATCTAAATAAATTTTTAATTGGTTTTAATAAATTTTACAATATGTTATAAACCTTCATGTAATAATTTATTAAATAAACACTTAATTAAACACATTTTTATTATATATCTTAACTTTATAAATAATTAAATGAACAGGAATCGAGACATAACACAAATTCTTTCTTTCTTTCTTTCCTTTTTTAGACTCAAAGGATTTTAGGATTAATTTTTATTTACAGTTTATAATTGTTATTAGTCTGATAAAATTTATACACAATAAGATTTAAATGCAAATTTTCTATTAAATAAATTAACTCTGCATATAAATGCAATGATACTGTACAACATTTCACCTACCCTTGGGATTTTATAATACAGATTTACTTGAGCATTATAACATATTAAATATCAACTTAATTTATAATGGAAGATATTTTTATTTTTCAACACTGGATGTGGGCAGAAAAGGGCGCTGATTTATAGGCTAATCTTTTTTTAATGATAACTTTAATCTGTACAAGATTCTGTAGAGTACAGCGACATGTTATTTCATTTATTGGGAGTGGGTAACTATGTAATTTTAAATTTTAGGTGTGGGCCAATTGGAGGCCCACCACTCAACATGTTGGTAGGCCCACCATTAATAACATGTCCACAATAAGCCAAACCTAAATACACCAAAATGAATACATAATTGTTGTTGCCCACTTCTTATTAACTATCATATAGATCTACTTATTGGAAAATATATGTAGAAAAATACTGACAATTATCGAATGCGGATAAGCCACTGCTATACTCACTCAACACTTTCTTTTGCCATTTTGTGGTAAAAGTTTTCCATAGATCACATGGGGCACAAGATTCAAGTTGAAAACCACAAGGCCAACATTGAAATCACAGGATTCTTCACATTTTAGGGTTACCAACTAAAAAACCATAGTGGCTGTTGATTTTATCAAAACAAACTTCCAAATTAAACATGAAGCCTATGCATGATTTTCAATGGTGACTAAGAAACATAGATGGGTTAGAAGAAAATTTTTATTTATGTAAGAACCTGCAATGACTTACATTGATCAAACAGTCATTCAGGCAAGCTCAGAGAGCAGAAGTAACATTGACAAGTGGAAAGAAGATAAGAACAGAAATTAGGCAAAGAAGCAGCTCCCCTTCTTGTTTTCACCCTTTTGCTATTATAAACCTATCCTTCATCATGTCAAAACCTCTTGATTCTTGGCGGAAAGCCGTTTGAGAAACTCATAAGTTGTGATCATTGTTGTTGCAGACATTGACATTGAAGCCCATCTAGGTCCCAATCCTCTATAACAAGCCATCCAACCACCTTCCTTAACCAGACTCCTCACTGTCTGCATAACTGTCGGTCCACGGCGGCCGTTCTCATCGCTGTCCAAGACCTGCAGTCTTGTCTTGATGGTATCCAACGGCATGGTTATCAAAGCAGCCATGCCACCTGCCATTGCTGCACTGACTCCCTGAACTGCCATCACAGTCTTGGTATCAGGCTTCAATGCATTATTAGTTGCACTGTCACTCCCCTCCTCACCTTTCTTGCACAAGTAGTACCCAACTCCACCCCAAACCATTCTCTGTGCAACAGAATATGAAGCCCACCAAACTGCATTTGAAGGTGCATAGGTCAAAATTGATATCCCAAAACCCCTATACAAGCCTTTAGGACCATCAGTGCTTAGAATTTTCCTGAAGGCATCAATCCCATTAACATACCGAGAAGCCACCGCCTTAGGATTACCGGAATCAGAACAATCTTGAACCATCAATCTTTGACTCACAACATCAACTGGGGTCCACACAAGCTGAGCTGCCATGGCTGCACTCAAGCCAGCAGCTGCGTTAGCAACTGCAGCAGCAGTAGGTTCTGCAAGACCAAACCGCACAGTAGCCGTGCCCACATTGCTCTTTGTAACCTCTAATGCAGCCATATATAGAGCTCTAGCAGGGATTGTACCCATCAAAGAAGTACCAAACCCACGATACAAAGCTCTAAAACCCTCACCCCTAATCAATGAAAATGCAGTCTTAATGCTAGAAACTTGAGACTGAGCCACTTGTTGCCTAGTTTTCAACACAACAACAGGGTAAAGGGTTGCAGAAACCCCAGAGAAAAGTGCAGCACCAAGGAAGAAAAACTTTGATTTATCAAGCATGTGCCAATCAATCTCGGCCGGGACATGAACCTCTTCATCAGGTTCTTCCTCGGCCACACTCATGTTCATTTTCGCCACTTTCTCAAACCCCAACAAAAACCCTCAATCAAAATCTGTTTTTTCCTTCAAAAACACTCTCCAACCCTCACCATCTACAACCCTAACTGTACAATCCAGCAACGAAAATTGACAAATAAAGAAATTATAAATTTTTTTAAAATAACAAAAAGGAAAAGAAATTCTAACTGTACAATTCGCAAATTACAATCGCGTGTTAAGAAATTGAAAGGGAAATATCACGAGGGGTTAAGGGAACGAAGTAGGTTGCTTTTTTTTTCCTCTTGTGGAACCAGGTTTTGGATCGAACGTGAGATACGATGAATAGATCTAGCATTTCTTAATCATCAAAGGGAGTGTCGCAAACGATTCATACCGGAAAACCCATCAAAATCGAGGCCGGCGACGGAAAGTCTGAACCTTACCGGAAAATTGGAGGCACCCATCAGCGTCAGAGAAGAATATATATAGACAAAGTTCAGAGGATCGATGATAACAGTGTTATGAGAGAGAGAGAGAAAGAAAGAAAGAGAGAGAAAGGTGTTACCGGAATGAGAGGTGGATTTGAAGGAGGGAGAAGGAGTGATAACCCGACACGTGTCGGTTGTGGATTAGGGGCATGTGTTAGTTTGTTAGGGTGTTTTTGTTTTTGTTGTTGGTTTGTCAGATGGACTGTTGTCCGAGAAAGTTAGTGACGTGGCAATCCTTATCCATTGTTTGCTCGAGTTTGGTTCTCCTGTGATGCGCACCATGCAACTCCTATGTTCATCCCCACTATCATATTATTTTAAAAAGAAAGGCTAAGATATGATATCACCCTTTTAAATATTTTTTATTATAGATTAAATTTTATTAAAAATTATTTAAATTTTACTTATATTTTTATAATTTTAACTAATAAAAAGAGTATATTAAAAATATGTTAATAACATAAGCTTATTTAAAAATTATAATAACTGATTTTAAGAGCAAACACAAAAAATTTAATAAATTTTTTTAAAAAATTATTGTAATTAATCTTATGAATTATTACATTTGTATAATATTTTATAACTTAAAATAAAATTTACTATACTTATGTTTTTATTATATAATCTCTCACAGTTGATTTATGTGTTAGTGGGTGCTTAAATTTTTACACTATATTTTTATAAATATTAGGAATTATTTTAAACAGTGAAGAATTGTGCGATTTAAAACTTACATGCATGGCAGATAAAATCAAGTTTATTATCGTAGTGTAATATAAAAAGATGAATGGATAAGGTTCTTGGCGAAAGATTGTTCTTCTATTGGTTCAACACATTGATTAGAAACGTGATATCACAAGGATTATAATAAGATAGATTTACTTATCTGAGTCTTCACGGGACAATGTTTTGTGAAAACAAAGGTATATACATCATTACATATGATTTTAATAGTTGGAGCTTATTAAATTTTGTTTATTTTATGTAAAGTATTTTGTGTGCTTGGTGTGTTTTTAATTTTACTAATTTTTATTGTAAGAAGCTTTTATAAAGATTGAAGCCTTTATCCCTTTGTAAGTGTTCTTCATACAGCTCGAATATTGACATTATAAAGATTCTTCAATTGATGAATGGACATAACAAACAAATAACTTCAACTTTTCAATATATATTTTTTAAATACCATTTTATATATTCTTGAAATCGTTTTTTTAGAAAAACGTAAATAAATAGGCCATTAATTTAATTTAATTTAATTTTCATATATTTATTAATACACTACTATATCAAGCTTTATCTAGCGATTTCACTGAAAAACACAACTTAACCAAATAGTATTAATTAACGGATAACACAAATTTGTCTAGTCTCGTACATATATAAACTATCTAAGGCTCAACTAATTATATTGTATCGTTTTATTTATGTTATTTCTTGACATGGATCAAACACAAACATTAAATAAAAGATCATTATTAGAAAAAAAATAAAAAAATCCTGAGAAAGATCCCAGAAAAATATGAGGACAAGAGATTTAAAAAGCAAATGTGCTAGACATATAATTTGGAGCTTGGCCCGTTGAGCTATATATGGTGTTGGGCTCTGGCCCAACCGTAAGACTGAAGTCACCATCCAGTTTTGTTTAGACATAACCACATTTTGTTGAGTTGACAAAAATTTAATTCTAAAATATACTGACACTTTTTCAGGCTTAAATTGTTTAATGTGATTCATTTACAAATCACCTTTCACATGAGCAATGCCTAATCCAAATTAGATCTTAACATGTGAAGTAAGATAAAGAAATAAACTTTCTTGAGCCACGTTAATGATAAACGAAGATTTAAGATCTATTTACAAATTTTATAAAAATAATTTAAAATTCCTGTAAATTTTTTGCAGCTTATTTTAATATACTATAATAAGTTATTTTCAATTTAGCCTAATAAATTTATTAGATTTATGACATAAGTTATCATTTGAAAATAATTTATTGAACAATATCTATCCAAATGCACCCTTATACTAATACATGCCTTCAAGTTATCTGTGGGATGTATTCTACTCTCATTCAATTCAATTACTTACACAAACAGAAGAAACCAAACTAGCATAACAGCATACCTCTACTCTACTGGAAACACTTCTGCTAAAGAAAACTGAATATTATTTCTACAAAACATCCTATAGCCTATACAATTTTTCTAACTATTAACTCATTTTCATTGACTTTATATTTACTAGACTTTGAAATCGCACCTTCAAAACAGACTATATCAAAACTTCATCACCAGCCCATTACAGTTTTGTAGTTACAAAATGAACGATTGTTGATCAATACTAAATTCAACCAGTCTACATAACCAACCTTAATGAGAAAAGACTTGGTGATATGGTAGATTTAGCCACGTGCAGATGCTATGAACTTCTTCAGTAGCCAAGACAAGAATCGGCCCAGAAGGAATAGACACAGCAAAACAACCGAGGCAGCCCAATATAATGCATAATAAACAGTGATGTGATAAGCAGTTTTATCTAGAGGGTCCATCACCATCATAATAGAAATAACATAAGCTCCTGCAGTGCAATACACTGAGATACACATGGCTATTATGAGCAACCACATAACCAATCTGTTACTGAGGGTAAATCCAAAAATAAGCAATAGGATTATGGCCTGAGATGCTGAGAAAGATATGGTACATAACAGCATGAATATCTCATATTTTAACTTTTGGTTTGTATCACCAAAGGCTAAAACTGAAGTACCAGCTTTGCATAATTTTCCAGAAGCACAACCGTTTTGGCTATTTGTGTCTTGTTGCCAAACACCCCCTGGTGGGTTTATAGCAATTTGGAAAGTCATGGTTGCAATAACTGTGGCTACTAACATTAGGGAACCTCGTTTCTGTTCCATCCAATCCCTTTGATAGTTTTCGTACTTTGTGAATGGGCCTTCTCTTGGTTGTTCTCCATTCTCAATCACAGCACTTGATGGTAGTGACCCTCTCTCCATCTCTTTTCTGGCGCTCTTCTATATCTGTGAGGAATTTTTAATCAAACCATCACAAGCTATGGCTATGTATCTTTTGTAACTCTTAATAGAACTTCTAAGGGTCAAAATTAGTAATGCACTTTTCACAGAAGATTCGCTGCAGTGTAGCATGGGAATTAGTCAAACGAGTATAGCAATTAACAAATAACAATCGTATACTTTCTATGATCCTTCCGCAGAATAGAACTCCGTGTTTGGATCACGGGATTTAAGGGCCACAGATTTGTCAATCGGGTCATGATAAAGTTCCTTATTTTAAAAATATTTAAACTCAATAACTTAGGAAAATGGTTCATATAGCAGCTTGTTAAATAGGTAATCAAATCCAATGATGTAATGGATATGTCTAGAATCTATAATAAGTTAAAATTATATGACTTACTCAAACTGCATTATGATCTCCATATAGTTATCTTATACTAGTATTATCATCCGTGTTACGTCGGATACCGTCTCAAAAATTATCATTTAATTTTTATTTTATATTTAGTGTAAAATTTTAACATAATTTACAATTTGATAGTTTTGTATCTTTATTGTATATAAAATACTAATATTATACTTATTTTAAGATTTAAATGGATTTTATATCTTTGAAAATATGATATTTTGTTTTAAAAATTAGTTATTTAAGTCCTTATATTTAACAGAAAAAAATCTATTTTAATTTTGTTATCCGAGAATTATTAGAGACTAAGAAGTAATCTTTATATTTATTAACGACTACAAATAAAGAAAATTTAAAGAAACTTCCATTCTAAAGAAGTTAGAAATTAAAAATATTTTAGATTATTCTTCACATATATATAATTTTAAATAAAGATAAAAAATAATTAAAAAAGCCTATATATTTAGTTATATTTTACATTTTATATTTTATCATCTAATTAAAATTAGATATTTATGAATATCTAATTTATCTAAAATTTGATATAAACAACCAACATGTTACTGTCACATTATTTTAATTGTTAAATAATTAATAAAATTTAACATTTATAAAAGCCTGTTAAGTAAATAATTTTGATAAGGATTACTTTTATATAATATTTGGTTAGAGGGATTTGGAAGTTAAGGAAGAAATTTTATAATTTTATCATGTTTGATTCAAATTTTTGGATAAGAGAAAGGGGAATGGAGGGTATTAGTTTTAATTTTGGCTTCCCCTAGATTAGAAAGATTTGAAGAGAAGAGAAACAAAACGTAAGATACGATAAGAAAAATCATACAATATAAATCTAATTACATGTATTTCATATATGACATACTAGAACATTGGACTTGTATCAGCCCCGTCAAACTAAGGAAGAAGAGACGATCTTTCTCGTACAATTTTTGTCACTTCTAGAATAAAGACGAGGCTTTGAATCTCTCGTATGGTTATATAAAATGTGGAAATACAATTTCTCAGGATCCGTTTGATAAATATAAGAATGAATTCTTCTCGTGATCATACACGTTTTAATGTAAAGATTATAGTTATTGAAGTATTTATGTCAATTACGATTAATGATTCTAAAGTAATTATATTAAAATAAATTATAGAGAATTTCAAAACATATGGACCGTTCTTCTTGATCATGCCCAGTCACGATGAATAGTAAAGAAGATCCTTCCATTGAACGTGCAGAGACAAGACCAGCATCATTCACGACAAAGCTTTATTGTTATGTTAGAATAAAAGATAGAACAATAGAAGAAGCAAGTTCTACAAATGATTAACCGAAGCCTGGCTAGTATTTTTGGGAGCTGTTGAAGTCTCACTCTTGTTGATAAATATATTCACTCCCCAAACAACAAAGCGCACAGTGAGGAACAAACCCAGAAGACCTAACAATCCGATCCAAACGTGAAGCATTTTTTCATGAACATTGCTAGTTTCACCCCAAACAGGATCTGGGGTGACCATTGTAACGGCGTTTAGGTATGCAAGTGCAAGGCTCGTAATAGTAATGCACATACCAATTGATAGAAGCCACATAGGGAAGCGATGATTGAGAGGAAGTCCACTCACAAGCAAAAGACAAACACTTAATGATGCAATGAAACAAATAGTGTTCCATAAAAGGAATTGGAAATATTCATGTGGGAACACAACCGCTAAGATTGCTTCTCCGGGACATGGTACCATTTTTTTTTCGTAATTTTTGCATCCAATGTCGTCTCCAGTGTCTTTTGCTGGCCTAACACCACCCGGTGGATTAAAAGCAAATTGAAATGTCATGGTTGAGATCACTGTTGCCACCAAACTAAGGTTCCCCCTCATGTCTTTTAACCATTCATCCTTGTCCTTGTGTGTTAACCAACTCCCTACACATTTTAAAAAACTTCTCCACCCATTGTTCTTTATAGGTGTATCTTCTACAACGCTATCGTTTGTTGTGGATTGTGTTGACTCAGGATGACCCATTTGATTGTTCATCTCCTTCTAGAGCAGGTATGTAGGAAAAACAAGGAATGAAATTGTCAGACCAGTGTACTTAAATTATAGTTCTTGACCGAAAAATTATGCCATGTTAATGTCATGCAACAAAATTAACATGAACTATAATTAATAAATTAGTACTATGTCATAAACTTTTCACTTTTGGTAAACTAGTTAATGTTACCTTACTTGAAAAGAAAATATAGAACATCTAAATTCTGTGAGATAAGGATAATCGAAACAGATGGTTATTTATATTTGAGTGATGTTACGGAAGAACCGCTAATTAAGTATAATTCAAATTATATATTTATTAAATTATTAAATACTCTCAACAAATGCGGTAAGTTTAGCAGATCCAAACTTGAGTTAGTTATTGCATTACATATAATTATTTTATCAATTTTTTATGTCTCATTCCTAATTATGTTGTATCTCTGTTTTTTTTTTTTTAATTCAAGATACGTTTATTTCTTTTGAGGACTGTTTAAATTTATGATGCTGAGGAGAAAAGATGGTGTGTGAGCCCCTAACATCATATTTAAGGAATGTAGTTAACACTTTAATCGCTTAAAAGTTTTTCATCAAGCTCCTTGCAGTTGAGTTAATCTATAATTAAGAACTAATCTACAAACAACACAAACATTCATTAGGAGTTTGGGACGATAAAATCTTACTTACCTTTGCTTGCTTTTGTATGAATGCTGAAGATACTACTTGAACTTTGCGTGAAGTGTGCTTTTCAAGCCAAGTAAGGCATATATATATAAGCTAAGAGTAGGGGTAAGGTGGGGAACTTTCGTTTAGATTCCCATGTGTTTGGATGAGCTATATAAAAGGACAAATTAAATATTATAAGAACAAAAAAAATATAATAATCGATGATGATAATCAATTTCACGTTTGTATAATCCAAAAGTGACTAGAATTATATGTTTTGTGTAATTTGTATAATTTCTTATATCATATGATGGGATTTGAAATATGAAGGGGACAATTCAGTGAAAACATAAATCACTACAAAATATTAATCTGATTAATTGTAATCAAAATGTTATAATGATTAGACTGAGTACACTGTGTTTAATTTTATCGTACGATCAAATTGCATTATATCTAAACCAGTCTTATACAAATATTTTCCGATTAAACACAATTAACAAGCAAATTAAAAATTTAGCATGGTTCTGGAAGATTTCATCTTCGTGAAACAAATATACCCTTAATTAAAGTTTAAGACTCCACAAAGTGTGAGCCACAAATATTAATGGTGGATTTGCTTAGAGTTGGAAAAATATCAAAGAGCATATATAATAAAGAATCTTTGGTATAGCAAGAATATCTTACTTTATAGCTTCACTTGATTATTGATGATAACAATGTTTGACAGCATTAGGCAACTTCGGAATGATAAATGAATGCTGATTTTGAGTTTTTTTTTTTTCTTTTTTCAAAACTTGTCTCTTTTACTTTTTTGTTCAAAAAATAATTTAAGAAAAATGCTAACTTCAAAGTCCAGATTAGGTTATAATTTTTAATATATTTTTAATAAAAAATTATTAGTTATTAGTTTTTTAACAAATGCTCTTAAAGCATTAATTAATAAAAACCTATAAGAAATCCTAAACAGGAAAGCAACCGACATTATTTATTTGGTTAAATAAAACACATCATTAAATAAAGAATACACTAAAAGAGACTGACCAAACACTAAATAATGTTATTATTACTTGAAATAAAATAACTATGAAGGAAAAATATATTATTTTTATATAATTTCTTATATAAATTAATTAGAGCAACATAATGGAGAATTACTTTTGTAAGATATGTATACATATTTATTAAATTAAAAAAATTCTCACTGATCAATCTTAAGAACACTAGTTAAAGAAACAATAATATATAATAAACTTTTATTAGAATGTTTTTTTTTTTAAATTTCTTTTGACATTATATATATATATATTATCAATTAATTGAATGAATAATTATATACTTATTATTTTTATTTAATATAAATAAATTATTTAAACAAAAAATAAAGAATAGAGTGAGTTAGAATTATTTTGTGTAAGTTATTTAAAAAGTTAAAAAAAAGAAAAGAAAATATTATTAGTTAACTTCTAATAAGTTAAATCTACTTAAAGTGGTTTTCCATAAGTCAATTTTATTTATTTACCAAATAGCTATATAATTTATTAATAAAATATGATTACAAACTCCAAAATAAATTATAAACATATACGTTATCTAATGCTAATCAAGAGAACCAATACATGACACACATCATTTTTGATATTATATATGTTATGTGTAACCTAAGATGTTCTTAATGGAAATATGGGGTTAATTAAACAAACGAACAACACAATAAATGAACAGATGGGAATAAAGAAAAATGATATAAAAAAATGCAAGACAAAAAATAAAAAATAAAGTGTAAAAAAATTATAATTCTTCTTTAATAATTTTTTAAATAAATACTGAATAGTATTATAGCTAGTGTTATATCTAGATATGTCACAATTAACTTGCGTGTGGTCTCTAAATTTGTTTTTCTAGCTTTTTGAACAAGGAATGCCTTTGAGGTATACATGTTTGGCATTTCTATGTAGAACATAATAATAATCTAATGAATGTAAATAAATAAAAAATGAATCTTATCGTAAATGTATATTTATCATTTTATAAGGTAATGTTCATATTATACAATGAGATAAGATGTTTTACCAAACATATCATATTCTTTGAAAAGAGCTTTTGTACAAAATAAAGTAATCATCGTTTAAAGTAGCTTTTATAAAAATAAAGTATCCACTAACTGGTAAAATCTGATTCACTCAAAGTGAGACATTAATTATTGACAATGCGTGGGACCTGAGATTGTTTGGCATGGTATATGAAATATCACACAACTTGTACTCAAAATTTCAACCTTAATATTACTTTTATGGTATTAGCCCATATGCTAGCTTAGCTGTTCAAAACCTTTAGGACATTACAGTACTCTTTTTGTTAATCCATGGTGGATTTTTTATTTTTTATTTTTGGTTTCAAATAATAATGTTGAGGGTTGTCCCCACTGAAATTGCAATACTCTCGGTAATTAAATTTCAAAATCAAAGTTTAAAAGGAAGTCATAATCAATTTTAATCAGTTATAAAAATATTTAAAAATTAGATTATGAATCGAATCGAATCGAATAAATTGCATGTTTAAATTCACATTTGAATTATTATAAATTTTTATTTATTTAAATATTATTAGTTATAATTGGTACATGAGATTTGCATTACAAAATTTTTAATGTGTTTGTACATGTCAATTTTTACTCATTTTCTCGACCAAGATAAACAGGAACTATTTGAAAAGCATTTTGCGGGTGCTATTATTTTCTTGTTCTCCAATTGACCAGATTTCTATGAGAAGTGTCACAGGTAAAAAGAAATGAAGAATGTAAAAGAGAAGAAGAAGAAGAAAATATGAAAAGAAAAAAACAAAGAAGAAGAGAAAAAAAGAAACAGAAATAAAAACAAAGAACAAGAGAGTATGTATTCTTTCGTCTGTCTTTTTACTCTTTTGTGTTTGTTTTTTAGTTTGTCATCGCAAGTAATCATAAATGTTGGGTGTATTACACTAAAGAAGGGACTGTAGAATAGTAGAATTCAAAAAATATATTAATCAAATTTAAATTGCAAATTCTTAAGATTCACCTCATGAAATATAATAAGTAGCTTTTTAATGTTTGATTCTGAGAAGTATGTTAGGCAAAGATTTGAAACAAAATTTGGTAATTATTGATGCTAAATTATCCTCAATCTTATTGATGCTAAATTCCAATCAACATTCATCGTTTCAATTGTTTTTGGGTGTTTCGAAGGATCATCCTTTTCTGAGATATATCTTGTCAAAATTATGAATTCCCTGTAAAACTTGAACAAAAGACCTTATCCCCAAAATTTGATCCTTCAATAAGAACAATTTTTTTAAATCAATTATCTCCTGACGAACTATTCTTTGAGCTGTTAGCAAAATTTGTACATCTTATATACTTTCATCAAAATTCTCGTTCTTAAACTTACATATAATCTCAACTAACAAATTTTCGATTAACTGCTCTCGATCTTATATCAAAATTTATATTTCTCAAATATTTATCGAAATTCTAACTTCTAAATTTCTATCGAAATTGTCACCTCAATTTTGACTCGTCTCAAAATTGTCACTTTTTCTTCAAATATTAATTTTAACTTTTCAACATATAGAAAATTTCACACCAAGACCATCATTTTTGGCATCAAGATTTTAGTACACGTCAAAACATCATAAATACTACTAAGGGTAAAAAGTGTCTGCTTCAATTTACTAATTTTGTTTCTTTCATTCGTTCTAAGTGCACTAAACATTAAACAATGCAATTGATTGCGGTGATCAAATGTTTGACCTAGTAAACTTACTGCCATAACAACTAAAAACACATTTTACACTTTTGAATAAATCCGTTTGACGTGAACTTGATATAAAAAATGTCCGAATAAATTGAACAAAAAGAATTTTAAAATTTATATAAATCTAAAAATTCAAAGCTGAAATCTTATAATTCAACAAAATTGCGTCAGTCTAACCAATTTTATATTCTAGAATAAAGTCAGTCTAAACCGTTTGAGTGATGATAAATACTTAAATTAAATATTAATTTAATTCTTTTTGTATATTTCATTAATAATATGCTTGAATTTGATTTTTACTTATCTTGATAATAAAATCAATATTGAAATTTTTACCAATACTTAATATTTTTAAGTAGAGATCTTATTTAGTATATAATGAGTCTGAGGAGGAGAGTATAGGATGGTATATAACTAAATGATCAATTGCTGTGTCACTCATTTGTAAATTGGAATTGTCCCTCCGTTGAAGAAAATGGAGCTCAGTTGCAGAGGAGAAAAGAGAGGATGAAGAAAGCCTCTGATTTATTTACGAATTTGATATATTATTTGCCATTGGAAGCTCTTGGGTTTGGCAAGAAAGCATCACAAGAGGCAGATAAATTGACTTTAAGGGCTATGAAGGAAACTAAAATTCATCAAGCACAAATATGTAGTCACTCAAATCTTCTAGTCTCTAATTTGGTGATTTACTTGCTCTACGCAATTCAATAAATTCAATTACAAATACCAAAGAACCAAAATCAGCAAACGTCTACCCAATATACAGTTTAATTATTTGCTTAGACCCTTGAGAGTAAGGAATTTAATCTATTAACTCCCGAAACAACTAAAATTTACATACCCAACACTACAACAGTTGATAACAATAAATTTCAACCAAGTTCAAATAGATCCTAAGATACATCTAAATAATATGCTATACATACGGAACTCCTTCAGTGGCAGCAACACAAAAGGCGGCAAAACTTCTTGAGTATCCAAAACAGAAGGCGCAGGAAGAGTACCAGACACAGCAAAGCAATTAAGACCACCCAAAATCCTGCATAGTAAAGGGTGATGCGATAAATTGTTTTGTCAAGAGGGTGCAACAACATCCAAATAGAAGTCACATAGGCTCCTGCAGTGCAAATCACTGAGATGCACATAATTATTATGAGAAACCACATAACCAACTTGTTTCGTAGGGGAATTCCACAAATAAGTAATAGGATAATGGTCTGAGATGCAGAGAAAGATATGGTACATAACAATATGAAAATTTCATATCTCAACTTTTGGTCACTGTCACCAAAGGCTAAAACTGAAGTACCCGCTTTGCATGTTTTACCAGAAGCACAACCGTTTTGGCTATCTGTGTCTGCTTGCCAAACACCCCCTGGTGGGTTTATGGCAATTTGGAAAGTCAATGTTGCAATAACTGTGGCTACCACCATAAGGGAACCTCTCATCTCTTCCATCCAATGCCCCATTTTGTTTTGGTACCTTGGATCACTTGGATGATGTACTCCATTCTGATTCACAACACTTGTTGGTAGTGACCCTCCATCATCCATTGCTAAAGTTTCAGCCTTTTCTCTTCTATATTAAGATGCAGTGTGGTAATTTAATCATATGGGAATAATTAATGCCAAGCATTTTCTCTTAACTAGTAGAGGTGATATATTTTCTGGGAACCTTCTTTTAGGTTGATAATTGTGGGATTGGGTCGACGTGATTGGAGTATCTAGAAATTTGACAAGGTCAATAGATTAAAACTGCAATACAAAAACCGGAGGAAAAGCGTTCGCATAGCAACCGGTTTAATAAGTAATTAAATCTGATGATGTAAGAGATATATTTAGAGTTTGTAATGAACAAAACAATTAAATGAATAAAAAAGTCAAATTTCAAGAATGCAAGTTAATATTTTCAAATTCCAACTTTTAATTCAGCTTGTTCATACTAAACTATTAATAAATGAAAAAAAAAAGCAAGAGAAGTTTATTGATGTTATTCGTCCGGTTTTACAAGACAAATATACATGATGACAAGATCAAATATTTTATTTTGGGTTTTAGAAAGGAAGTGAAATATATGAGTGAAACTTGTACATCTATGGGTGATGCTGGAATGGTGTTTGGATCCTCGTAAAGAAAGGATGTGCAAGAACAAATTATCTCTTTGTATAAATCTATATACTATACATATTTAGTCTTAATCTATAAGAATATTGGAAGTAATAGAATAAAATAACAAGATGATTAATGGACCCATGCCATTTTATGCATTATTGCTATTTCACATTATGAGAATCATGCTGGCTTCATGTATTAGTCTTCCATTTTAATTGTTCTAGTAGAAGGAAATAGTGAAGCACAGTAATTTTATAGAATTTGGGATATTAATATAAACCGAAAGATCAGCGAATGCTATCCTTACCCCATTCCACGATCCTCTAAGGCATTTCATCAAACATTTTCAAGGCAAACCCAATTTATACGCATTTAAGGCACATTTTCAACGATGGAGCTACCTGTAAAACCTAACGTAGAGGACCCTAATGGAGTCGTTATGAAAACACGAAACCAACGAGAAATTTTTAATTTTGTGGGAAGGAGAGTTGGGACAAGAGAAATTGATCTGTGCTTATAGATGGCTTTCACAAAGGTGAATTTAAGGTTAAGGGAAAAATGAATCATAGATTGATCTATTAAACCCTTCTATGTCCTAAGAGTTAAGCTATTACCACAAGTATTTACTTAGAAGTTTTTATTACCTAATCCTACTCTTCTATGTCACAAATTTTATTCTGTGTATACTACTTAAAGTATAACCCTGCGAAAGAACGAATGGTTAAATTAATGAATTTGATTGAAATTAAATGTAAAAGTTTTATACAGTCTTCTAATCTTGACTTAATATGTAATTAAAAATTATTTGTTTTGTAATAATTATTTTAAAAGTTTTTAATTAGTCATGTGCAAAAATATTTATAATAATGGTGTATTAAAATTAAATTATAAATTAATTAGGAAATCCCATGAACTAATTGAGAAATTTCTAAATAGGTTCCACACTTTGAAAATTGTAATTGTACGACTAAAATTAGAAATTAGCTCTTGGAGCAAGATTTTGTCAAAATACACAATATATACCGGTTTCTACATATAATGAGAAAATAAAATTTGTCATATTTTCCTTTAAAAATTGTGAGATAAATAAGTCAACCTTTATATAATATTATATAAATTTACAAATTAATATTATAAATTTATTTTCATAATTTTTTTTGCTAATTTAGTTAACAAGATAGTTTTAAATTAATTATATAAATATAATTATTTTTAATTCTTTAAAAAATTAGATTGCACATGACCTAAATTATTATAAATCTTTATAGTATTATATAAAAATAAAAAAAATTATACATTACTACTAGCATAATAATTTCATTTTAATTATATATATATAGATATATATATATATATTTTAATATTTAAGAGAATGTATACATACAAGTCTTTACAATATTACAACACATAAAAATAAGAAAATATCACGCATTATTACAACAAACTGAGTCCTATAAATTTATCTTTATTCATTATTGTTATTTTGAAAAGAAAAGTAATAATTTAAAAGATAATATAAAAAAACATGAACAACAAATTATATAAATTTTTAATATTTACATTGAATTGAATAAAAATGATAACAATAATAAAAATATTACCATCACATGAAACTTTTATATTCATTTTCTTTCTTTATTTTTCTTGTTATTAAAGAAAAAAGAATAGTAAGACTAAAACATCATGATCAAAATAAAATTGAAGAGAAAAAACTAAATAATATTTCAATAACAAATAACAATATAATTATTAATAATAATAAAATAAAAGAAACTATTTACATAAATAAACTCAACATAACCAAAAATTTAAATTGATTAGGCTGTGATACCATATTAAGAAACTTATTCATCTTTAAAAACCCATCTTTAAAAACCTAACTAATAAGAAGAAGATTAACTTAATCTTTATAAAGAGCATTCTAACTCTTCCTAATTAACATAAAACATGTTAACCATTATTATGATTAGAAAAGTAAAATAATTTACAAAAGAATGATATCTCAACTAAATTCTACCGTTATTAAGAAACATGATACTCATATTATATTAGTTTTGCTTTACCTTCAAACAACTTAAACACACTTGAGAAGCTAGTCATCAGAAAGAAACTCAAACACACTTGAGAAGCTAGTCACCAGAAAGAAGCGACTCTTACCCTATCGTTGCTGAAAACTCTCTGGTCAATTAAGCTTTCAATAAACGACTCTTGATTGCGGTTATCGCTCCTTCACTTCTTAAACTCGGTAGCTCGAGAAACTTCGCTCTCGCTTTTGTTCAATTATAAAAAACAAGCAAATTTGATAGAGACTTGTAGCAAAGTTTGATATACTAAACAATACCTTTTTTTTACTTGAGATTTTTCATCCAAAATTTATTAGAGTTGAGAAACAAGTATGCAGTAGCTATTGCATTAAGTTAAGAAGTTTATATTAACTTTTACTATATCCTTTAATAGAATTTTCTGAACATGTATCACCTGAGTTCAAACTTATATCAATTTTAAAAAATCAAAATAATCTAAAATCAATTTGAAAGCTCACACCCGAAAACACTAGGTCAGAGATGCAATATCAGTGTACTTTGAATAGCAGTATTACTCAATTTCTATACAATTTCCAAAATTGGTGAAAATGGTACTCGTTATGAAGTTTCATTGAATGCAACTAACATGATATTCTTAGTCAAAGAAGCAATATCTGTACACTCAATTGCTGTACAATTAGAATACTATTTTGGGCTCTACTACGTACAATGAACACCCCCCTCCCCCCACCCAAAAAAAAAAAAAAGCAAAAATAATTGAACTTGCACGACATAAGTCTTCAACCATTAAAGTCCGTTGAATGCTGCATAAGCTCCATCCACTGAAATAAGCACAACAATATAAAATATAACTTTGTTAACCAGGATCTTTATTTATTTATTTTTCTTCCTCAGAGAAAGAGTAAATGGACTCAAACTTACCTGTCTCAGCAGGTTTGCAAGAGTCCTAGGCAGCGCGTCAATGTTCCTCAGGACAATATAGTAGGGAAAGGGAAAGGAATCCATGTACTTGGAAAATTTCATCTTTCCACCCTCAAAAGATGCTTCCTGCAGCCCAGAACGTCATGATAAGAGAGAAGAAAAGTTGCATATACTCGATAAAATTGAATGACTCAAGAAAACTGAATGATACCATGAGGTCCATAATTGACTCCGGAGAATTATCCAGAAGCAAGAAAGCAACCATCCGATTACCAGTTGATACATCTCTAACACACCGCTTTAAGTTCTCCTAGAAATATTAAAATTGAAAATGAGCGACCAGAAAGGCCACTAGATATGACTAAAGAAAATATATAGGGGAAAAAGATTAAGAAAAAACAGGTTTCTTTATCAGGTACCTTTTCATGAAACCGACCATCTGCAATTATTAAAACTAGTTGCTGCAGGGGGTTATGTCCAGATGGAAGTCTTGCTTTTGCTACTGCAGTATCTAGCTTGTTAGTCAAGTACTTCAATAGATCAACAACTGGCTCATCAGCAATAGTATTCTCCTGCTTGAATGTCAAATTGGAGATCATCTGCTCCTCAGCCAAAACAAAAAGTCAGATCCTCTCACAAACAATCACAACACATGCATAACTATGTCAATAATAATAATAATAAACAAATATATTCATCCTGCTAACCTTAACCCCAGCCTCTCCAGTAAAGGGCCTATCAAAGTCGTGCAATAACTTTATGTTTCCTTTTGTGCCAAAGCTCGCAACAGCCAAGCTGCCCATCTCTAATTGAGAAACAGCACGACATACTGTGACCAAAGCTTCAATGGCAACATCACCACAGCAGCTCTCTGACATACTATGTGAATCATCAACAGCTATCACAACTTGATAATCCCGTTTGTTGGGTCTAGTCCGCCTCAGCCATATTCTGTCTTTACTATAATCACTTGCTATGTATGGAATTACCTGGGATTTATTTTTTGAAAAAAAAATGATGGTAAGCTAATCACCGATATATTTTCTCAAATGTTATATTTTATAATAAATTATCTACCTTTTTCATATTTATCCTTTTTCCAGTTCTATAATCCCCTTGGAGTTTGCTTGCTACAGTGGGCTCCATCACAAGGCGCAACTGCTCAGCTAACTCGAGAGACAATTTTGTTGTGCTAAGTTCGTATCTTCTCCACAGAGCTGTAGCATTATCTTTCAGATAATCAGGTACATCACAAGGATCTTGGCCTTTACCCAAATCCTTATCATGCACAGAAAGCTGGCTCAGTTTATCTGTGTTCTCCCTTAAGTATGAACTCCTGAAAGAAACCAAGTCTTCCAAGCGATTTTCATGATCAACATTCTTACTAGCAAGAGGGTCCAGTGATTTATCTTCTTGTGACTTGTCCAGGTCTGACATACTCACTTGCTCCCTTTTTCCATTTGTGGGGATTAAGGAAGATTTGCTTACAGAATCCATTTCTGATTTTTCCTTCTCAACCTGCAACTTTGCATCTTCTCCGGCAAGACATTCTTTATCAAGCTTATTGCCATCAATGTTTCTATCAACCTGCTCCGACGTTGCAGGTCCCAAAGCTTGGTTTGTCCCCTTCTCATATTCAGAAACATAGCCATACTCATTAGCATTATCATCATCCATTTCCCCCTGCTTCTCCATGTTATCTTCCTGAATATCACCAGATACTCTAATTCTTTCTTCCTGACACTCCAGCACATCACCTATACTTCGATGAGGATTGGCATGCCTTTCCTGAATAAATGAATTTTCATTCTGTGGAAGGTTTGATTTAGCTTGATTTTCACTGAATCCCCCAGTCTGTGATGAGTCAGACATCTTAAGATCCATCTCAGACATACTACTAGATGGCAAACCTCCCAAGAGAGCAGGGTTGTCAAAGTCATGATGGCTATTTGACGTATTTGAATCTGCTGCTATATTTTCAGAACCAGATGTCTGCCAATCAACTGTAGACTGTGATGTTAATTCGGATGGGGAAACTTGCTCATTAATCAACTCAGAAGATTTAGATGCATCTTTTTTTGGTTCTGTGATATTCATGTCATCACTATCTTGATGGTCCTGATTGAGATCATCTTTTTCAGAGTTTACATCAACTTCAGTATGTGCCTCTTCCATAACTTCATCAGGGGAGCATGTCTCTTCATTCTCATTTACTTCATTTCCATTCTTATCTGAATTACCTTGCTCATCAACTTCTCCCTCTTCCATGAGATCTGCATCTTCCTTTACATCCATATCCATGTCAGACGTTTGTTCTAACTCATCAGATTTCAATCCACCAGGATCTGAATATGCTGCTTCTTTGTCCATATTCACCTCATCTTCATTTTCTCCATCACCAATGTCATCCTGGGTTGCAGTTTCATCATCCTGAGCATCATCTTCACCACAATTCCCATCCCCAGGTTCATCGGTGACGGAGTCATCCTTGGCTCTTAATTCTCTGTTGCCCCCATTTCTATCCTGTACGGAAGGTCCAGCTTCATACTTTTCTTTTGTGTCATTGGGATTTTCATCTTCATTCTTATCCCAAACTTTTTCAGCCACTGCTTCACTGTCTGCTCCTGTGGGTCCCATTTCAGACTCAAGTTCTCCCTTTTCACCATCAATATCATCATCTTCTTCAGAGTCCTCACTAAGGCTCAGTGCATCAGCCTGAAAATCCTGTTCCATCTCGATTCCAGTATTATTGATACTTGGAATTTCCTTGGAGTCATCTTGCTTTTCATTTTGCTGCATCATTGACATAAATACATTATACAGAGCCTGAGAAATCTCTCATGCAAAAGAAGGATCTCACCAAATCATGCAAAATAAGCTTGAAAGTTAACCTGTTCACGTGTTCCCAGCAGCTGATCTTCATCAGCAATCTGATCACTCACATCCTTTAATCCAACACCCTCTCCCATACCTGTCCCACTTGCATCGCCAGATGTATTGAGGGATCCATCATCCTCCTGGTTTTCAGTTGAAATTCCAAAACCTTTTGAAAATAAAGAAGCTAAAATATTTGCAATCACATGTGTTGTTACTGACACCTGCAAATTGACATACATAATAAGATCATCCAAATCAATTAAGTTTAAACAACATTGAGCTATTAATAATTTAGAAAATAAGATATTGTCTAATGTATTATCTAAATACAAAATGTCAATTATATCATTTACGTCATTTTATCATGGGGAAAAAATGAGCTTATACACAGAATGAGGTAAGTGAGAAAGCTTACTGAGTTGTGCATGGCTAAGAAATTTTTCATGAGCTCATCACCCAAATTCAGTAATTGAACCATGAATGTATATAGATTTCTAAAGTGCGTTCCTACATGCGAATAACTGTCAATTCCATTCTCACCATGTTTAACCAGCTTCTCCTACACAGCAAAGGTATCATCAATTTTGTTATCTAGCAAGAGAGACTAATATAACATGCACGGAAACAAAACTTACCCCAAGAGCAATCGTTTTGAAAAGATTCTCGCACAATACGTCCAAGCTAAGATTTGTGACAAATGACTCAAATAGCAATTCCCATGAAACAATTTTTACCATGGACTCTTCAACTTCAACCACAGGAAAATTGTGTGACAAACATAAATTCTGCAATACAGTTGCAAGATGCTGATATGTAGACATAAGGGCTTCACTGAACCTGGCATCGAGCTCCAGAGTTTTTCCTTCACTAAGTCTATCCTCATCGGATAATTCTACTGGATTGGAATTAGCCTTTAAAGAGGTTTTAAACTCTTCCTCAATTAAATTTGCCTGAAGAGTAAATGTTTTTAAATACCAAATTTCTCTTCCAAATTACTAGACTTCACAGGATTAAGTCAAAAAGAATAAGTACCTTCTCAATTATTTCTTGAAAATGCTGAATCAAAACCTTTTTAACCGTGCTTCTATCTAGTTCATGCTGCTGTAGTTCAAGAAAACAATCCTTAAAACCCCTAATAGTCTTGAAATTATCTGATACCAGCTGTTTCATTTCTTGGGTAACAATGCAATGATGTGAGGAATGAGCCATTGCAGTGACAGCTCTGGTCCCCCCAATTAGGTAACTATCCAGTGATTCCTGTAATCATGTCTTGATATATGATGATCAAAGAGAATAGGTACTACACCAAATTTAAAGCAATTTACAACCAAAAACCAATATATGCACCTTTGATTTGCAGAACAGTGGTAAAAATTCTTCAATGGAAGCAATCATCTGACTGGCTAAAGATCTTTCTTTTTGACAAGTGTTTAAATGGCTATTTTCAAATGTCCTAAGTAGAAGCAATTCTTCTCGCGAAATAGCACACAGACTATCAAATAATTGCTGCATGGTCAAGAAAAAATAATATTCATATAAAAAACGCAAACACCAGAGCAAAAATAGATATTCAAATAAAATATTAATAATACTTGCCTTTTGTTGCCACATGCATTTATAAGTAGAAAGCTGATTTGGAATAATAGAGCACATATAATTAGAATTGCAATCACTGGAGGTGGAAAGTGAAAACAACTTTCCTAGAGTAGATACACATTCTCTAAAGCATTTCAATTGTTTGTCAAATGCACTGGCAGCAGTCAGTTGCTTCTGCTGTATCTGAATGAGCTGAATGAGGAAAGAACTAGAACTGTCAACCTACAGAAACCAAGTCCCACATTTAATATACAAATGCAGAATAAAATTTCATATTATTCAGAAGGCACACAGCAACAGGTGGGTCAGTCTGACACTTTTTCTACCACTGAAAGGATTACAAAAGCAATGTGGTAGACATGTAAAATTTACTTATTAAGTAAATTATCATTTTCAGTGTGAAGAGAAGTAGCAAAGTGACAGTACTATTAAAAAAAGATGGGACGAGGGAATATAAAAAAAAATAAAAACAAGAAGCAAGGGATGCAAATGAAGATAAAAATGTAAGAAAAAAAGGAAATCATCTTAAAAATTGAAATTTTTTAAAATGAAAACAATCATAGATACAAGATATCCACAGATATTGTCGTTACAATTTAGTACAAGTCCTTACACTACCAATATTTAGAAAAAGACATTTACCTGTTCAAGAGTTATATCTTTGTGTGGATTGAGACACATCTGCTGCAGAAGAAGCACGGACACGACACTTTTGAAGTAATGATCAATGGCTGTTTTCCACTCCATTAGAAAACTTTCTTCTGGGGCATTTTTATTTTCGACTCCAACAGCAATTCCAATGGTTAAATAAGGTAATCTGCAATTTGTTAGCAATAAATACTGTATGTTGCAAGAAAGCTGAAGGAACCACCAAGTTTCATGCTGGTCCTGCATATTTGTTTAATTAAAAAAAAGAAAAAAAAGTAAAAAAAATTAGCAATTATTAAAATGAAATAATCTAGACATTCATTAAAAGAAACAGGTGTTTTCATACTTCCATATATGCAGACTTGTGTCGAGATAACCCATTGCTTTCTAAAAGCTTAAGAAGGTCAGACAAAGCTCTTCTCTTCCCTTGACTCTTTTTTTCCTCCTTCCAAAGATTGCCACAGTCAACTGCTGTAATATATATTTTTTCAATCATATGCCACACAGCCTTCCATCCCTCTAGGTTAAGTGTATGTTGTGAATCACTGCAAGGACTACATATGCATCTGATATCTGCAAAGATTACTATCTTCTCAATATTTCCAAACAAGAAATCAACCAGACAAGAAAAGCTAGGAACACAAAAAATACAGGGATTAGAAAATGAGGGGAAAGGGAGGGGGACCTTCACTTATTTTATGTAAGGGTAAAACATCAAATACTGATGTTTTCTTAAGCAGAAAGTTCTGCAAAGCACTGTCTAATTCCTTGTTGCAGTTGTCAAACCATGTTAACCTACACCAAAAAAGACATGTTAACAACTTAGAATTACAAAAGATGATATTACATAGTATACACGCAGCTGCAGATAACCTGTTTTCTGCAAACAATGTCAAATCAAAAGCACCACTGAGCAAACCCTTGTTCAGATCATCATAAATGAGCTTATGACCATGAAAAGATTGAGCTTTTGATCCACTTAGTGCAGCTCCTTGATTAAGGAAAATTGACACAGGTTCTTGCAGAATATCCTTCAACGATAAAAAAAGAAAGCAACATATTAAAATCATAATTCATCTACAATTTAGACAAAAAAAATGAAACTTTGCCCAAATGAAAGACTAGGAACAAACATATTGCAATGAAACGAAAAAAATTGCTAATGTAGGGGGAAGTGGGGACCAATGTATTTGCACATAAAACTGAAAGGTCCTGATCCAGAACATTTCATTAAACTAATCATCATTGGTATAAGATTTATTATAATAGTTAAATATTTTAAAATTGAGGGAAATAAAAACCCTAGAAGAAGCTAATAAAGCTATATGGCAGAATAAATTAAGAGAGTCAGAGATATCTAACGAGAAAAATTTGTAGAAATTATTGAAGTTACTTGAATGTTCTAACAGGCTAACTTGATTAGTTGTCTAGTTGCCAATAGTTCATGTATAAACTAAGCCAACAAGAATAGTGAAAAACAGAAAAAAAAAATGCTTATGTTCGAATCAATTTTTGCAGAATCACATACAGTCTGAAACTTACAGTATATTTTTGTATAAGCTTCCTCAGCTTCTGTCGGCTCTTTTTCAAGTTTTCAATTGATACATAACTCTTGTCATGCTCCCACCGACATAGTTTTACTAATTCTTTCAGTTCAATCTCAATTTCTTTCCTACTAGTTTCAATGTACTTCAATACTCTGCAGTCAGATGCACAATTACACCCACAGACAAAAAGGCCAAGCAGAAAAATAGACAATATACTGGATAAACAATAAATCAAAGGAACTCACATGGGTAAGAACTGCACATAAAATCCAAAGATATTGAATAAGAATGCTGACTGTTCCGACAGACAAAGACTGCAGTGTTTAATAATGAGGGAAAACGTTCAGATTTTAATTTTCAAATGAGACAAATATTCTACATTTAATGCTAAATATTCACATCAAAATATGATGTGTCAAAAGGAAAAAAAATCCTGACTTTTGTTTTTGGGAGAGTTATGGTGGATTAAACTAAAATTTCCTATTTCCTTACATGACTATTTTTTTTCCTTTTTTTTTTTTGGTTTCAAGAAAACATAACTGCCAGAACAACAAATTGTACCTGGAATTATTTTTCAAGCATGCACTGGTATTGTTTTGGCCAAGGAAAGCATAGAGAAGCTGAAGACGTTTCCCAAATTCCCCAATGCTGGATGTGTGAATGAATTCCTTCAGGCTGCAAGGTACAAAAGCAAAACAAAAGTAACTTCAGAAAATTAGGTCACAAAATCTAAAACACGAAACTTCAATCAAACAGAAAGAATTTTAATCTGCCACATGCCTCAGGACAATTGATGGATCAGAAGAGCTGGGTTGCAGAACAGAGTACAGAGGAAACCACAACTGCAACCAAAGCAAGCAAGTAAGAAAGAAATAAAGCAATAATGTTGAAGAAAATAAGACAATCAAAAGCACAATGAACAAAACCAAGTCATAGTAATGAATCCCAGATCATGCATTGAGCAGCCAACCATAAGAACACTATTGCATTATAGCAGATTGATGAATGGCAGTTACATGAATATAGATACAAGACAAATAATCAAAAGTCATAGTCTAACATATAATCATCATCAATCTAAGATTCAGAACTCTTCAGAAAAAATAAGAAACCTCTATGATGTTTAAAAGAACACAATACAGTGAATACACACAAGCCTGTCTTTGAACAGACAGACAAAAGAGGAGAAATCAAAGTGCTGTGATGGGAGAACAAGGTTGGCCAAAAGACAAGATGCCACATCTCAAGTATTGTTGTCTATGCATTGAGATGTGTGTTAGAATTGCCAGTTTTTATTATTTTTATATTAAGCATTCATTACTTGAAGTTTGCGTGATTTAGGTTGAACTGTCAGTTTTTATTATTGTTTATATTTAGTATTCATTATTTGGTAGTTCTGAATTGTGGTTATTTTGTGTTTAAGGTCCAATACCAAGGAGGAAATAATAGTAAATCTAGAAAAGTACTTAACTATTGTTTTGTGCTCATATCTTTATCCTATTTAGAAAATTAGTATAAAATCCATTTTTGTCCTTACCTAATAATAGTCTATCCAATCTTAATCTTGGGTCACCAACAGATGTAGAATTTTTGAAATTTCATGTCAAGACCTCCATTAGTAGTTAACATATAGGTGCAGACAGTTTCTAGTTCATCTTATATCACGTGTACAACCGATGCACTAGCAAAATGACGGATTGCAACACTTCCAAGTATTTAGGGTTTCTTGAACCACAATAAACATACTGCTTAGAAAACATATATAACCAAAAAAAAAAAAAAAATAGAAAAAAAATAGCCATGCACTTACTTTTCCAGCATTATTCTCATACTGATCCATCACCTCATCAAGCAAAGCAGGCCAAGAGCCCAGTTCCATCTTTTGCCATGATGACAACAGATCATAAACAGATTTGAATTGACCTACAAGTCATTTACATCATAAAATTACTGAAATTAAATCACATAATTGAAGCTTCAACACTTGAAAGAGAATTCATACTTGAAAAGGAGAATTTTGAGCCATTTTCTTGCATAACTTGAGCTTTATACAGTAAAAACTGCAACCCGGAAAAAGCCTACAGAGGAAAAGACAGATAAAAATAGACAATAAAGTCACAAATGAAATCATGTTTCTTTCTATTTTAACAAGCATATATTATAAACGAAAAACTGTCCTAAGGGCATAAAACTATAAGAAAACAGTGTTGATATTATTGTAAAAGGAAAAGAGTGCCAACATATAACCAATTGATTAGCAATAGAGGTTCAAAAAACTTTCAAATTCAATACAAATAAATTTAAACATATAAAAAATGTTTCCAATGGAAACAAAGTTGATGCAGAATAGGATGACAGGTATATGAGTGGTCTTAACAACCAGGTTACCAAAAGTCAATTCCAAATTGAATTCAAAAAATTTCACATGAAATTCAAAGCAAATAAATTACTCCTCCGTTTTTTTTTTTTTTTTTTTAATTTTGACATTTTAGCAACTTTCTTTTGTTCATTTTTCATGGCCATTTTATAAAATTAACAAACAAATAATTCTTTTCACAATTTTACCATTAATAATTAATGTTTGTTTAGTAAATGATAATGAACAAGTGAGATCATTAACATAATAGATGAATGGTATAATAGGAAGTGAAGTAATAACTTTTTTATGGAATTTAAAATACCAATCATTTTCTTATTCCCTGTGCATATAAATAATTGCGGCAGGATAGAAATTAATTCTAATCAGTCATTCAATCAAACCAAATACAAGGCATACATTGGATTATATACTCATTATCTGTAGATTCTGTACATTAGAAATTGACCACTACCTTTGCTAAAGGGGTATCCGATGGTAGAGTCAAGAGCATGTCAATTACATCCAAAATTCTCTGAAGATCATTATGATCTTCCCACTCATTTAGAAGGGAAAGAATTTGCTGTTGGAGAGGTGCAAGTACTTTCAACATTTGTACCATCTCAGGAGCATTTGAATCCTTCATTTCAGAAAGAACATAAAGAATACACACTTACACAGGTCATGATTTGACTACAAAAACAGGAAGTCAAAAAATCAAAGGCTCCAAAATATTAAAACAGAGTTGGGCTACACCTTGTAAAAATTGTATCTGGTAGCACATTTGTGAGACAAAAGGAACTTTCTTCTAAAGTCGACACAGAGATAAAATAAGTGCTCCGGCATGAGTTTAGCATCCATACTGGGAAACTGTGTAGAGAAGACACCTGAGAGAGGCAAAATTAGGAATGGAAATGTAACATGAATTAGAAAATAAAAGATAGAGCAGTTGATATTGTTTCTTTTGGGGAAAAAAACTGTATTGATTACTACCTTTGATCAAATTGATACCCATTGAATATGAGTCACTGAAGGAATGCAACCGATCTTCATCAGAAACATGGAAAGTTCCCGGCTGAACCAAAAAAGAAGTATTATAACAACAAGGAATGGGTTAAAAATTACAAGTTCTTAACAAATCAGCACTAGTCATGGGTTTTAACCATGTTAAGAATAATGTTAAATTTCCCTAACACTAAATAAATCCAAGCTTGGTCAGTAACAAACTTAAATTGCCTATAAATAGGCCTTGCTACTGCTGTTTTCTATGCAGAGTAGTAGTAAGAAAGAGAGGGTGAGCAAGAGTGCATAGAAAACCAAGGACAACTGGGTGAGCTAATATCTTTTATACGTAAAGCCATTCATGTGACAGAGGTACACACAGGGACAGATGAATGTAGACAAAGCTTCACAAATAAATGCAGAAACAGTTGGTTGAAATACAAACAGATATGAGTAACTGCACTAAGGCCAAGGCCAATCCTGGTGATTCAATTCACTGAAATATAAAGCTCTGAATCTGAGTTATACATAAAGACACACCATAGAAATAAACAGCTTAGCCTGATCTCTTGACCGGCTACTCAATCAAAGAGATGCCAACAAAAAATAACCATTTAGACAGGAGTTCAACATTTACATGATTTAATTAAATTTACAAGTTATGTTCAGTTTCGACTGTGTTAAATAGACTCACAGTTTGGATTAGATCACTAGATCCAAATAACTGATTGTGAATGAGAACCACATGGCTGAGGATAGACTCTTCCAGCTGCTTCCAATCGTCATCCAATTTGAAACATTCCTCAGTGAGGTCCATCTGATTAAACAAACATATTTCATTCCAGATAACAACCAACAGGTGCAAGATGTAAAGTACAGAGATTTAACATTAAAAGCTCAGATAAGGATTACCTTGTCAGCATATTTTTCTTCATAAGAAAATTCTCTCCATTCTGAAAATGTTTCAGTTGCAGTTGAATTTGCAGGAGTTGATATTTCAACATCAACAACACTCTCAATTTGGAAAGCTCGAGGTTTAAACTTGTACTGTTGAGCATCATTATCACTCTTTGTCTTCGAATGAACTTTCATACTCATCCAAAGCCTGGCAAACTCATCAAAAATCTTGTGCAAGAGCTGATGCAGAATATGTAATTTTGTAAGAAAATAATAATTTCATCAATACAAATGACCAGATTGACAAAAATACCAAAGTAAGGAAACTGACCATATAAGATTTATTATCGATTATTTTTGCATTAGCTATAGAATGTGCAATTTGAACAAGAATGTTGTGATAGACAGCAGCTCTATATTGCACCACAGATTCCTGTTTATCATGATTCAGATACAATGAATAAAATTAATCAATTCTGCAAATTATGCAATCCAGAATATTATTTGGGAATTGGAATTTAATCCAATAAAATATGCACCTTCTTATCAGCAGCAATGCCACTTGAAAGTGTAACAAGTCTTTCCATCAAATCCATATCTACCAAATAAAAGCCTGTAGCGGAATCTAGCCGGTATGAAGGACACATATCCAACCCAATGTCACACTTAACAGAAATGGATATGCATGAAGCAGCACGAGGGAAGCGCATAAGTGTGTATATCATTTCCTGGCATGTTCATTGTGTCAGTTCCCAAACGAAAAAAATAAAATAAAACAAAATTCATGAAAAGCATACCATAAGCTGGTTGATGTTTTCCTGCCCAAGCATATGCAGATATTTTTTTCCCAAAGAACTAGACAGAACAAGTGACAATCCAAATTTCATCTCATACACGGCAATTTGAATTGGTTGAATAATGTCACAGTATGCAGTGTACTCATCCATCATCCGATCAATAAAACAAGTTGCTGTTTCCTGGAACTCAAAATTGGAAAGAAAAATAAATGTGAAGAAAGAGAATGAATTTAATTGACACAATCATTATAAGGGATTTGGCTCTCTAAAGTGAAGAGATGTGTAAAGTGAGAATACAAGGGTCTATCAACCATTAAGAAAGGAAGGGTTTTTAGAAAAAGACAGGTGTTTGTAATTTCTGGAATTGCCATTGAAAAAAGAATTGATTAATTTTATGTTTTATCCAAATTGTACAGAAAAGAGTGATATCATATTCTATCCTCTACAGAGATACTTTCAGCTGTTCCAGGCAGTAAATAGCACGAAGAATCATCTACGTAAATGGAGGCATGGTAGTTGATAATGATTACTTAATGTACAAAATAGATAATGCAAGTATCACATGATAAAATGCATCTAGTGTCTAGGAAGTTTCACTTAATTAATATTAGCCTAGGAAAAGGTCCTATATCTGCATAGCCTATGTACTCAAGAAGAATAAGCTTTTCATTCCCTAAATTCTCTCTAGATTATTTTTTTTCCTGCTCCTCTAAATTCAACAGTTCTTTCTATATATCATTCTTCTATATCAGAAAGGAGATGGACTTCAGATTCCCCTATAAAATATTCCAACAAATCTTATTTGGAATCCCATTCATTCTCCAATAACGGTCACAGGTTCGCAGACTTCACAGCAATGTTTTATGTTATTTTCTAAACTTGAGACTATGGCACTATATTCATATTGCTGCATTGCTAGAGATTGCAGTGAAGACTTGTGGGCAAGTTTAATAAATGCTTATTTAGCAGAGTGTGGACCATTTTCTCAAATGTCAATCTAGAGCTTTTGGAAAGAGTGAAAAGGGCCAAACTATATGGCTGAATGAAACAGTAATGAATGGAAAGAACATCAGAAATTGCAAGGATAATTTATATATGCTATTCCTCAGACATTGCATTAACATAGTCCTCGTAACCTCATTATGGTGTTGAGCAAAAAGTTACTTATAGAAGTTTCTTTGTAGGCTAATCTAGTGAGCTTTGCTTAGTTACCTTGTCTATGCAATTTTGATAATCCATGTCTTCTTTAATGAGCATATCTTATCCCAATCGTTTTAGCTGGTTATATTACTTTTCATTTTACAAACTAAACGCATTCATCTTACAGTTAAAATACTAAGGATTTTAATGAGACAACAAAAATCATTCTAAACATTATTATATTATAAAAACCTTCTGAAGTTTTTGTTGATCCATAAAATAAGACTTCTTACAAAATTTTAGAAGCATTTATTTTTTTGCATTTGTCCTTCATTATTGAGCCTTTTTAACTTCTTAACAATTCGTATAATAATAAAGTTTGACTTCAATTAAGAGTAAAATTAGAATGTTATAATTAATTTTCAAAAGCCAATACATTAACTTCTTTTAACAATTTTTCTCAACCTGCATGATTTAGGTGATAGGGTGCTATAAAAGGACCTGAGGGAGTAGTTAATTAGTTATACCTGCCAGCTGCGAGCATGGTCAAGAACCTTCTGTAATTCCTCAGCATCAGCACTGCTCAATAAAACTTCCAAAGCATCAACGAGTTTAAGAAAGTCACCACATTCATTTATTAACTTCTTGTATTTCCATGGTTCAGTGCGAAACACAGTCTAAGGACAAGACAACCATCATCAGTTTTCATAATTCAATTTGAAGGAATGATAATAGAGTAGCAATGCACAGATAGAGATGAAATGCAAAGTACTTTCCAAAAACAAGCGATTAAAGGGAGGAAAGGGGAAAAAGATAACACACGGTTGAAAATTATATCAGAATCATCCCTCATAAAAGGAGATAAGTTAAAAAGAACTAACCGAATCTTCCATTTAAATTGTTTTAGGTGTGAACTATAATTACATGAAAAAATATTGCTATGTAGTAATACCAAATTGCCAATAGTAAGAGTTTGCTTTAAGAAGACTACCTTTTCGTTATTTTAGAAAAGAACTAAGCATCAGAAACAGCAGTAAAACCACAACCATAGTTCAACTAATAATTACATCAAAACAAATTACGGTGTAATACTACTAAGTTGATAAAATATGTGTACTGATAAGAGAAGATTAAAGGAATCCATTAGAGAGAACCACATGCATGCCAACAATAGAGACAAAGCTTTTGTCCACAATTGAATACATTCATCTAAAACTCACTGCACTACAGACAAAAAGAAAAACTAATAACAATGACAAACAACTAATAATGACTTCATAATACATGATTGGTATCATTCTGTAACAAATTACACACCCACAATCCAGAAATGACCACATGAAAGCCAGTAATTACAATATAAAACATTTAAAAAGGAAATATTAAAATCTAGAAACCTTTCTTTGCAGCTTTCTACACTCTGCTTGAAGCTTATCCAGCCTTTGTACTTTTCTTTTGTCAGCCTCTAGCTCAAAAAATTGCCCAGCAAAATACGCACACTCTGTTCGGACCTGTAAAGAAATTAGTAATTGAAAAATAGTTCACCCTGAAGATATACAGAGCTGATCCATTTAGGGGCTCCGATAGATAATAGGCAATGACAATAGTAGTTGAAGTAAAGTAATAAAATATCAAACCAAGAAGAATTCAAGCTTGTTGTAAAATACCTGAATTTCAAGTTCAAGTGATGATATTGTTTCCATGAGCTGAGAGTACTTGCAATAGTACTTCATGGCGGGATCAATGTCATTAGAGCTAAGCAATAGATGAATGCGTAACATGCCAATGTGTACCCATGCACAACCAATAGTATGATTGATATATGGGGCTGGAAAAGTGAAGAAACTTAAAATATAAGCTAGAACATTCAGAACCAGGAGAATAAAGATACTAATTAATAGTGTCTAATGCTGCCAGGATAAAGGTGAAACAGTAATTATACATGTCTATTAACGAGGCAAAAAAAAAAAAAAAAGCAGCACATAATTACCAGCAGTATCAGACTGAAGATACAGCTCCCTAAGAAGCGGGACTATGAATTTCTGCATTGAGTTTTTCAGCCTACAGTGTCTTGATGAAGCAACAAGAGAGCTCAGCATATGGATGCTTTCTTCCTAGATTCAGTTAACAAGGGAATGAGAATAAGAAAACCAAAGTTTAAGGATGAAGACCTAATAGAATACAGAACCAAATATACAGCATCTAATAAATAATGTAATGGGCAAAATAAAACAATATATGTCCTCCCTTGTATTCTGTGCTTATTACAGGGACCTTCCCTGTAATTTCTGCCATCAAATCAAACCTGTCTGAAAACTCCATTAGAAACAATGTAGCCAGGAAAGTGAGGGAAGGATGAAGAAGATTAGAGAAAGAGAGGAGTTTTCTGGACTGATCTTTTTTGGTTTTCTCAATCTGTCATTTCTGTGTACATGGTTAGGTATTTTTAGAGTTTACAGGTATATTTCAACTGTAATATAGTTATGCTTGAAATATGTTAAAACAGATTTCAGATTCCCATGTTCCATGTAGCTAAATTAGTTCAGCTTATTAGACATGTGACAAATTAGAACTACAGCTGCACCAGCTGCACAAACATGCTCCTAACAATGCCTAAGATATCCATTAAATAAAGCATTATTTCATAAATATGGGTGTCAAAGGTCATCCCTACCCTTGTCTAGATCAGTATGTCGGGAAGAGGGGAAGACAATGTTCATTACAATTCAGTGACATAAAATGAACCTGATTTTTTATTATCTCAACATATAAATTTGGATAAGGTTAGAATTAAAGTTGACCATAAAACATTCAGAAGCTAACACGGTAACACCTCAATTGATGAACACTAGGGACAAATCTGGACACCTCATCTATGCAAACAATAAACAGGAGGAGGATGTGACAATAAAATAATACAGATGATGTTTTTATTACAGAAACTCACCATACACACCTAAATAACATTACCTAAAATTTATTTTCATCTTTGCCAGCAGTTTATACTCAAATTATAGTGTTTTTTAATAATCAAGGTAGTTTTGTGTAGATTTTCATTAAAAATGAAAAGGGTGTAAAGTAAATGGCCACCAAAAAGCAAGAACAAAGGACTCAATAGCCCAATCCAGTTTCTTTAAGCAACAAGGGAAACAAACTAAACACTCGACTTCCTTAAGTATATTCTACATCAATGTATGGATGTATACAGCCTAGGATATATTTGCAATGCTCTTTACAAGAATTTTAATCTACGTTGATCAGAGCATGATTTGGGTAAAGTACATTTGTTGCCAAAGTAAACAAACCAGCACTTCATTGTGACTTAGTAATATGCATAATATGGGCTTTAATTTTGTCCAATTAGAAAATTCAAAAACTATATATGTCATGCACAAAGCTGAGACTTAGTTAAGTTGGGACAGTTTTTACATAATCCTTATCCAGCCTAAGATTTTTAGATTATTTTACAATAATACATGCAAGCAGAAAGGAGTAATTTTTGCAACAATTTATTGTGTCTTTTTTGTTTTCAACTTCAATTAGTGTTCATAAACTTTTCAACTTGCAGTACATTAAAGTCTATCACTGAATATTTTATGATGAAGCTTCCAGAAAAGTATATTCCAAAATGATTTCAATTAAAAAATATCAGATCATAGGGGGTTAACTGTGTTTGATATTCCAAAAAACAAAGAAAACAATAAACAACATAACAAGCACAAAAAGAGGACATACCGTAACAACATTCTTCTCAAAAGAAGAAAAATAAGATTTAACTCTATCAAATTGATCCACATCAAAAGATTTTCTATGTGCATAAATAATCTGCATTAAAGCATGCCATAAGCATGAATCAGTTCGAAAATTTAAGATAAAATTATAAGACATCAATATGAGTGAGGAATAGAAGGGAAGTAATAGTTACCTGTTGGAAAAGAAAGCGAGCAGCAGATAAAAGAAAATTTGGCAGATGTGCTCCATAATGAGAGCAATGCCACAAATTGGACAAGGTAACTCTAGACTTGAGACACTGAACCCAAAATTCCTTGATAGCATGTGTGCTTAGCCTGAACATTTTATCCAAAAAAGGTTGAGACATTCAGTGGCAAGATGCATAGTTGTATGTAGCAATCTCATACAGCTATTCTATGCTCTCTTACACATAGAATAATTATGACTGTTAATTTTATAACAATAGATAATGGAGTTAGTGGTTTATTTTAAAAAAATGTAAATATCCTTTAATTTTTAAAATATTAAAGAAATCATAACTCTCAATTTAGAGAGGGTATACAATGTCCCCTCAAGTTTAGAAGTGCCGTAACAAACACCTATTTTTAAACTGTCCAAAATAAGCTCCCATCAAGATGAGAATATTAAAGAATCCAACATGAATAGGCAAACCTCTGGAAATTTTAAAACATCACAGAAAGAGAATGTAGGACATGAAGAACAAAAAAACCTATCAAATAAATAAAATTAACTCACGTGATCTGCATCACAGTTGATGCAATGACAGGATGAATAAGCATGTGGGGCAGTGCAATACTGATTGTATCAAAACCATCAATCTTTGAGAAGTTCTGGGTAAGAAGAAATATCAAAAGTAGGTAAAATTTCGTTTAAAGAACAGATGAATATGAAAGTAAAAGTGCACTTGCATGTACCTTAACAAATTCAGGGAAAAGTGCCCACATAGATTCATGCCAGTTAAACCACATCTCCATAATAAAGCTCGCAATTTTCAAATTCACTACAAAGAGACAAAATTTAAAAACTGAATGTAAGCCTACTTAGAAAGAAAAAAGAATAATTGGAACCATTGAATCTCTTGTACCAACCTGCATCCACTGAAGCCCATGCATTCAGGGTCCACAGTATCTTTTGGTGTGGGGAAAACATTTGTGGAGGCCTTGATGAGAAATTCAATGAAAATTTTAAAGCGAAGTCCAAAAGGTTTGATAGACGTTCCACATCCTATTATCATGATCAGAGAAGCATGGAAAATAAAGTTTAAAACAAGCAGATGTTAATTCTTTTTTATACATAAACTATTTACAAGAGGGAAATAAGTTTTACAATATAAACAATTCATGAGGCAAGCTTAAGAAAGCAACCAACATTCACAGCCAAACCAGTATAAGGCAATACAGAAAATCTGGAAAAAAATAATAAAACAATAAATAGCTTATTAATCACAATATTACCTGGTGTAACCCACTGAGATCATCCAAATGAATTGATGTGAGTTTCTGTAGTAACTCCATGTCCCAGAATAAACTGGTATAATTAACTGGAAGAAAGGTATCCTGCCAGCCCTCAAATACAGACTTTTGGCATAACATTTCAGGGGTAAATGAGCAACAAGCAGCTAAATTTTCAGCAAAAGCTGAAAGGTCTTTGGATCCTGTATTCAACTGCAACTTGTGTTTTTCATTTTCAAACCTTCTTATCAGAATCTGTAGAGAAAATTTAATAACAGGTCAATAAGCAATGTACAGTGTTACAGATTTCAATAACAACATGAAAAGGTACGAACCTGATACATCTCCCCCAACTTCTCCCCAATATGAATACCATCCTCTTGACTCCATTTTGCCATTAAAAATGATGAGTTTGAGATATCTACATAGTTTTAGAATAAAGAATGAAACCGAAATCTTCACTAGCAACAATGAATTAAACCACAAATACTCCTGCTATACACTTCTCAGTATAAATTCCTGATCATATATTCTGTTGATTTTCAATGTAAAGCATTAAAGTTAAAAAAATACAGAATTTCTAGAAACATCAATTTTGTTATGCAATAAAGTAGATGGGTGATGTGGGAAGCAAAAAGTAAAAAATCTTAATTGTGTTAATCAAAGTTTTAAAACTACATCACTTTAAAGCAAGGAGTAAAAAAGTCATCTACGAGAAGCCAAAAGCTACTATTTTTTGGCAGGAAAAAAAATCAACAAAGAACAAAAATTGATTCAATAAAATTTATTCCGACTCATATTTGAAATAATGGAAAGTGTCATCCACAACCACTCAGATATAAAAGAAATCAGAGATATCACCATAAAAGACAAATGGCCACTTAACTGAAACTTTTTGCAATCAGTATCACTAAATATCCAATTCCAAAGAAATTTATTTGACAAGATAAATACAACTTAAACTGACCTACTGATATTTTCACATCATCTTTAAACTAGAGATGGGAATAGAACAAAGGAAAATAACCAATCACCATTGTATATCCAAATAATTCAAACTCTTAATGCAATGTGTGTCTGAAGAATACGTGTCTAAAAATGCTAAAAGGGAAAGAGGGATACCAATACCTTGCATCACAAGGAAGCGAAGATCATGGTCAAATGATGCAACGACATCAATAAGATGACTGCTCAATACTCCTGAATATTCTCAAGAGAAAATTAAAGAAGAATGAAAATTTGACTAAATGACAAGTTTGAAGATACAGAGCAAATTACAGAAATTAAATTCTTGGGGAAAAATTATTTCATCTTGAGAAATTTCAACATGTGGTTACTTGAAACCAATTACTGAATTGATTCACCACCTAAGTGTTTGAGTGGTTAAATGTTCCAAAATTGGGAATATCAGAATTTTGGAAATTTTTTATAGTTTCCCAGAAATAAACAACAAAAAGGAATTCAGCATAGCAAACCTGGATAACCAGATGCTGCCTTTCTTGGCCAAATTGTTTCAACAAATTTTAAAAGCTGATGTTGTTTATCATGTAGATCAGAGGATGAGGGCAAAAATGGGTGACCGCCATGAATCCACAGTAAGGATTTCTCCCGAGAAGAGAACATTTCCAATTTTTTGCTCTCCATCTGTTTAAGGAGAAATGATAATTAACTGATCTGAAAATAATAGAGTATATAAAACAGGGATGTTTTAGTGATACGAAAGTAAGAAAGTGTAAAGCAAGAAAATAAGGGTGCATCCACCCTTGATTTAAAGGGGGTCAAGTTTACAAGGTAATTTAATTGAAACCAAGGTATGAACACACCCTTAATTTTCTCACTCTATACATTTTCTCCCTTTAGAGTAACTAAATCCATAAAACATTATCCTTGTCCTACCAAAAAATCACCCAGAGCTTCTGGACAGATATCTGAAAACTTTCCAGCATCTTTAACCAAAGAATGCCAAGAAATTATCATCTGATCAAGCTTCGAAGAAATGAAGTGATGCCAAAATAAAGCATGGTCATCAATAAGGTTAGAGTATAACTGTAATTTATAATCAAACGATTGATCCTCAATTAGCTTAGGAGTTGAAACAACAAATCTGTTAAGTATTCCATCTTCCAAAACGTGAAGAGACTTCAAAAGTGGAATAAAGCAACTGGTTTCTTCATCGAAACTATGCTGGTTCTCAATATTCCATTGCTGGTAAGTTAAGCTTAGCGGATCAAAGCAACTAATAGCATTAAAGAGAGATTTAATTTTGCTATTTGATGCAGCCAAATCAGCTAAATCAAGTGATAACAATGGCATTGACTGCAAATCGACATGTAGTTTGTCACGACATGAAATATACTCCCAAATAGGATGCTTGATTATCTGTTCTATAAGTATGATGAAATTTTTAAAGAACTGACAGAAGGGCTGCAACTGAGAACTAAACCACTTAAACCGAAGAAGATAGAACTTAAAATCATCTTGTGTAGCTTGTTCTATTGTCCAATTGCCTGCAAATAATAGCATCTTATTTGTCAATTCTGAGTCAAATTTGCATTCCCTTTCATAGTCTGAAATCATCACATTTGAAGCCTTAGGAAACATAATTTCACGTAAAGTCCTCAAATCCATAAAATATGCCCTTGCATGATCACCAGTAGTCTGCAAACAAGCTGTTGAGTGCCTCTTATGAGCAATTTGATATTGATCTGATGCACACTGACTTCCCAGGAATTCCAGATACATGCAGTTCTGTTTGACAGAAGCTTCCTTTGAATAATAAACATAATCCCTTAAACTGAGTGGCAATGGCCATCCTCCAGGCAAACCCAAAGGACATGTCGCTAAGACATCATACCCAGCCAAATTAGTTACAGACAAAAAAACAGTTTTGGCAAAATTGATTATTTTCTCTCCTTCAAAACCCAATGAGGAGAGATATATATGTTCCCAACTTATTTTTAGACTCCAGATAGGACAACAACCATTCATGAGAAGCTGCAGAAACAGATGAACCCAATGTGAAAGTTCGAGATTCGTAATGTGATCATTAAGCTCTGAACCTTCATTTTTAGCATAAATGTGGGCTCTAGCCATTGAATCAACCAATGGTGCAATTGGGATACCTGACAAAACAAGAAACCTCTTCACATCTTTGAATTCAGTATCCCCATAATTGTTCCCACTTTGATTATCTAATGCCCAATATGGCTGCATCATAAATATTTCAACACCCCTATTACGCATTGCCCTAGAAACTTCGCCATAGTGAGGATTAACCGTGAGGAACATGCGAAAATTAGGGTGAGGATGAATAACCAATGGGTTTCCATCAACAATTCCACGCTCATTGACTGTGATTGATCCGCAAGGTTCTACCAATGAATTAATCCTATCAAGAACCTAGCAACAAAAACAGGTAAAAAATAATTTAGTATCAATTGACTGACTTGCACTGCTCAATCAGAAAAAATATTTTAATCAATCCGTGCTAAATTACACAATTATTAGCAGATCGTACATGTCAAATTACAATGACTTCTATTTTAGTTTACTAGGGGGAAAACTATTACAGATTAACATCAAGACAATTAGATGGATTAGGAATAAAAGTTGGATTATGGTGAAGTTCAATGAGACAAACTTTTGTTGCACACATGCACAACACAAATTCAGCAACAGATTATTCAGTTAACACAGTTCAGTACACATGGTGTGTACAAACTCTAGTGTGTAAATAAGATTTTGTTCAGGCAAAATTAGCTTTTAAAAGCATGAACATGCACAATATTACTCAATATAGGGATCACATACAGTGGGGTTACATAGATTTGCATTCTCCAAGACAATCCATTCCCCTTGCTCAATAGCCTTGATCAGTAATCCTGTAACCCATTCAAATTTGGTTGAAACAACCCTTTTCTGATCATCTGCTTTCAGCTTCAAAACTGTCTTCATAGCCAAGTCAAGACCCTGGAATGAGTAAGATACAGGAAGGGAATGCTTTTCAATCTGCAACTTTAGTTGTCCAATAATCTCAGCTAACAAATTAAGAGAACCCACTATCTTCCTCCAGTTTTCAAAATAATTTGAAGGAAAAGATGACAAGCTGTCAAATTTCATGGCAGAGAGGAAAGCAATCCATTTGATATATAAATCTGTTTCCCTGAAAATTGCTTCCTGCGAAGCCTCCAGTTGCAAACTGATGTAGTTATTAACATAGAACTCAATTTGAGCAACAACAGAGCAAAAACTACGCACTGCATCATATTGTTCAAAAGACCCCAATAATTCTGATATGTCAGTTGCAGATGAAAGATTTACTTCATTTAGCACATTGCCTGTTAGGTTAGCAAGTAATCTTATCAATGATGTTTTTCCACAGTATGATGGACCAGTCAAGATACATAACCACTGACGCTCTATACATTGAGCAGCAGCTTCCAAACTTTGACGAATTTCAGGCAGTATCAGGAGCGGTTTGCTTGAGTCTGTAGTTAATTGGACGTGATTCCTCTTAATAGTCACATTCCCCACGATTAAATTATGTGAATTGAGCTGAACACGAGGATATGGATTTATAAATGGTGTCACCTCAAATACCTCCTTGAAGATCCGCAATACTTCCTTGCGATCAGCTGCTGTGCGCATTCTTTGAATATAAACTATGTTCAAGAAGGAATACACTCTTGAGTGCTTTGGTGCACCTAAATTAAATATAAGGAAATATCAGGATGAAAAAGGGAACTACTATACATGACACTTTATAAATAAGATGAGGAAACCAGCAAAAATGACAAATCAGAACTGAAGGGAATACAGATGATAGAACCTTCAATTATCTCGCAAGATCGAAAAACATCACGAAGATTAAACTCCCACGGGAAGCCATGCTTGGCAAACTTTTGATTTACCGTGGTGTCTTCATGCATCCTTTTATTGAATAAGATTAACTTTGAGAGTAAAGGTCTAGGTATAGTTGAAAATTTTGATTCACAAATGGATAGATAGTCTTCCTCAACTAACTCATCCACATATACCTGAAGTCAACAACCCAAACACATATTTGATATTGCATAATGAGTGCAAAAGAAAAATATTGACTAATATTTATCATATTCAAAAATGAGGAAAATACAGGAAAGCAGAAAATGAATTGGAGTTCCTGTAGGTTACACAAGATCCCAATTACTCCTCAGGATTTTGGACTTCCCAATTTTTTCCAGTTTGCTTGCTTTATCCATCTTTCAATTTCTAAGAGGCTTAAAATAAATAAATAAATAATAATAGCATACTAGCAGCATACCTTGGTAAATCGATTTAGGAAGGATTTAGGAAGGCCTTTCCTGCCACCACCTTGATGTGATGGATTCTGACAAGCGAAAACTCTAAATGATGGTGGACATTTATAAGTATTACCTAACTCTGGTATAAACACCTCAGCTCTGTGGTCCAGAATGGCATTTAAACCCTGATACAAAGAACTTCGTTACAACAAAGAAGCATAGAAGAGGAAACATAGAAAGAACAATAACCAAGATGGAAAGAAGGCAGTAGTGTTCATTAAAAAATGACAAAAAGGAAAACAATGAGCAACAAGTAGATATTAAAAATAACGACTAAAATACCTCTAGAACAGATTGTGGAGCAAGATTAAGCTCGTCCAGCAAAACCCAACAGCCTTCCTTCAGGGCCTGCATAAACAAGACTGGAAGTTAAATACATATCACAAGCACAGATGAACATGATCAGTTGCATCACAAGACAATCCAACCTGCAATAGAATCCCATCAGACCAACAAAACTTGATTCCCTCATCACTTTCAACAGGTAAATCAGACCCTAATAGATCCATCATATCAGTCTGCACCAAAAATGCATAACAGAACTAAGTAAGAACCTTGCGACAACAGAAACAGAATTGAACAAACTATTATAGTAATAAGGATGAAGTGCTATAAGATAAAGATAAACTACAACTAATAACTGACCTGTTCAGAAAAGTTTATTCGTACCACCCTATGCCCAGAACATTTTCCCAAGGCAATGATTAAGCTTGTTTTTCCTACACCTGGGCTACCCTCCAATAAAACTGCAAACAAACAATCATTTAAACACTTAGAAACATAATGATTAAAAATGGAAATTTATGACAAAGGAAATTTGAAACAAATAAAGAAACTTACCAGGCTTGGGAACCTGCATAGCCCGCAAAACTCTCAAGACATTTCTGCTAGTAGTAGGTGCATTGAATTCAAACCCATCATCATCACAAATGCCAATACCTATACGCATAAACCAAAAGTAACACAAAATAAACCATAAGAAACATTATGCATAGTGGTATTTAATGGAGGAAAATTATTATAAAAAAGAATAAGGCTACAAAGCATGAAGAAAGTGAATCCTCTTAAAAACCCTAAATGCAAAAAATAAAGAGAAAAAAATACATTATCTCATAACATATCTCTGTCCTTCAATATTATTTTAGAAATTTAAAAAAAAAAAAAAAAAAAAACTAGTACTACATTATTACCTTTATTGATGTAGAATGGATCAATGCCAAATAAATCATCATGGTGCTTAGCATCACTCTGAGACACATCCACACCTGTGCCAAATTCACCCCAACTGTAATTTCCCATTCTTGAAAGCTTTGAATATAATAAATTGCTTTGATCAACCTGTAAGAATAATCCAGTCAGCTTTTACAACTGATTTTGAGGGAAACCATAAAATAAAATTTCCATTACAAATACAAATATAAGCATTCCACTGCAACAAAGTACACCATTGAACCATAAATATACAAGTATTCATAGGAACAGCCACACATACAGGACATAACTGAACCTTGCCTCGAAACAAAATTTAATTAAATTATTTCACAGATGTGGTAGCTAGACAATGTTGAGTATTATTCACCTTCAGAAGAATTGTGGTAAAGCACTGTAATCAGCCAACACAGGTACTTATACCACTGCATTATTTACTAAAGAATTAATACAGTTCATTATACATATGCACAGTAAATCATTTTTAACAGTAACAATCCCCCAAAAGCTAGAATCATTATGCTTTTAGCTTGATATAAATTCATCTTAACCAAACAATGACAAACAGCCAAACAGAACCCAGGAAATCACTAGCACATGTAAGAATAAGATCAATTAGACCAATCGCACATCCAGAAGCAGGAAATCCAAACAGATGATAGGTTGCAGGAGATTCTTATGACAACTTAACATTCTGTTTGAGTCTCTGCGAAAGGGCAACACAAGAAAATGCACCAGAAAATTATCAGCAAGTGTAGGACCTCCACATAATTTCATTGAAGGGCAGAAGCAATTGAAGATTGGCACAGCTGAAAACGCAGTGGCACATATTCTAATAATACATTACTACTAATGTCTACGCATAACCACCAACATGACACTTAATATTACACTTGTATCTAATAATACATCACAGTTTACGATGGTAATTATCAACTCCATTCAGATGATATGATTCTAATACCATATTGGATGTAGAGGAAGAATTGTGCAAAACTTTGTCACCAGCTCCCACAGGTAGGTAGTATATTCCTCATTATACATTAACTTTATACACACTATACAAGCCATGTAAGATATTCTAACAATTATAGATGAAATGAAATTCTAACCAGGGTCAAGATGACTTGAAGCGCCTGGAAGAGGGCTATAGTGCCTCTGTCCAAATGGAAGACTTAAACTCAGGAAACATGGATTCCAGAAAAGATTTCCAAGGATAAAGTTCAGTGTGTTCAACATAGTATTAAAAAATTACAAGGAGATATTACAGTACTAGACACTGAAAAAATCTGTAGTCCAATCCTCTTATCTAAATTGGAATCCACATGAAAGAATTGAGTGAAATCAAAAGGATTTCTAATTTGAAAGCAAAGACAGGAAAAGTTTATATGCAAAATTTCAGGATTGGAGAATTTTGGATGCCTTACCAGGAAGAGCCTCAAATATAGGAAGATCCAATCAAAAAGTATACCCTCACAAACCAAATCTGAAAGCTCGTCTGGAAAATGATTAATAGTCCAAAATACAAATATCTCCCAATAGATAAATTTCCAGGAACTTAGGTTGTGTTTGAATGGAAAATTTTAGAATTTTGCACAATATGAAATCAATAATGAGAGATGATTAAAGTGATAGTTAACGTATGAGAGGAGTTATGAAAGATAATTACAAAAATTTAAGCATAATAGAGAAGTTTTTAAATTCTCTTCGAACACGTCATTTGAAATTTTTTTTATTTAACATAAAAATTATCTAGTTAAAATTCTGAAATATTCGAAAAACATTTTTCCTTACTAACTAAATACATATAATCTAGTAATTTAGAATTAATCTATCCAAACACAGCATTTAAAGACACAATGATGGTGGATCAGCATCCAGTCTGACCATGCACTACACATTTGAGCGGTAATGGTTCAGTTTCATAACAAATCACATTCCGATCAACCAGTTAAATGGTTGAACCAACTGACCACTAAATTATGTTTAAAACACTACACTAAGTGTTATTTGAATAGACCAGTCAATTGGAATGCTTGAATATGAAGAAGTTTTGGTGTTCAGTATCCAGTCCTGTTTTAACAACATTGGATAAACCCTTCAATAAAAGGGTGATTACAAATCTTCAACAAATGCTAAAGCAAAAACATAGATGAATGCACTGAAACTGAATATCACAGAAAATGTGACTACATAATCCATAATGACATCAAATGACTCGGTGCTTCCATTAACTACACAACAACTAGTTTCCTATCTTCTTTCCTTCAGATCCTACGAAAGACTCATTCAGGGTAACATAGGGACGTAATTGTGTTTACAATATGTCCGTACATACTCACTGTCTAACGAGATCTCCCATAACTATTGAAAATTATATAATGTAGTTATGTAAGAACATAATTGTGTTTACAATATGTCAGTACATACTCACCGTATAACAAGATCTGCCATAACTACTGAAAATTATATAATGTAATTATATAAAGGATGGTAAACCATAGACAGCATCCTCCATTATTATATTACTTCACAATAGTTTTATAACTTTTTACAAGCACATACAATTACATAACTAATTCCACTGTGTCTCACCACTAGATGGAGAGAGACAATGCATAATTGATGAATATCACGAGAAACATACCCCCAGCTTCTGCAGAAGAAAAGATAAGCATTTCTCCCTTGTCTCTGCAGCATCCCCTTTTGAAATTCCAGTCCCTGATAAAAGTTGAGAAAGTGTAAACAGAAGGCATACAGTAAGATCTAATTCATGTCCACAGAACTTCTGGGATATCAATGTTTGAAGAGTGTTTCTGCCTCAGGCATTTTGGGAGCCCATAAATGAACCTTTGTTTGATAGAAATGCAATATAAAACCAAACTTTAAGCTTTCAGAATATTCAGACAAGTAAAATAATATAAATCCATCTCCATTGCCACCACAATCAAAGCACAGAAACAATACTCCTACCATATCCAAAATCCAAAATAACCTAAAACCATTACCACCACTATCACCATTAACAATTATATTAAATATTAAATTTATATGTGTTCAATTTTAGAACTTCAGTAACAATATTATATAATTCATCTAAAAATTTTGAAGCTGAAACAGAAGAACATATAATTGAGCCCAAAAATAGAAATAATTCTCCATGCAACCCAAACATAGAAGATTCTGATTTCATTCTAGCTTAACAGAAATTTACATTTTCAACACATGGCCAACCCTTGGAACATACTAAAGCCCCAAGTGGAAGCCATCAAACATCGAGATACCAAATCATTTCATCAAATATTCGGGTAGAGGTAAATCCTAACCAGCCCAAAGCTTATGGCTCCAACCAGTACCAAGAAATACTTCATGCATTCTCCTCCAAGCAGAAAATAGTTACTAAACTGCTGCCTGCCCACCATCCATATATCTCCCAAAGTGTAACCAACTTGCACATTTCATCAATTTGGACTAGGGCTCTTGATTAAAATGAGATCACAAATTACAGATATAAAGAAATTAGAGAAGTTGAAAAAATGAAAGATCATTAACAAGTGAATCGTACCTAGACTTAAACCATCAAGCAAAACAAGAAATACTCCATGAAGAAGTGCATATTCAGGACCTAAGCTTTCTTCCGTTGCAACAAAAAAATCAACCCAAGAAATGAGATCTCTCACTGTAAGCATTCTCCCTGGATGCAGTTTATTGAACCACTGAAAAGCATAGGAGTAATAAATATCAAATGGATAATATTACATAATAGATAAATAGATCAAAGAATTAATCACTACATCAGCAAACATCACATAAAAATGAAATAGTAGTATTCAAATATCATTACATGCTAAAAATCAAATCAAGAACCTAATACCCTCCCAATTTTTTTTATTTTATTTTTATGAGACGAACATTAAGATAAAGAAGAGAAATAAAAGAGCCCAAAAAGCCTTATAAAACCACTAGAACAAGCTCATCAAACCCATAAGACCAACTCAAACAAAATATCAAAGGCAGACACCCACAACAAGCCAAAACACAACTCTGAACAAAATCGATTGACAGAAGATTAAAAGAACATCTGATGAAACAAAAACTAGAATAAACTGTAAGTGTAAAACCAACAAAGTGGAAGCAGGCAAGGAAGTATAACTACCATATTATGACAAAGGTCAAACTCTATAACACAATCTACCTTAGCCCAGTTCTTATCCAGCACCACCAGCTTACTTTATCAGCTGCTATAGTTCCCTTCCCACAATGTGAATCTCTATCACTTTGCAGTTACAGCCCAGTTCCACCTCTCAAGTTACTTCTGAACACTAGCTAACTCTGGACCTACCTATATTAGCCATGAGTGATCACCAACCTCACAGTTTGGAATGATTGCAGTAGTTCTACCTATAGAATAGATCATGAACGAGGTGATCAGACTGGTACTCAAATCTTTTTATGTTCCCAGGTTTCCAGACACTTCTGCTTTATTCGAGGCTGCTACTCAGCACTAATGGATCAAAGAAGAGAGGGGAAAGAACCTAATCTCATCATGTAACTGAATTAGGAAAATTTAGTGGATAATGCAAGTAACTTGCCCTTCAACTCTTCAGGGTCTAATTCCGTCAATAAAGGTATACTCCAGAACCAGCTCTAAAAAAGCCAACAATTAAGAGCAAGAAAAACTATATACCAAATATATTAATATATTGGTTTTCTATTACCATTTATTTGCTTACTTGTATTAATGGAACCCTCTCATGTATAATAGATAATTCAGATTAATGAGAAACCTTTCACACTTCTTCATGGATATTAGACCAGCATATTGGGTCTCATACCCCACATTTATGGCAGCAATCACTGACCAGACCAGAATCCTAACCAGAGATGAGGACCACAGCAACCCAAAACAATACCGACCCAATCTCTTCTCTAAATATTGACCACCATTCTTTGTAAATCACAGACCATTATTTGAATGGTACCTAATTCCAAGGTGGGATGCTGAAAACAATATTATTATGGCATGGGTAGCATGTTTCAAAATAGAGAAGCAGAAGCTCCACCAATTAAGTTTAAGGGAACCTATATTTTATGTTTTTCTTCATTAAACTAGTATATTTTAGAGCTTCTGCAAATTTTATTTTGCTTGTCCTTTTCTTTTAAGGGGAAGAGAAACCCCATATTGCACCGATGACAAGAATCCCAACACTAAAGTAAAAGCAAAACGGGCACCACAGTAGCAGCAGCTCAGCAGTGAATATTTTACATGCAGCAACAGTTAATGACTTCAATAGTGAATCACCATATAATATACCTCAAAAAAATTTATCATAGCATTAACAATGAGTGTGAGTCTTTCTTGATATGCGGGGCCTAACTTGCCAGCAACTTTATACTTGGAAATTCTGCAAAATAAATAAACAAGAAATAAGATGCATGTTTATCTAAACACTAATACTCTAATACAGTAAATTAAATGTACCTTTTCAGTGCAATGCCTTGAAGCTCATCCAGATCATTAACAGGGGGAACCCATATCTCTGTGAAACGGTTGCGTAGTGCTGGAGATAACTCCTTCTTACCATAATCACCACCAGGATTCATTGTAGCAAGAACAAAAAAATTTGAGTGTGCAGTAACCCTCTCCAGATCAGACCCTCCTTTCTCAGCCAAAGACTGCAACCACAATGAACAAACATCAGAAATTGTTGACAATTATGCAGAAAAACATGACCAGTAGTAAGTAACCACAATCTACATGAGCAATTAGCTATGTTTATAATCACATCAAAAGTGCTTTTTTGTTCTATGTAGTTTGTCTAGTAATAAGGTTCTTTATAATGATATAGAAGTTATTAGAAAATAAAGCACATAACTCACTCCCAAAAGCTAGCTTATAAGAAAAGGTATACCCAAGCCTTAAAAAAAATATTATGGATCTATTCCTAGCCAATGTGGGATATTTTAACACTCATCCCTCATGTCCAAGACTAGACATCTGGTGCATGAAGTTTGCAAGACTAAATATCTGTAGATGACCTAACAAGATTAGCCATCAATAAGCAACCTAACATTCAAACTGAATAGGCTCTAATACAAATATCATATTAGAAACTAGGCTTAACTCACTCCCAAAAATTATCACATGAGAAGAGAGTTACACAAGTCTTATAAGAAATATTTTGACTCTATTCTTAGCCTATGTGTAACATCTACCTACATTATCTTTATTTATTCTTTGTGCTTTAGCTAAGGGATATAACTGATCCTACTTTTTTTATAACATTTCTACAATTCTACTCAAGAATATTTAATCTCAATCCAGCTCAAAATACCTATCAAATTCTAAGTAGATACGTCCCACAATGATAAAGGACTGCCCGTTTCATTTCTCCCAATCCCTTTTTTGGGAAAGCAAAAATAAGGAGTTGCCACATCTTTTCATTTTGTGCACATTATATAATATATTCACTCAGTATTTAAAACACATACAATTATAAGTATACCGATAGAAAGAGAAGTAATGATACCAATATTTGATACACTATTGGACTATTGGTTATAAAGGTAGGTCCAAAAAACGGGCTTAAGCAGCAAATTAAGAAAAAAGTAAGAATATAGATTAAAAAAACTTACTAGCATCCTTTCTGGCTCCAGCACACTGTTCAATCTCTCAAGTACACTATCATCAGCCAAGGATATTTCATCCACAAGAAAGAGCTCACCATCTCTCATTGCCTTTATAAGCGGACCATCCTGCCACACAAATATGCTCTGCCACTTTTGATGCAGAACATCTAGCTCCAACTTTATTTGCTCAAGAGCATAAAGATACTCTCTGCTAACATGCGAACTACAAACTTGTCCTCCTTTCAATTTTCTTATCATACTATTCAGCAGATCAAGAGTTGAAGAAGCTTTATTTATGTCACAAGAAACTAACTGCAGCAGAAAATTAAGTGTTCTCTTCATGAATAAAAAGGATTCAGATAGAAGAGAAAAGGGAAAGAGAAACGGTGGTGTAAATAGAAGAGCTGTTGGAATGCAGCAAAAATAAGGCTAGGAAACTATACATACAAGTCAACTTAAAACTCATTGCATGATCCAAACAGGAAAAAAGAAAGAAAGAGAACACTCACAAAGTCCTTGGGAAAGTATGTAGAAGCCTTTAGTTTCTTCAGCTTTTCAATGATCTCTTTATAATTAGATATCAGTGTAGATCTCTCTCGTATGGGACGGAATCCCTGAGAAAAATTTCCTAGTTAACACTTCAGCTGATAATAGTAATATATATTTCCCTTATGAATCCTTACGTTAATGAAAAAGCATGAGAAAACCAACCCCAATAAAATCAGATGTTTCTGTATACTGATGGCAATTCAAGATATGTAACTTTAACTGCAAACAAGCACTTAATAACTGACAAACAGTTGTCTTCCCTCCACCTGTTTCCCCAACAAGCAGTACAGGCTCACGTAACTTAAAGCAGCGTTCCACAAGGAAGTATAGCCTCTGCATAGTTTTTGTCAAGAATACACTGCATATAGAAGAACAATCAGTAAGAGGCAGTGAACGTTAGATTTTGGACTAGACTGGAAAGGCAACAATGAGATCATACCTTTCTAGACTCTCTGAACTTCCTAAACCAACGATCAAATTGGAAGAAGAGTTGCCTCTAAATAATATCTGCAATACAGTTAAATTGTTTGTTGAAGAAATATTTAATGTTCAACCTTCTACAATTCTTTAAATTATTTTGAACTAAATCCTAAGAGAAACAATACTTTCCAAACCAATACCCAAGAACTCAACGCTGAAAATCAGAAATTAACATAGAAGGCATATCATCAATACATTATACAATATATAGGTACATCAAAGTTTTAAATTTAAGTCCAAATTATATGACTGTTATCAACAACAGAACAATTTGTATATAAGACAGAAAAAAAATGGAAAATATGGAGAATGTTCAACAGAAATTCCACAGTTACCTAGAAATTAATTGAATCCAAGATAAAATTCTCAATTTTTCAGTGCTTAGTCAATGAAGCCTACACTGAGTAACCTAACCTTCCATAATTCAATTTACCAAATTTCCACAAAGTATATAATGATTATTCAGAGATAAAAATCAATATCCAAAAGCATAAAGCATATGAAAAAGTCAGGGCAGACAATAATAAACAGTAACCATCATCCATTGGCTAACCGCATATGTGCAGAAAACAATAAAAGAAAGTTTGATACCTGATCATATAAATTTTTTACATTTAGTTTAACCCGAAGATGCTTTTCCAGAACTTCTTGAACAACAGACTTCTCATCCTCATCCCGTAGCCTTTCTGCCAAAAGATAATAGCCATCTTTGGCCAAATCTTCATAAGAGCTACCAAATCTCTTGTAACGCTCAGCCCAGCGAAACAAGTCTCGAGGAGTTATAAATCCATGTTTACCAGCAAAGACTCTGCTACTCTGTCTGTGCAACCGTAGTTCCTTCATCACTTCAACCATTTTTTTGGCATAACTTAAGGGGATTTCACATCTCTCCCCCAATATTTTGCAGAGCTCATCATCTGGAATTTCACCAACATGAATCTCCACAAAACGATTGCGAAATGCCCGGGACAACATTTTGCGACCACCATAAAGTGTTGGTGGATTTTGAGTTGCAAAGAGCATGAAGTCTGGATGTGCTTTAATCGTTACTTGCAGTTCAGGAACAAAAAGCTCTCTGTTATCATCAAGTAATCGGTTCAATGCCTCCAGCACATCAGATGGAGCCAAGTTAAGCTCATCCAGTACAATCCAGTAACCATTTCTCACAGCTTTAACCAAAACACCTTCATTAAAAACAAGCTTTCCACTAGTGTCAGTTATATAAGAACCTAAATACTCCTGCAAATCAGTGTGTTCATGATTATTGATTCTTACAAAATCATGACCAGTTATTGCAGCAAGATACTGAACAAGGCTAGTTTTCCCACTAGATGTGGGTCCCTGTAAGAGGACAGGATATCTCTTTATTAGAACAGCACGTGCCAAATTTGCAAGATGCTCCTGCACACTTTTTGTTTGAACATAGTTCCCTGAATATCCATCAGATTTGAAGGTATCTAAATAGCTGTAAAAATGTACATGTGGAAGCATATACCCTCCCAACAAAAGAGATGATATCTTTTGCCTCATTATTTCAGCACTGGGTCCATCCAACAATGAGAGGAAGAACATGCTAAACCCATCATACAGTGCCTTTTGAAATCCAAATTTTCTCTCTGCCTTCCTTGTATACTCTAGAGCACGATAAAGGGACCTTAAACTGTATTGAGGTTTCTGATTAGCACTATCCTGCAACCTCTCTTCAGATTCCTTTTTTGATTCTTTATAGAAACACACAATTTTATTCACCAACTGTTGATCCATAAAGCCACAGCTAATGAACTGACTAATAAACAAACTTAAATCCTCATCATCCAAAACATCATCAACAAAATACTCAGTAAATCTACTTCTCAAAGAAACAGGCAAATCCCGCTTCCCTGCATCTGTTGCAGGATTCATGCAAGCAAATATACGAAAGTTTGGATGACGGCAAATATAATCTGTATCACCTCTTTCAGCTAAACACAGCACTCCATGTTCCCCTTCTAGAACACCAACAATTCTTTGCAAGGTTTCCGGAGGAGCCAAATTCACCTCATCAAGCAAAATCCACTCACCATTTCTAAGAGCAGTTACAAAACTTCCTTCTACAAATGAAAACATCATCCCTGAAGAAGGATTATTTTGACAGACACTATCCAGTTTTAAACAAAATCTCTCCCAAGCTTGAATTAATTCTTCTTCTAATGGCCTTTTACGCTTTTTTGAAGATCCAGGTTGAATAAGCTCAACTGACTTTTCAACTGCTTTTCGCAATCCTTGCAGTAGCATTTCCCAATTCTTATCAATTAAAAACTTTTGTAGATGACCAAGAAAGTCTACATTTTTCTGAACAGCAGTAAAGCGTTAGAGCCATTAGCAACAATTACACACAAAATGTCAATACAAAAAAAAAAAGAAATACCTTCTTCGAAAATGTCCTAGTAAAGATATCCTCAAACTCCTTATAAAGGGGGAAATACACAAACTGTGCATCCATAGGCTTAAACCCCCCTAGTAAGTCAGCAACATCACTTTGCTGACTCAAGTTCTGGAGGAAAAACAGCCAAACACATCAGTAAAAGAATTACAAATAAAGGAAATTAATAGAGAAGTATTGATATACCAAAACAGTAAGCTTTTGACCAAGCCTTGAAGCTAAATTTTGAACAATTGTAGTCTTCCCAGTACCAGTTTCTCCAACTAATAGTACAGGCTCATTATATCTGACAGAGCAAGCTATGCGCTCCAAAACATGCAGAGAACTACGGATCTCAACAAAAGGTCTTTTATGCTTTTCTAACTGCATAAGAGAAAAACAAAGCATACCAAGGAAACATAAGACCTTCTTACCAAAATTGTATCATTGTTTAAGATTTTAAATTGTCAACTGACTATGCTGAATACTGACAGATTTTTTAGAGTACTGAAGGGAAACTCGGCCTATTCTTAAATCTGTGACAGAATCCTGCATTTAACAACCACAAATGAGAAGCTGATCTGGCAAAAATACAAAGCAAAGCTTGATATTTCAATAGATAAAACCTGAATTATTGGTTTGTCATGGGGATACAAGTTCTCAGCAGCAGAAACTGGTAATTTCCACAATTCTGCTATCTCTTTCATTATTGACAAACGGTTTTTAATTGATGTTGAAAAGGAAGCAAATACATCAACAGCCTGAGATCATAGCTAAATATGAGGTAACTCTATGAAACAGATTATGCGGAACAAGGGGATAAAAAGAACCTAAAAAACAGACCTCTTTATACACCCTTAAACATTGGTTTTCTGATAAGCTACCATTAAAGCAAAAACCTAAACCTGCAATCCTTTTGCACCACTTAAGGAGATCCCTACCATGAATAATCAAAAGTCAGACCAATTAAAGAAAATTGACAAAACAAGCACAGGCAAAATAGTATTACTTTAAATACCTTAACGAGAATCTGCAGGGACAATAAACAGAAGCAGAACTTCCAGAGTGAAAACCCACAATTTCAAGCATGCAGATAGAATTAACCCTTTCAAAGGTTTCTGCCAAAAAATAAATAAAATATATATATATAGCAATATAACAAAGAATGAGCCCATATTTTCCACTTAAAATAACACAAATGAGCAAGTGTGAAACTACAAAGTAACAAAATATCATATTTATACCGAGGAGTCTGTCAACATGAAGCTCCAAATCAGGATACCTCGCTTTGATTATATCTTCCATCTCTTTCTTATCTGGAGATGGAATCATCACTCTTCTCCAAAAGACACTATGTGAATTTTGAGCTTCCAGTACAAAAAAATCAGCTTGTCATAAATAAGGCAAAAAAGGAGAATAATAGAATTTTGATTCAACACCCAAAGCCAAGTTTTCCCACTAGGTGAGGTAGCGCACAGATCAAAAGATACAATTTGTCTCTTCCAAAAACCTTACACAAGAATCTTTCTCTATATAAAAAAATATGATAACAGAAACAAGGATGGGCGTTGGGCATTGATGCAAAGATGCATGCATCTTGTTCAGTAAAAGATGCAAAGCCAAAGATAAACTTACTCTCCACTTTGCCATTTTAAACTTTGTCTCCACATTGTTTCAAGGGTATTGCTCATGATACACATAGGTCTCCACTTTGTCAGAGAAGCAAAGCCCTTGAAACAATCATGTACCTTCAAAGATGCATGCATCATGCTTCAACCAACAGTATCAAAAAATTGGATTTACTGTATACTACTAGAAAATGTTTGTCTCTTCTTATAACCAAACTAGCATAGGTATCACCAAAACAAAATCATGAGGAAAAAGAATGACAATACAGTAGAAAATTGAAAGAGGTAAGGTAGAAACCTGCATTCTCAGATGTGTCAAACTTAGAAACAGCAATAGTTGAAAACATTCTAAAACTATCTGCCACCTTTACTACCTGCAAAATATGAAACTCCTCAACAATTATTAGCAAGTACAGAGGAATGAACAGGTAAATAGACAAAAAGGTAACCCATTTAGTATTTTGGTAATGCATGCATCACCTTCCCCATAAAATATGCATATATTAGGATCTTTGGTTACCCTAGGGCAACGTAAAAGATGCCAAAGGATGCTGCCACCACTACCAATCAAACAGAGCTCAATAACATTTTTCTAAGTAAAAGAAGAGAAAACAGCTCATAAACAAATTATGTTGTGTGCACAGCATTTTGGAGCCTTCATAACATGAAGAGGGGCAATAAAGAGAAGATAAGGTGGCATGTTTTAAATTAAAAATGAAAACAAAAACATTTTCCAATACTATATGGCCACTTAACTTTTCATTTATTTTAAAAACAAACCCTCAAGAACTATTGTTTTATAGTTTTAATTTTAGTAGAATTTATTTACATTTCTTTCTAATCATGTGATGCCTGATACTCACCTTGTAACGTTTTTCTGTTTGATAGGAACTATAAACAATGTTGTTATTGTGAAAATTACCACAAGATACTGTTAAAATAAATAGCTACAGTTGCCACCATATGCTTTCAAGCATCGCATGTTCTTCTAAAACTTCTCCACTGCCCATCCCCCAGCTACTACTTGCTTAGATGATTTCCTTCCTTCTGAATTTTCTTCCATCATCACAGAAAGAACATTTTCTAGGATACAATTGGTATAACCATGGATTGCTTAAACCAAAATTAAGCTTCATTAGCTATGTCATTCTACTTAACCATGTCAATTAATTCAATTCAAGGATAATGACTTCATAATAACCATGTTTAAAATAACAATTTATAGAGTTAACCAGAAATTGTTAACAAGCATATCAGTAATTTAAAATTAAATTTCTTCAAGTGGCGTAAAAAATGAATTAAAAAAACTTAACGGAAAAAAAAAAGTGTTACAAAGTAGATACTTTCTAGTGAAATAATTTGTTATCATGGTGCACACAAGATAGATCCTTTCACCTTGAAGCAGTTACTTGTAATATGTTTTGAAAGTTTTGACAGCTATGATTTTTTCATAGTTCTAATATATGGAATTACAGATGCATGTCCAAAGTTCAAGTTGTCTCCGTAGCTTACATTTGTTGAAAACCATAATTGTCTATTTGGATTCTCTTTGGAGCTCAGCACATTTAGCTACTTTGTCTAATTGTCCTATTGTTGCTTTTCTACTTAAGTAGATTCATATACTACCTAGGATTTACTTCCCCTTTCCTTCTACTAACATATCCCTCTACTATCCAGAAAATAAACATATATGTTCAAAAGATAATCATTTCCCTTCAAACAATCAGCAATTAAACGCACAACTATCCAACAATGAAAACAAAACATTTTACCATAGATGTTACCAATAAGCATACTCGTTACCACAGAGAAAAATGTGACAGTGGCATACATCAAATATGCCAAACCACTAGTGTGGTAAAAACAATATATAATAAACTGAACTCCTGTTACTTTTTTTAAGAAAAGAAGTATGCAAAGAAATCATCACCTCCCCATGTCCCGTTGCAAATGAACCAGCCCCTTCCAATAAAGGCATTAATATGGAATGTACATCAGACGGTGCTTTGTTGACATCCTCAAAAACAATCCACAAACCATTCTGCACAGCCTGTGATAACGACAGTACAGAAAAGCAAATAAGAAACCTTCTTTGCAATTATCTAAGCACATACAGCAAAAATTATTGATCTGTTTGAAGTTAGATAGGACTGGAACAGTCACACAAACCTGGGTAAGTGATCCAGGCTGCCATCTAAACTCCCCAGGCCTATCTGTACAGACATAAGCTCCAACCAATGTTCTACCATCAATTTGATCATCCATCTGTATAGATAGCACTGCAAGACAAAATAAGAGCATAAGTAATTATTAGATTTAAGCAATGATAAAAGAAGAAAGTTAGTGCATGTTTGATTCAGCTTATATTATTTTTAAGAAATAAACTCTTCTTTTTATCAGCTTCTTGTGATAGATTTTGAACAAATAACAATTATATTTCTAAATTTAAGTGTTACCAAACAATTGGTATCATCAACAAACTGCAAAAGAAAAACAGCAATTCCCTCTGAACCCACTTTAACTCCTTTCATGAAGACTGTTTGCTCCTGCTCTAGAAATAATATCACTAAGGACATCCACCATCAAATTAAACTAAAAATAAAAAACATGCAATCTCCTTTTTGCATCATTTGCCACTCTAAAAATTTATTATCACAAAATGACCAATAATTCACACTAAAAATGCTACAAATACTAAAAAAAACTCTCCTTTTTGCATCATTTGCCACTCTAAAAATTTATTATCACAAAATGACCAATAATTCACACTAAAAATGCTACAAATACTAAAAAAAACTGTAAATTAAAATAACACGAATCAAGTGCATGGCAGAATAAATAACCAATAAGACATCAGATCAGCTTACTTCCCTGTATTCCCTCCTATTAAAACAGTATTTGAAAGCTCATAGAAATTAATTTCAACTAATTTAAAAAAAAAAAAATTAACTGGCATACTTGAACAGTTGAACCAAAGCAGCCACAATTAATTTCAATAAGACCTCACATCAACTTATTTCCCAATGATCCCTTCTATTAAAACAGTATTTGAGTGCTCATAGAAATTAATTTCAACAATGAATTTCAAGAAAATAGGCATATGTGAACCAGAGCAGCCATAATGTGTACAAAACCAAACATGGTTATCATCTTCTATGAAGCATTTAATAACAATTTTCCCAGAGAATCCCCCACCCCCCAATCAAAGAAAAAAAAAAACTAAAATATATGTTCTTCCTACTCTCTGTGTTTGATCAATTTCTGTACAAGAGCAGACAAAATAATAATAATAATAATAATAATAACAACTAATTGGTATATATTAAGACATACCTTGGTTTCCACTATCTTGAGCCAGCTTGGCAATGAGAGCAGATTTTCCACAACCAGAAGGACCACATAAAAGAACAGGCCACCTCTGACTCACCGCCAACAGAACTCTATCATAACTTTTCTTCACCGCTGGTGTCAATACAAATGTATTACTTACTGATACATCACCCCTAAAATTACAAAAAGATATCAAAAATTAAGTGGTAATCCAAATGAAATATGGAATATCAGTAATATCAGTAAGAATCACCAAAGAGAAGCTACAAGAAATAAGCCAAGGGAAAGCATAAAAAGGACCACTTAAGAACTTTCAAGCATTAAGAAAGTGGGTAGCACTTAAATTTAAAATGCCAAGTCCAAGTCCAAAAATCAGTGTTTTAATCCAGAATAATAAGCTGTACCTTGTCATAAGCCGTTGACTCCTAAAAGGTTGTTGAAAATCATGAAGAGTTGGTGAACTAACATGCCGAGAATTAAAGCCAAAGGATTTTAAACAGTTCTCATTGTTGAAATCCATGCTTCCATCTGAAGAACCAGACACATAGTCTGCTACTGGCTCAACATACCAACCAGCTTTTTCTAGTGATGTGTCCTGACAGAACTCTTCCCAACTGAATATGGCAAATTGAAGGTTGTAACTTGTAATTAAACATGCACTACATTTTAAGTACAAAACACAGCCAAAAAGAAGTAAACAGTACTGACCGCAATAGACTAGAAAATGCTTCCTCAGCTCCAATATTCAAGTTTTCTGTAGCTCTATAACCTAACTTGAGCACAACTCTTAATATTTGCACCCCACACCACTTAAGATCTGGAGTGCATGGCTCTTTTATGAGATCCAGAAAACAAGACCAATTCCAAAGCTTTGAGAAAATTTCAGGTTTCATTAGAAGGAGGCGGTATGATATATGGGCAGCATGCAGTGCATGGGTCTCAACCTGGAAAAAAAAAAAAAAAAAGTTATTACTTGATCACATGCAGAAGCATGTCTCAAAATCATTTCTCAAAAAATCAATGCAAAAATTGAACTGACCATGTCTTGTTTCACTGATATTCTTTCAAATGGAGCAGGAGCAAAATTGAAATAGCTTAAAACAGAACTACATCAAATAGCAAACATGATCATATAATATTATTAGAAAAACAATTTTACAAAACAAATATAAAAGCTCAGATCAATAGAAATTTTCAACAAGAAATCAACATCATCCATTATGAAAAGGACATGCCATTTGTAGATAGAAAGATATATAATAACTAAATATCAAAAGGCTTGAGACACACCACTACATGAATTCTGCAAATAAAAGATTAAGAAAAGATATTCAATTATAATTTATATTACCAAATACAAGAGGAAAAATATTTATCAAAGTATTGCTGATAATTATCATTTCCTTAGGCTGGAATTTCAGGATTGGAAAACATTATCCCCCTTTCATTTTTCCTTTTTTACAAGTAGTTTTCTTCACAATGATGAAATGGGATTTTGGGGAGCACGGGGATGATGAAAAAATACAACATTCTTTTTTATTTTGGGCAAATGAAAGAACTACACAAATTAACATATTGATAATTGCTATACACGCACATACTTCACCATTAAAGAGAATGATGAAATATTGCCAAAAAAAAAGGTTATATCCTCCTAAGAAAAGGTACAGGCATGAGATATAGAAATGGAAAATAAATCCATTAATACAATATCTCACACAAAGTACCAAGTATATACAGACTTATTTGAGATTTAACAAGATTTCATGCTAAGCCATTCATAGAAGAAAAGAAAGGAAATATAAAAGGCATATTTTGCATTCCTAGCTTTTTAATGATAATAATTAACAGTACTAACCATGTTTCTACTGAATTCATAGGAATATCACAGTGAAGAAAGAACACAGAAGAAATTTGTAACAATGGCTTTATTATATATCGCCTATGAAAGCACACAGCATGATAGACAGACAGAACATGTAGATAGATAAGCTGTATAGAAGAAGTTATTGAAAACTAGGCTCAAACTACTGTATGTTACAGGGAAGGTATCAACCTCAGCAGAAAAGGACCCATGTCAAGTGCACGACAGAAGGCTAGACAAGCAAGCTCGTGAAGATCGAGACCCTTTCCCTGTCCACTATAAAACTCTATGACATTAGCAACTTCATCCAAAACGCTTTCGCGATCATCTTCCACAGCAGTTTCATCAGTATTACATCTCAAATCTGGTACAAGACTAAGCAGAGCAACAGCTTTATCTACAAAATGTCGAGCAATTGGACGGAAACATCCCATCAATGGAATTGTATAACTTGGGTGCAGAAACACCCCTACTAACACATTAACCATTTCCTCTTGAGTAACCAACTCCCCCTGCACACAAGAAAAAACAAATAAATAAAAAAATAACAATCTATACAAAAATTGAATTTTATTTGTTTAAGAGAAAACCAAAACAGGTAATATGAACTCAAATACGCGGGAAAAAATTTGTGCAATGCACACAGAAACTGCAATTCAAAATTGAAGCAATACCCTCTGTGCTAGCGACTCAAACTGTGGAAACGATTGGAGCTTCGGGCAACGATCAAAAAACCTTTGAAGCGAAGAATAAAGGCTGAAACTACCATCAATCGACATTTCAAGCTGAAATAGTTGTCTACGCTCGCTCAAATTGACTGTAAAAGAGTATTATATATATAACAACCAAAAAATTGAAGAAAAAAAATATTTTCTACTTGAAGCAGGTTTTCCTTGTCGATAAAAGTAGCCAACCAAAAGAAAAACAAAATTGATTAAGTTAATTAGCGGAGGTTAGGATTTTGAGCGTTTGCAGATAAAAACAATTCCACTGCGCTGCGAAGTGTTCTGCGGGAGCAAGCTCTGTGTGTCTTCTTCCCCAGCTAGTCTCCAAAACACCTTCGTGATACGTGTGTCGTGCGGGGTTTTAGGGTTTAAGCGCTCTTATATATACGTTCTCAGTAAACCGACTTAGTATGTTATTTGAAAAAAATGACACAAAAATTCAGTTATTTAGAATTGTGAGAGTAAATTTAAACGTAAATATTAAACAAATGATTTGTTATTGTTTCTGAAGCTGTTATGAATATATTTTCTTAATAATTATTTTGATATTTGAGAGATAAAGTATATTACATACGAAGACTATTTTCTCCGGTTTAATTTTCACTACCCTTTCTTCCTTCAAGGTAGATTTAATCCCTTTTATATACTTTCCTTTTAAAAAACGTACTTCTACATTGTATACAAACAATGTCAATCACTTTTTAAAATAAAATTACAATTTATAGTTATAATTCAACTACAATTTTCTTTAAATCAAAAATAATTTTCATAATAAAAATAAACAAAAATAATATTTTGATCTTCTAATTTTATTTTTAATACAATTTAAGCTTCTAACTTATTATTTAGTTTGATTCTTTAATTTCTCATTTTGCATCTATTTTATCCTTCTATTATAACAATTTTTTAATCAACATGTTTACAACCTTTCTTTTGGGTTAGAAAAATAAGTAACATATTTATTATTATATTATATTGTGTATTTCTTATCTTCTTGCCGGGTGAATTTTTATGTGAATTTTACTGAATAAATTAGACTTTCCCTTTATTCGACGGCACTCAAGTGAAATTCGTTTAATTTAATAAATATTAAAAAAAATCACATTGCCTATCTCTATTTGAAATAACAATAAAAATAATGTCATGTTGTCCTATGATATTTCATTACTTTATAAAAATAGTAAATAAATAATAAAACATAAAATGACTCAATACACAAATGATTAATATATTTTTTTTTCTAAGAATGAGAATGTTATTAATTAAGAGAATGTCAGAAGCAATTGCAATTATGAAAATTTTATTTAAGATGTGTTTCATTTGATAAACAAATATTTTATTGTATTTTTTAAACAAATTATAAGTATTGTCAAATTCACATCATTAAGAATTTTATTTTTACTTTCAAATGTTTGATAAAAACTAATGACAAAGTTTGAATAAATTAATAATTTTATTTTTACTTATAAAAATAAGTATTTTATATATATATATATATAATTGCAGGTCTTACGATAGTATTATAATTAAGAGCTCATTTTAAAAGTGTTTTTAAGTATCAATAATTTTTCTTTTCTAATCATTTATTAATTTAAATTTTCATTTTAATTTTTTATAATTTATTTATTTAATACCATAAGATATTTATTATTATTAACATTTTTTTGGTTATTTTATTGCTAGTAGTAACTAAAATATTCATCAGTTTAAATTTTATCAAATTTAAAAATATTCATAAAACCTATTTCAAAATTTAATTTAATTTAATAATAACTGCGCAATACAGAAAAATGTAATAGTTAATATAATATTTGTCTAACAAAAATTAAAATATTAATATCAATATCATGGGCTATAAAAAGTAATAATTTTATTTATTTATTTTAAAAATATCAAATCTTTGAAAATAATATTTTTACAGTATTATATTAAAACATTAAAACAGGGAATAAAAATAAAAAGCATTTGTTCCTGGCATCCCTGTTAGTTTTTTTTTTTTTTTTTTTGATAAATAACTCCCCACACAGCACAAGAACATGCCAGTAAATTTAAGTCCACTGGTCGACTAACATAGAGAATATAAGCAGCGTGGGTTTCAAATCCTCTGCAGTTTGCAATTTAAAATATTTTTACTTTTACAATAAACTAAAAAAGTGCAAATATACACAAGCCATTGGACCAACAACTGCATGCAAAAGCCATGCAGATGTTTCAAAAATGCAAAGAACCATGATCTATGAGCGGCTCCTCATAGTACCATATCCTTGATATTCGATTCAGCTCAGGCAAAATAACAGAACCAAGGTCTGGTCGATCACGTTTTCTCAACTCACAACACTTCAAAGCCAACTTGGCATATGACAAGGTCTCTTCAACAGGCCAATCTACACTTGGATCAAGCACTTGTGTTAAAGTGTCTGCTTCAATAGCCTCTTCAACCAAGTGTGACAAACCCATTGGAGGCTTTGCAGTAATAATCTGTAGCAACACCATACCTAATGAGTATATGTCTGATTTCACACCCAACAACCCCGTTTGTTGATACTCAGGATCAATGTAGCAAAACGTTCCAGCTGCACCTGTTAAGCGATATTGAGTGGTTTTGTTGGCCACAGATGGGGGAACAAGCCTTGCCAAACCCACATCACTGATCTTGCTGACATAGTTCTTGTCTAAGAGAATGTTTGCTGGCTTAAGGTCACGGTGCACAAGTGGCTCAGGCTTTGTTTGGTGAAGGAAAAGAAGGCAAGTCGCAATCTCAGACGCTATTTTGAAACGTGTTTGCCATGGAATTGGCGGGGTGTTATTTTTCCGGAATAGACGATCTTCTAAGCTCCCATTTTCCATGTACTCATACACAAGGCATCCGAACGCTGGGCATGCACCTAGGAGAAGCACCATGTTTGGATGTCTTATGGTGCTCAAAACAATAACCTGCATTAATTAGAACCATTCATACATAAGACGACTGATAATCCAACGGCCGTTTGTTTGATAACATTTTCTGTTTTTACTTTCAATAACAAAAATGTCAATTTTATTCTGTTCCCTATTTTCAAAGATTTGCAATGAAAACTTTTCTATCATAATCCTTTTTCCTGTAGCCCAACACACAAATAACCTCCAAATTGCATGTGATTTTCACTAGTCATTTGTATTAATATTTTGCTGTGATTGTCACTCCTCTGTGCACTCACAAGAAAGTCCTTGCACTGTCTTCCTTTGCACAAACTTACATGTCAATTACTTGTGGCATGGTGGAATTAAACATGCAGGAATGCAGCATTCTGTTTTTATATATTTTCAGAACAAAACAAACTAAATAAAGATGTAAATAGTGTGAATTATTGGTATTCCTTCTATTGAACTGTATACTTTATGGTGACTCTATGAGGACAATTATTTCACGTTAGCTTTTATGTTTTGACAATAAGTAATTGACCAAGTGTCATGTATTTTATAAATTTGTTAGAATTAATACTCATGCTCCTTGTTTCTACCAAAACCAAAACTATAGTTACCTCTTGTTGAAATTGCCTCTCTCCATGAGCCATGTCTGGTCTCACAGCCTTGATGGCAACAACAGTGTGATCAAGCAAGCCTTTAAACACTGGTCCATATCCCCCTTCACCAATTTTCAAAGCATTGTCAAAGTTATCTGTTGCAGCTTCAATTTCTTCAATATTGTATCTTCTATACGGAACGCTATTACATACAACTTCATGTAATGCTTTGTTCCTCTTTTCTTCCTCATGCTTGGCCCTTAGTTCGGCTTCCTTTCTCTTTTGGGTTTCCATTTCCGCCAAGCGTTGTAACATTTCTGCTGACTCCATAGCTGCTTTGGCCTTTTGCCTCTCTATCTCTACCAAAGCCAATGCAGCCTCTTCAGCATGCCTAGCTTCTTCTACATTGCGTTCTTTTTCTTGCTTAATCTTTTCAAGCTCCATTGCCTAAATGACAAATACTTGTCCTTTTAAGTCCTCTTTTTCCATGATTTATTATTGTAAAAGGAATTGGAACTAGAACAACTGCATTACATGGAATTACCTTTTGTTTTGCTAAAACAGCTTCTCTGCAAGCCATACTATACTTCTCTGTTGTTTTTTTCAGTTCTTGCTTTAGTTTCCTCATTTCCATCTCCAAGTTTCCCTGTAAGATAAATCGGGCAAAAGGGAAAACATTTAAATATTTACATATTAATGGAGAAAAAAGCATTTTCAACTCAATGCAGATGATTGAAGCAGGGAGTGAATCATCAGTTATGTCAATCTAAACCCAAACTTTGGTTGGATTATCTGTTAAAAAACTAATTCTTACACCTTTTAATAAAAAAAACATGCTCCCATAAAAATTATGGTTTAAATTAATTTTTACACCCATCTCAATTAGATTCAACTGGTCAAAAACAATTATATTCAACTTTAAACCAAACGTACAATTCATCATTAATATGATTCTGAAATGCATAGCCAATTTGTTATTTTCCTAGTGTGAAAAGAAAGTGGTATGTCCCATTTAAACAGCATAGTACATTACTTACTAATGGTTTTAAAGGAGAGATGGCCTTAGGATTGTCTGATTTTACTACTACTTCATGGTTTCCATGTAACTTATCATTCAAATGAGGACCAAGCAATTGCCCTGAGCTATCACTGTTGGCAGGAGAATTTCGATTTGATGAATTTTGTGATGATGGGGAGTATTCCGCTGGACATCTTGGTGAATTGGTATCTTCATGACACTTACGTGGTGTTTTTAACGTGGCCTCTTTTATTTCACGTAAAGATTCCCAAATATTGCTAGGGTCTCTCCCAACTGGTGTTCTGTGACAGTGCCAAAACGCCAAGAACAATAAAATTACTTATTTTATTTTAAAAAGAATAGTTAACATCTTTGAATTCAATTTTTAAGAAACTAACCATGGATAAATATTTTTTTCTATGTTAGTTTTAGCATTTTGGTTAAAGTAAAATCCCATGTTTTGTATTAAATCTTCAAGTACGCCTTTTATATTAAAACCTTCTAATGGATTCCAATACTTAAAAAAAAAATAACTTGATTAATTTTTAATTAGATTCATACTAATTATAAAATTTGTAATTAACTTCTTAAAACTATAAACTAATGATTTGTATATGACTATAGAATATTATTAAGAACTTATTATGTGGAAGTTTATTCTCAAGTTTGACTATTAAAAGAGTTTATTTTAACAATATTTTTATCGAATGTATTAAAATAAGTTTTGAAAAAAATTCCTATAGGAGATCATAAATTCAAATATATATACTCCTAAAAAGTTCTTTCAAACTTCTCATTTAATAAAATTTAATTACAAAATTAACTATGAAGTTAATTAAAAAATTAAAATATTTTTTTGATAAGTCTCTCCAAAAAAAAATTATTGAAATAAAATTAAAAAAATATATATAGAAAGGTCATGAGAGCTACCAATAGGCTTGGGTAGTCCCAAGTGTTTCCAAGAAAGAAAAAGAAAATGTAATTATGATGTGGGGGTAACATACTAACATACCTGTTTATATCTTCATAATCAGGGTGGGGGTTGGCATGAACCTTGTGTGAATGAACCAATGGCGCATTTTGCCAGAGAGTAACTATGTTGTTTATGGTTTTCGTTGGTGTGACATTAATATGCTGATGAGGCTGACCAGTTGGTTGGATAATTTGTACTTTTCCTTTTAATACAACATATAAAGTGCAAGTCTCTGGCAAGGACTTTGCTAAACTAGTTGCCACATCTGCATCTTTATTAAATCTCCTACAAACGAAAATGATACCATTGGTTAAAGTAAAAAATATGATCATGTTTGATAGTTGTTTCAAGTTTAATTCCTACTGCAATCCATTTCCAAGGGAACAAAATGGGTATTTGAGCTTCTGTTCTCCTCACAGCTACAAGGGAATACTTGTAAATGAAAAAAAATATATATCATTTAAAATGGGGCTTTTTTTATTATCTCTTATAATTTTGAAGAATTTTTTTGAAATATGTGTATTATAAAAAGATAATATATAAGATAAAGATTAAAAAAAAGTGAATATAATTTTTATATATTGACAGTATAAATATTTTTTATATCATCTTCTAATCATGAGTGTTTATTATATCAGAAAGAATTTAATATAAAAATCATAACCACGATAAATTCTTATTCATTGACACTGTCAATTTTTTTACACTAAAAATGTATCAAAATAAACTTAAAAAAACTATGTGCAACATTACATACAACATTAATTTTTAAAAATTTATAAATGTAAGTTGTGGATCATAAAATATTCATTGTCTTTTTTCTTTTCTTTTTTACTTGGCAATTATTGAATGGTTTCTGATGAAAATCTTAAAGCTATTTCGCGGAGAGAAGCAAACACATGTATCCATCTTAGAGAGGAATTATCAAATTTATGCACAGGCACGAGTCTCAACACCCCCGACAAATTGATGTTTAAATGCGAGTTTTTATGTGAGAGAAAATGACCTTACAAGAGCACCCCAAGGGGAAGCATCAACCCCAACCACCACATTGCTGATAGAATGTTCAACGACATAATCTGTCAGCGCACTTGGAACATCAATGTCATGCAGGACCAACTCCTTTGCTGCGATCTGAAATACCGATTAACGTTCATAATTATAAACTACAACTACCACGAGATATCTATACACGACACATGATGTTTATTATGATACAATTATGGGGTTTTAAGAGTTCATAAAACTCTCTGGAAATATATTTCTCACCCCTTTTCTAGCACAAAACCCACGGAAGGGAAGAAACAATTGGTGCAATTCTTCTTCAGTTGGTGGACGACCGTGTTTAGGTACATCAACGACATCATCTACACAATCCGAAATTCAAAAAGCTATAATATCATATACATTAAGAACCCCCTCTTTTAAATTATTAGGCCAAGGGTTTTAAACCATTTAATTACATGCGTGACATATATGATTCAACAAATTAATGAGGCATCTAAGGATGCAAAAGGGGCTAAGGAGAAGGGTACCTACGGGGATGCATAGACTTGGTCCTAACATGAACAAGGGTGCATGAGGAGTTTTTCTTTAGAAGATGCTCCACCGCCCATTTGACGGCAAAGTGGCTATTCCGGTCAGCATTGATGGCGATGACGGTGGTGCCTCCGTCTGCCACGACGGCAGGCGACGGCGTATGCATGAGGAACATGGTCAATGGTGGTGCCACAAGTTGGGAATGCTAAAGAAAAACAAAGGTATGCAGAGAGCAATAAGGTTGTCCCACTCTCCAAAGAGTTTGGATGTTATATTGACCAAACCGTTACTAACGATTCAAATGTGGTATTTTCATCTGGCTGACTAGCTGGAACTACATTAGTTGGATTTTCTAAAACACGTATGCATTTTATCATATACCTAAGTTGCATCTATTAATGGTATATCAATTATAAGTATAAAATGGGACACTTTTTTTAAAATCATTAAAATTAGATCCCTAGGGATATTCAAAATTAGAAGAGACAGCTAAAGCAGTAGTATGAAAGAATTTGGTTAGACATAAACTTTGTACTTGACCTATTTTTCAAATCAAAGGACTAAGTTTGATGTAGGTCATTTTTTTAAAAGTTTAACCTATCTTTTTAAAAAGTTTGATGTGCATTGAAAGTTTACTTAAAAAAATATGTTGCAATAAAATTTATTAAAGAATATTACAAATATATTATTGAATGGAATATTTTTTTTTTTTATAAAAGTAACTTGTAATTTATTGATTAATTAATAACAAAATTACTATTTAGTAAATACAAAATGAAAAAAGTTAGTGACTTTTAAAATTATCTTTTTAAAAACTATAAAGAATTATTTAATTTTAAAAAACTAACTATTAATATTTCTATTATATTCTTATCCATATTTTTAAAAAAAAAAATCATTCTTCACATAATTAAAATTCTAATACATTAATCTGATTATTATTATTTTATTTTTTTCATTTTAACTATAATTTATCTTTTTTATTTTTTATTTTTCTTCTTATCTTTCGTTTTTTTATTAGTTTTGTTATACTATTCAATAGAGGTTGACCAATTTGTTGACTTTATTAAAACAATATTACCATTTAGTTTATGATTTTTGACATTGTTAAGATAATTTTTTAAAAATAAATTAAATTTAAAAACATTATTGTCTTAATTAATATTATTTTGTTTAATTTTAAATACATTTTTAATATATTATATTCAATTTAATAAAATATAATTTTGTATCTTTAATCATAAAATTATATACATTCTTAATTTTTAGATATTTTAACATAATAATACATCATCTATCCCCATGCGTTATTAAAACAGAGTTCTATCTATTTGGAACTGACTTTCGATAAATTACGTTTGTCATTCTTAATTTACCTTATTTTTTAGATTTAAAATTAAAAATTTCTTCCAATTTATTTATCAACATATTCTCATTTTCAATTTTACATATATTCCTATTTAATTCATCTCTTAAATTATTTTTTAAAATTGTGAAATAATCAAAATTAAATTCTAATTACATTTCGAGACCTGAGAAAATGAAATAAAAAAACAAAAACTAAAAACCGAGCACACGACGTCGTATCCATTCCAATTGGGAAGCTAGTGTATATTCTGTACCTAGGAAAAAGCAGAGTGATTGAGAAGATATGCGGAGAAAAAAACGAGAGTTTGGAGTTTGTTTTCACTTGAGCGCTGTTACTTCGGTTCCTGTTACTTACCGTTCCCGATAAATGGTCGCTACCACCATGCAGTGTAGAAGATAAAGCGCTTCCTTTGCCAACAAGTTTCAATTTCTTCTTCAGGAACCCTCCTCTCTTTCTCTTTTTATTTCCTTTAAATTCACTGCTCAGGTAACTCACTCTTCATACCCTTTTTTTTTTTTTTTAACTTTTCTATGGGGGGAATGGAAAATTTGAAGATGGTTATGAAGGATTTTCCTCAGTGGATTATGGGTCTTAGCTATTTTTCAATAATTTTATTATTTTCTTAAAAAGTTTTGAAATTGTTCTTGCATTGAAGGCTTTTGGGAGAAAGCTCTGATTTTTATTTTATTTTTTAAAATTATATCTATGGTTCATATGAGCAAATAACTTTACTTGTAAGGTAGTGTTGATCTTAGTGTGGTTCTCTTCTCTTTATTCTTATATTGATTCCAAAGTTTGTGCATGATTATGCTTGACTTGTGTCTTATGGGATTTTGGCATTTGTGCAAACCCCCTTTTTAAGCGTCTAAGATATTTCAGCAACGAGCGTGTGCGGATAGCTTGAAATACGATCAGTGATAGGGGATTGACTGATGTGAGTTCTTTCTTGTTTTGCGTTACAAGTGGTGATCCTTCAGCATGTATAAGGAAGCGAAGATAAAATATATTAAGCCTTCGTAATTAGGAATTACTTGCATGCTTGATTAGTTGAGTTCCATTGAGGTAAATGTTTGTAGTTCACTTTCTGGTGTTTGTCTTGTTTTCACTGGACATGAATTGGATGCTTTTTTCATGTTGAAATAGATGTTTTCATCGATTAGAGGTGGCTTTAACACATCCATAATATCTTACTTTGATCCTCTCCCCCCCCCCCCCCCCTCTTTTTCTGAGTTAAGCGCTAGATCCCCTATCAAGCATCTATCTTTAACCTGCGGATGATTTAAATCTCAGACGTGAATCTCGTTATAATTTGGGACAGAATATTCTTGGTCTGAAATTGTCTCTCGAAACCTCTTATGTGAAAATGTTGAAACTCCATATCATTTTCTTTTAGTTATCACGTGAAAACCGTAATTTGTCCAGTTTGTTTTGATGCCTATTTACACTGTTTGAAACGACTTCTTGTTGGTGGTGCCATTATAAGGAGACTCTGAATTGATTTTGAATTTTTGATTTCTTCTCATTCAAACACTGCTAAATTTTCTTCTACTTCAGTGGCTCCCGTGCTGGAAAAGTTAACCTGCTGATGAATTATTCTGAGTGCATTGCTGATTGTATACAACACAAGAGGCATGGATATTGTGCAAGCCTTGTCTTAAAAAAAAATCATAATATAACAATCTCGTTATTTCATCATTGGTATTAGATAAGCTTGATTGTTGTTTTAATGTTTCAAAAATTATCATCATGCCTCCGTGGATCCATAAATGCTGAACTATGAAAGCAAAATGTGTTCTTTAAATCAATGGTCCTCAACGCTTCTGCACTTCTCTCCTTACATGTAGTCAAATAGAGTATTGAAATGTTCTTTGACATCCTTTGTTAATCATTGAGGTCGAAATGGCTTTTGAATTTGACTAATTTGTGTAAAACTAGACATTTTTATTGAATGTTCAGTTTCATTTCTGTAAAATAGATGGTAAATATTCTATATATTCAACTATTGAAGCACTTCAGCAAAAGGTTTTCTTTCACAGGAGCTTTTTGACGAGTTTTGGTTGACTATAGAAGGAAAAAAATTATAAAGCATTTTAGCCACTTGTGGTTTAGCCATGATTACTGCTTGTGACGTTTGGATTTCTGGTGGAAAAGTTCCAAACTGTATTGTATTTTGGGCAAGAACTTGTCTTTACCGCTTTTGCTGGCATCTACTTCTCGTCTTACTTTTTATCTTGCTTCTCTGTACAAATGTTATAAATGAATATTGAGTTTAATATACAGGGCTCTAGATGGATACAGTTGACCAAATAAAAGGCAAGGATGCTCTTGTCGGGGACTCGGAAAACCCACTATTGGGAAAATTTGACAAGCCGCTTCCATGTTTTGGCTGTGGAATTGGATGGTTCTCGTGAGTTATTTTGTGCAGATTTATACTACTCTTTTTTTATCTTTTATCTTTTTTTTGAATTTATTATGTTTGGTTGCCAGTCTCCTGCTAGGATTTGTTTGTCCACCCATGTGGTATTATGCTACAATTCTCTACTTTGGAAATCACTATCATAAGGATCCAAGAGAGCGAGCTGGACTTGCTGCTTCTGCTATTGCTGTTAAGTGTTCTCGTGCTTAAGAATGAATATACATTTTATTTTGTATTTGAATCAAACTTTTTTTTTCATTGGAAGTTGGAGTGTCTGTTTTCTGTCTCAATTAAATTTTATTGATTAATGTTGCAGGCTTTGATATGCACAATTGCTGTGATGATAACAACATTTGTTCTTATCTTGTAATTTTACGTTCAACTAACCTATCTCAAGTCAGTTAGTTAACGAGAAAAAAAAGGAAGGCAAGGCTAAGGCCACGTGAGAAAGACGACAAGGCAAGCTAGATCAAGCTGTTGTGAGCACTTTTGATCATCAAGGAAAGATAGATGCAGAAGCATGAGCAAATTCTATTATGTGACACAGCTGCTTTTGTCCTTTTTATAGTTGTATATATACTAGATAAAAGATAGTTACTTCATCTCATTAACTTATTCAGGTGATGTGTATGTTTCTTGAGAACGATAATTAATTGCAATTACAAGTTTGTTAGAAGAACAAAAAACTCGAAAAGAAAAGGCAATTAATTGAGAATGATAGTTGTCCACTTGAGCGTAGTATAAACAAACACTTAAATAGGGCACAAAAATGTGTACTCGGTGGACTTAACAGCAATATTCTCTTCGCCCAAGTGAGAATAGAATGGGAGAGAAACTAATCCCTTTTTCATGTTCCAAGCTTGCCCCTCATATTTGTTACTTTTTTAACGCATGCATAATTTAATATAAAGATCAAATATCTTTATATAAAAAATTAATGCTTTCTATCTTTAAGAAGTTAAGTGAAATATAAACTTCTCCTTTTCTGTTCCTCCCTCTCCCTCCCTCTTTTTCAAGTCAAATTAATTAAAAATCCGTTCATTTGTTAGTCCTTTTATTCTTGTTGATTGGTATTTAACTTTGGAAAATAAATAAGGTGGCTATAATTGAAAGATTATATCTTTTAGCTTTTTAGATTTAGAAAGGAAAATGCTTTTTTTTTTCAAGGAAAATAATCTTTTAAGATAACGGAAACTATGACACTTGAAACCTGATTTTAATTGCAGCATTTGTTTTCCAATTGCCTCTTACACTTTCTTGTTTCTCTTACTTTACATCTTTTATTGGCCAGCTAGATGCATATCAAATTTATTAGTTATCTTTGGTAATTGTTTTTAATGGTTGTTTTCAGAAAAGCCTCACTAAATTGAACGAAAGTATTCACTAAATTAAAGCTCTCGCTCTAAAAAAAAAGCAGCACCAATTGCTTTTAGTGACAAATGACATGCATAATTAGTTTAAACAATTCTACTATTTGAAACACTGAAAATTAATATCATGTACAACATCATATATCATATTTTTATCTTCTTTATTTTGTTATATGCATTTTAAAAATACACTTTCAAACAAAACACTTAATTTTTTTTTAAAATCCTATGTGAAAAGACGCTGGTTCGTTTTGACAAAAACAAACAAGAACAGCAAAACTCAAATTGTTGACGAGGACTTAACAATATAGTGATCACGTAACGCGCTTTCTTCAAATACGCTATAGGTTATGTTCAACTTTTGTGTGTTTGTGGGCGTGTGAAAAGCTCTGTTCCCCTTACTTGTCTCTGTCTACATCTAAGTTAATGCAAGTACGTCCGCACATATCTTTTTTGCTCATACTAAAAATAAAATTGCATGAAAATGACCATGCACTCCGAATCCAACAATTTATATAATTACGACACTTAACTAGATTGAAGGCAAGAGATGCATTAATTTAGGCCAATGATTCCAACACTTGCACTGTTGAGGTAGATAAACACGTTTTAGGGTCAAGAAAAGCTAATTGGAAAAGCATTTGTTTGAAAATGCACATTGTTTACCACTCCCTTCTCTTTCTGTATCTTTGCTGTCATTCACGTACAAAGACAAACAATTACTGAATTGTCACCAATTTCCCTCCTTATTTCCCCATGCCCAACCCCACCAGTCCCACTAACACAATTAACCTAATCAACCAAACCACGACAAAAGCAGAACAAACCAAGCAACCAACTCACAAAGCAAAAAAGCCTTAAGAAAAAACTCGCTTTCTTCTTTCTTCCACCCAAAAGAGACTCATTCCTTAGAAATGGAACAAGAGGGTGACACGTCCATAATGGCACCGTTGTGGGCTTCAAATGGCGATCTCTACCACCATAACCGCCGCCGTCTCCGCCGTTCTTACTCTTTGTTACTGACCTCCAGCTCTCTCCTCGTACTTTTTATCGTAATCGCACTCGTCTTCACGCTCGTTGTAGTTCCCACGTTACGCTCTTTCGCCTCTAACGTTCTCAGACCCCACACTGTTAAGAACAGCTGGGACTCCCTTAACCTTGTACTGATCCTCTTCGCCATCGTTTGTGGCTTACTCAGCAAAAACACCACCACCGAAACCCAATCCCCAGGTTCCCATTATCGTAGAACCTTCTCGAACCCTTCAACGCCGCCACCGTGGTACCAATACTCTGATACTCATCGATCGTTCAATAGGTTGAGGAGTTTCAACTCTTACCCTGATCTCCGGCAACACTCGTCTTTCTCCGCCACCGATGAACGCTACCGCTTTTACGACGATACTCATCTCGCCCTCTTGCACCGGCAGCAGAGAACTGACGCTGAAGGTCAAGAAGAAGTGGGTTTTGAGAATGTCGCCACAGCCCCGCCGCAATCGCCGCCGCCACAGCATCGAACGAATGCTGGTCGAAGAAATGTTGAGCGAATGTATCGAACGGAAGCGATCGAGAAACACGAAGCGAGTGGCGTGGCTGCGGAGATTTCACAACCGCCGCCGCAATCTCCGCCGTCTCCTCCGCCACAGCCGCGAACTGAAAGTGTTCGAAGAAACGTCAAGCGAATGTATCGAACTGAAACGATCGAGAAACACGAAGAAAGTGACGTGGCTACGGCGAGTTCACAACCGCCACCGTCTCCACAGCCACAATCGCCGCCGTCTCCTCCGCCACAGCTGCGAACGAAAACTGTTCGCAGAAATGTCAAGCGAACGTATCAAAAGGAACCGATCGAGGAACCGGGAAGAAATGATTCAGTTGCGATGAATTCACAGCCGCCGCCGCCAGTGCAGGGTAAGAAGAAAAGAGGGATTTCAACTAAAGAGTTCTTATTGACATCGTTGAGAGGAAAGAAGAAACAACGACAGAGAAGCGTTGAAAATTTTGATAGCATTATAAATTCTGAACCTTTTCCTCTTGCTCCACAACCGCCATTACCACCATCGCCATCGGTTTTTCAGAACCTGTTTTCTTCCAAGAAAGGAAAACACCAAAAACGCACCTTTGTTTCTGTGGCAACAACACATATATCAAATAAGAGAGAGCATTCTTCCTATAGTTCGGAAGATAATGTGATGATCACTGGCAATGAGTCACCATTGATCCCAATACCTCCACCGCCGCCACCGCCGCCGTTCAAGTTGCCGGCGTGGAAGTTCCGGGTGCAGGGTGATTTTGTCAGGATAGATAGCATTGGTAGCTCACGTAGTGGGTCACCTGATTTGGATGAAGTTAATAATGTGGACTCACCAACAACAAGTACTACTCAAGATGAATCAAGCCAATGCAATAGTCCTTTTGCCCCATATGGGGAAGACCCTTCAACTGCAACTGCAACTGCACCCTCACTGTTCTGTCCCAGCCCTGATGTTGATACCAAGGCTCACAACTTCATTGAGAGTTTCAGAGCTGGTTTGAGGATGGCTAAGATGAACTCTATGAAGGAGAAGCAGGGGATAGGGAGGTCCAACCTAGGGCCTTCACTGAACACTCAAACCATAAATGGAAGTAGAACAAGTTGAAGTAATAAAGTTGATACTTACATTATTATTTGATTTCTTTTTTTCTTTTTTCAAACACTTTTTCTGATGGTGAATTGTTCACATGCATACATAGGCTTCAAATTCATATAGAAGGGAATCGGAGGACTAGATCTCGTCTTAAGAGAATTCTGACTTATAGTTCTTGATTACTTTTTCTTGAGTGGAGTGATTTATGCTTGTGCATTTGAAATGGTCAATTTTGGATTTTGTGACTGAAAGATTTTGAATGTTATTCCTGGCTACTGTATAAACGTTATATAATTAATCAATGAATAATTTACAAATTCAATTTTGTTTACTGTATCATTATTAACATTAACAAGCCGCGGATGAATGCAACTAAAAAGAATGTTACTTCACAGAGATAGCTAGAAATTTGCTGCAAATTACAATACTATAAAATTTGTACACTGAATAGACTTGCCATTTCAAAAATATAACAAGTACACAAGTACTTAGTTAAAAGTGATGAAACGAACTTCAAATAAGAGATATATGTAACATACAGTATTACTGGAAACTAGTTGTGTTAATGATATGCTTAAGAAGAAACTGATGTTAAAGCCATCATTTCCTCTGAGCTAATGGTTTGATTAAGTCGGGCAGAGAATGCTCTTGCCTTACACTCCAATCCACCTTGCTTTGATACGGACCTGCTCAATGCTCAACTTCAAGTTCATAACAATGGAATGGTTCATGCGACTGGCAAAAAATGCTTCTATCTCATCTGCTTTCTCGTCACTGTTAACCTGCCAGATCATGAAATTCAAGGAATGAGAGGTTTCAACTATGAAGGCCTTAATTTACTGCCACGTCTGATAACATTGGAATTGACATCATATTGTATAATCTTAATTTACTTAGATCTCACATACGGTTTACTTAAAGATATCAAAGCCAATGCCACAAATCTCAGACGAACAGTTAAATTGTTGTGGTTATGTTGACCAATCCCTTTAGATCCTACACTTGATAAAAAATACTGTTTTGGCAAAACTGAAGGAATCTGGCAATACAGTATTGATCCATTAATTCAATGTTTTCTTTTCCATTTGCTTACCAGTGGGACTATTTCGCTTATGAAATTGGTGAGTAAAAGCCCAGCACCATATTTGGCCAAGATTCTTTCCCAATTATCCTGCATTTGGTATCAAACCACAATGAATCCACTAAATCAAAATAAATATCCACTGTATCTCACAAATGCTTTCTCAATTCTACTCCAAAGATATTATAATCTATATGTTACACACTTACTGGTGTTACTTATTCCCCACTGTTTAAATATGATAAGGACAAAATAAAAGCAACGAAGAGCTTGTTACTGTGGAAGCACATACCATCAACCATTTCAAAGCAATTTCACTGCCTTCTAAGCTTATTCCCCATAGTACATAAATAATATCTTGATCTGGAATCTAAAAACAATTTAGATAAAAGGTCAAACAGAAAGGAATTTCAGCTGCTCATAACCAGAAATTGCATAACAAAATTATAATACCTCATCAGACAACAAAAGATTCAGAACCTCTAGTACTATATTTGGGTCTGCGCTTGATGCAATACAACCTGCATGAGTTCATAACATTTTTAATCAAGTGATTTAGAGTTTAGCCAATATAATGGGAATTAAGGAATTAAAGAAGTTGCATTCAGTTTGAATGACTGTGTCATACGCAATATTTTTTCCCTTTCTTGCAACACATCAGTACTCCTATACAAACTCAATAGGGACTCAAATCCAGTCCTATTTTCCATGGTAGTATTCCTCATTACAGCTACATAAGCAGCCTGAAAAGTATTTTGTAAATGTACATGTAAAATATAAGTATAACCTAAGCAATGATGCAATAATCTTGATAAAAAATGAATTGAATGTTATTGTTACCCTTCTAGTGTTGGCTGGAAGTAGATAAGTATTTCTGTCATCTAACAAAATCTGAAAGCGGCAGATTTCATTTCATTCTATCTATATCCTATTTTCTGTTACTCTCAATTTAGGAGCTACATGTAATGAAATCAATATTATTTTATAAAATATCTAAATAATAGAGTGATTGATATTTTTGGTCCATTCAATTTTTTTAATTCTATTCTATTTCATTCCGTTATAATTAAATATCCAAACGAAAGATAAGATTTTGCTTTTAAAAAAATAAAAATATATCACTTAAAAATAATCACTCCTTGATATAAAAATTTGTAAATTAACAAAACTTAAGTGTAATAGTTTATACAATTTTCTGACGTTTTTACTTAAAATTTTATCTTAATAACTTATACAATTAAAATCAATGTTATTCTAATTTTAATTAAAAAAGAATATTTACAACAGTTAAGATATTCAATCTACATATTTTCCTTTGTGAAAATCTATCAACAAATGAAGAAACAAAATTTATGCACAAGAAAATCAAGATTAGAGAATCTATGAAGCAGGTCTTCTACTGAAACAGGATCACCAATCAAAAATAGGGCTTGTCTCTATCAGACTCCGCGACGGAGAAGGGTTGTTTGAACCAAGATTGATCACGTTGAATTTCAAGCGAAGAAATGAGCACCATGCATGCAGTCTAGTTGTGGAGACTCTTCCGCTGCAGAATGTCACAGTCGAAGGCGTTTAACTCTCTTTGGCCCAATAAAGAGAGTGAGTTCATCAAGCTATAAGAATAATCATTTTAACATTAATAATAATAAGGAATTAAGGAGTTCAACATTTTCTACTTTTTGAAAAACTGCAAAGTAACAAGTGAAAAAATAGTGAGTGTATAGGCCAGTTTACAAATAGAGAGGAGAAAAGACGAAAACAAAAAAACGTGAACAGGGTCAAGACCAAGATCAAAAACAAAATATGAACACAAACGAAAGTAAGAACAAGACCAAGAGTAAGAGCAATAACAAGAAAACGAGACCAAAAAGAAGATCAAGAGTAAGAAAATGAGACCAGGAACAAGAGCAAAAAAGATCGAGAACAAGAGCAAGAAAACAAGACTCAGAACAAGAACAATAAAACAAGAGCAATGACAAAAACAAAAAATGAACACAAATGAAAGCAAGAACACAACCAAAAGCAAGATCAAGACTAGAACAGGAAAAAGAAAACGAGACCAAGAACAAGAAAATAAGGCCAAAAGAAGATCAAGATGGAGAAACAAGAAGAGAAAGAGACCAAAAACAAGAGCAAGAAAACGAGACAAAGAGAAAGAACAAGAAAAAGGATCAAGATATCGAGACCAAGATCAAGAGCAAGAACAAGAAAACAAGACCAAAACAAGATCGAGAACAAAAAGAGAAAGAGACAAAAAACAATAGCAAGAATACGAGACAAAGAGAAAGAATAAGAACAAGATAAGGATAAAGATTGAGGAAGAGAGAACAAGACCAAGAATAAAGATCAAGAACAAGAGAAAGAATAAAACCAAGCAAACGAGACCAAGATCAAGAACAAGACCAAGACCAAGACCAAGATCAAGAACAAGATTAGGACAAAGTCCTACCAAGAACACAACCAAAACCAAGACCAAGACCCACAAAACAAGAACAAGAAAACAATACCAAGAAGAAGAACAAGACCAAGAGCACGAGAACAGGACCAACACTAAGAACAAAACTAAGAGCCCGAGACCAAGAACAAGATCATGCTAAATACGTGAAATTTCATGCAAAATCAGAACACACATGAACCACAATTGAGCTTTAAATTAACAAATCCACCAGCTTGGGTCTGAACTCTGAACTATTGCGCTGGGTCTGGAATACAGCTACTGTGACGTAACAAAGGAGAAATGACACGAACCAAAGATAATGCAAAACGTAGGATAACGTGGTATCTTCTATCTGCAACAATACCAACCAAAGATTAAACGAACACAGTGCAGATTCAAGCACCCTCTGGTTAATTGTTTTACGGTTCTTAGTGGGCACCATTTCTTGTCAACGGGTAGCTTTGGAACTTCTTCATGAGGTGGTTTTTTAACTGTATAGGTTCTGGTTAAACTATCTGATAAATCATCCACACTATCATCAATGAGACTCGATGAATGAGTCCCATGTCTACATTTAACAATGTTAAACTTGATTAAGAATGATAATTTTGTAAGGTCATGATTTTATTTATTTTTTACTTTTTTCTTAAATTTTATTCTAAATTTGAGATTTTGTTAAATCATTTCTAATTATTGTATACAATTTTTTAAATTTTTTTAATATCTATTTTTATATTAATAAAAAATTTAAATTTTTTAATTTCATAAAAATAACCTTTTTTATTTAAAAAATACAGAATCCATTATTTCCATACATATTCAATGACTTTTTAAACTTCTGGCGAAGTTATGAAATTAAAATTTTGAAAATTAATTCATGAATTATTAACTATTTTTAAAACTAAATTTTAAAAATTAAGATTTTATATTAGTACAAAACATATTTGCTGAGACTTTTTTATCACCGTAAAAAATATTTTAAAAAAAATTACTAAAAATTTTTAATAGGAGCATAAAAAAAAAATTCCATAAAATCACTTTCGGTCTAAAGGCATTCCATATTCAACCGAATGGCCGAATCAAATTGCGTGGATTCTCTAACGAAACAGAATCTAATTGTTTTTATTCTTTTTTAATTCTCTGAGAACCAAAGGAAAACCTTTTCTCGGTGCAGTGTTGTTTCTTCTCCTCTCTCGATCCCACGAAACCCTAACCCTAGCGTCTGCAAAAGGCAATGTCCGATCACAAATCAGGATCCGACCCGAACAGCCAAACCCGACTCTACAATCCCTACAAGGACCTCGAAGTTCCTATTCGAAACCTCTACCACCTCCCTACCTCGCCGGAGTTCCTCTTCGTCGAAGAGGCTCGCCGCAAGCGCCGCTCGTGGGGCGAGAACCTCACCTTCTATACTGGCTGTGGCTACCTCGCCGGAGCAGTTGGCGGTGCCAGCGTTGGTCTCGTTGATGGCGTCAGATCCTTCGAGTCCGGCGACACCACGAAGCTCCGAATCAACCGCGTGCTCAACTCGTCTGGTCATTCGGGTCGGGCGTGGGGAAACAAGATCGGAATCATCGGGTTGATCTATGCGGGAATCGAAAGCGGGATCGAGGCGGCGAGAGACACCGATGATGTGTGGAACAGCGTGGCGGCAGGGCTTGGTACCGGCGCACTGTATCGAGCGGCGAGAGGGGTAAGATCAGCGGCGGTGGCCGGAGCGGTGGGTGGGGTTCTGGTCGGAGTGGCAGTAACGGCGAAGCAGGCGCTGAAACGATACGTTCCTATATGAGCGATAAATTGATCAATTTTGAGCGATAATTTGAGGTTAAATTGAGATATAGATTATCATTATGGTAATATCTATGTTGCTGTTGATGGTAGTGACTAGGTTATATATCTCTTGCAAACTATTGGTTTATTGCCATATTTTTTGAGCTCGTTTATGGCTAACGGTTCTAATGTGTAATTTATTGAGTCATATTGTGGTGAAATTAAAAGATGGATTTGGCTACCCTTTGATGTGATATTTTGGTTGTATTGGTCATTACCCTCTGCAGTTTCTCTCTCTTTACACCTTTGGACGAAGTTTAGGTTTCACAGTACTGTTGATTATGGCTTCTAATCATCATATCATGGGTGAGCTTCTAATTGGTGTTTATTACTCTTGTTTCTCAATGAGCGCATGAACCAGCACTTGAGGGTCAAGTATTGTTGTGCTTTGTTAAAACCATGCTTCGATGGTTTTGATGAACTGCATTCGTAGTTAAACATAAGTTAAAATAGAATAGCATAAAAATAATTCTTTATAATTCCTTTAATCAATACCCAAATTTCTTTTAAGACTAAACTTGGGTGCACTTGCAAAACAGCAATCCAAGTTTTTTTTTATTTTATCAAACATTAACATACGAGATATTTGCAACTCATCATTACTTTGAACTAATTTGTGATTTTCGAAATTAAAAATTTCAAACTCCCGTGTTTTTATTTTTCAAGTGTATTTACAAGTACCCATCCAATGCTCGTAATCCTGACTAGTTTTGTGTAATAGCGATTAAGAATGTTGAATTTGAATGATAATTAAATATAGTAAAATTGTTTTACTTCAATAATAAACTTAATAAAAAAAAAAGTACATGAATACAAGAAAGTAGCATATTAAAAAAGAAATTTCAAATGACGATAACTGTTGTAAAAAAATTATGAATGTAGCATATTACAATTAGCAAACTATAATTACAGTTTGAGCCAACAAATGAATAACTTATTGTGTTATCAAATAAAATAATCAATTAGATCAATATATGATTAAAGAAACCAAGTCTCCTGCATGTGTTAATATTACAATTCATTTGTTTGTTGGACTCTATATTTATTGCGATATAAAGCCATATATAAGCGTTATAATTAAAGATTACTGTACTGCCCAATCAGAATAAGGCTAACTAAATTAACACAAAGGTGAGGGGATGCCAAGAAAGTTGAACGTTTTTTCAATTATTCGCACCATCTAAACAAAGGAAATGTTAAATTCTCATCTCTGTATCATGGGGGCAGCGTTCTCTGGTGAGAGCATCATTTCGGGGTTTAAATTTAAATGCCTCATCTACCCTTGCTTATTAAAAAATTACAAATCTGCAAAATTTATTCTGAGTGATTAAATACTTCAATCAAAAATTGGTCAGGGATACAATCAACCAAACCCAAATGGATATACCCAGGTGAACAAAATCCCATCCCCGGCCAACAATGCCACTTGAAAGGAATTGAGTTCGTCATGGGAGCCTTCTGTTTATTCTTACAACAACATGGATTCTGGATTTTCAATATAGCCTTTAAATGCTTTCAACCATTCGGCACCAATAGCACCTAAACAGAATAAGCGATTTGTTAGAATGTTTTACCACAAAACAAGCTTAATTTTTAGTTACAAATTTAAAGAATAAGAAACAGCAGCAAATTAAGAATGATTACCATCTATAACACGATGATCACAGCTGAGGGTCACAGACATGAAGGAAGCAAACTTGAATTCTTCAGCACCCGAACCTGGAATGACCCTCTTCTCAGCTGCTCGTGTAGAAGGCAATGCAGGAAGATGATCATTAGAGAACAAGAACAGCAACTGTAGTTAATAAAAGAAATAAAAGGGGGTAAAAAGACCAAATTATTCTCACCAGATCCAACTGCAAGAATGCCTGATTGAGGAGGATTGATGATGGCACAGAACTGTTTGACACCAAATGGCCCTCCCAAGTTAGACACTGTAAATGTACCTCCCTGCAATGCGCGTCAACCATTAAAAAAATCATAAACCAGAACAAAGGTCGTCATCATTCAAAGATGAATCAGAATGAACATGAAACTTCAATAATAACCTCATAATCTTGTGGTTTCAAGCTGTTCTCCTTGGCTTTCTTTGCCAACTGTTTGACCTCTTCGCCTATTTTAGAGAGGCCTTTCTTGTCTGCATCCTGCAAATATTAAGAATATAAGGTGAAAATTAGAAACTGTGATCGGAAAAAAGGCTGTATTTGTACTTGAAATACTAGAAAGAGGCCCTTGCTCACCCTGACGACTGGAACAAATAGTCCGTGATCAGTCTGCACTGCAACATTAATATTCACATTATGATACCTGCACAAAAACAAAATAACAAATGTTACATTTACAACGATTCACAAATTTGATGGCAATACAACATTAAAAATTTACTGACTTACTGGCGAATATAATCATTTGCCCATGAACTGTTACATTGAGGAACTTTACGAAGAGCCAAAGCAGCAGCCTGAAACAGAAAGGACAAGCATAAAATTTAGTTTTTTTTTTTTTTTTTTTTTGGCTACAATGTTAGCACTTAGGTTTGAAACTATGTCTTCATGCAAACTACCCAGGCCCTTATATTAAACCTAATTAATATGTACGTCTTCAACCTCTCCAACATAGAACTGGTGGATTAAGCCACAAAAGGTCTCTTTGGTTTATGATGAGTTTTGAGCAATGATTGCAACTTGGATAACTGAATAGCTCCTCTCAAAATTGAGGGGTGATGAAGGAACAATATTTAGATCAATTTCACAACATTGCATTCTGTGTCTTGACAACCAATAAGAAACTTAGAATGGATTGTGCCTAACTCAGCCCCTAAAAACAAACTCAAGGAAGAGGATTATCCAAGAGATTATATGGAGTACTTCAGCCATATACTTGGCTGATGTGGGATCTTAACACCCATCTCTCATGCCTAGGACTAGACATATGTAGGTGACTCAATATTAAGGCTAAGTAGACTACGATATCATATTAGAATAAAAAATGGATTGGGCCAGACTTAACCTAAAAACCTAGTTCAAGAATGAAGGATTGTCTAAGGAATACTTAGGCCATGTATGTTGATGTGAGATCTAAACAATAACCATTTCCCAATTAAAGACCTAGCCTTTTGTTTACAATGCACACTCAATTTAATGTGTAATGCTCTTTGAATTGTTTTAACCTGAACTTCATTAAGTTCTCTGATTTCATAAGTTGTTAGACAAAGGGATTTAAAAGAGTCAGTGTTCTATAATGTGGCCAAAAAGAGACAACTGAGGTCCCGAAGTGGAAAATCTGTCAAAGCAACACTTTGACATTTTGTTCTAAGCTAACAACAAACAAATGAAAAGTAATTTCATATGATCTAAAGCTCTATGACGTCCTTCTCCATTTATTGAGCACCTAGTGACCAGCCAAAACACAATAAAAGGAAGACAATCTGCAAATTACAAGAATATATATCTTGGTCAGAGAAAAATCCAATACCTTGATTACAAGGTCATTAACTGATATGCGGGGCCCACCAGAGGCTTCTTGCAATGAATTGAGTTTGGTCCGCAAACTGCAGACAAGGAGTTCCACTTATCAGAAATGATCTCTATCACAGGTAAACTTTTTGAATATTGATAATAAAGAAACTCACCTCATGAGTTTGTCAACACATGTATCTACTGTTAAATAGTAATGAGGAATAGTTTGTTTTGATAATAATAGCCGCGAAGCCGTGATCTGTAAAATATGTATAGTTATTTCTAAAAATATATAAAAAGAATCACTTATGCTTAAACAAGATATGTTAAGATCAGAACATTACACAGACGTGTTCATGCAGAAGGAGAAAATAAAACATGCTGGTAATTAAGAGCAAAAGTAACAAGCATACAAAACTTTTATTCACATGATATTGAGAACACCATATGTGACATGAGTCCTAACTTCTAAAAATGGTCTTTGATTGATGCCTGGAACACAAGTATCATCTAATAGTTTCAGAAACATTACATTTCAAGACTTGTTTAATAAATTACCTTTCTTATCTGAGAGACAGGAATGTCAGCATAATCCAATGCTGCATCTGTTGCAACCTTGGCCTTCGAGGGTGCTGAACCTTCTTTAACACCAGAAGCTGCATCAGAATTCATTCAATCAGCCATGTATGACAGTGAACAGGATATCCTAAAGCAAGCAAGCCAAAAAGGTATTCTCTAGCATAACAACAAAGCATTTGTTCCAGTATGATACGTACAAAACACAGTCAGGCTGACAAACAAACAGAAAGATAGAATTGAATTATACCCAAGAAATCATCAATGTCAACCTTGACAATGAGCCCTTCATGTCCTGTTCCTTTGATGCTAGAGAGAGGTACCTACATTGATGAGAGAAACAGATAATGTAACGTTATAAAAATAGCTTAATTAAGTTCTTTTACAGAAAGAACTTCAACCATCTATTTTAGTATTAATAACTTACATTTTTCTCTTCAGCCAACTTTCTAGCTAGAGGACTAGCAAATATGCGATCTCCAGATGAAGCTGGTGCACTAGATTTGGAAACCTTTGGCTCAGGTTCTCTAGCTGGCTCCTCTACCACCTCTTTCTTTGGTGGAGGTGGGGCAGATGTTTCTTTGGCAGGGGAAGCACTCGGTTCTGTTGCTGAAGGTTGGAAGTCTTTAAACTTAGCTATGTCCTCCTCATCTTCAACAGTAACGGCAATTACCTATGAAAGAAAAACTTCATGTTACTAACACTGATTCCTTTTATGTGTTGTAGTTTGTAGTGTAAAGCAAAAAATATTCTTTTCTTTGTAAATTCAAACTGCGGAATAATAAATAAAAAGTCCTTTCCAAAGAAGAGAGATGGGGGAAGGGGAGCATAAGAAGATATCAATACCTCACCAACTTTAATTTCTTTTGCCCCATCCCCCCGGATTATCTTGGCCAAATAACCTTCCTCCATGCATTCCATCTCAACAGTGGCTTTATCCTTCATATGAAATACATTCAGATGTCAATGTTCACATAAGAATATTAATAGTGATATTTTACATGCCAAATCTATCTCTGGTGCAAGAACCATACAGTTTCAACTTCACAGAGCACTTCACCAGGAGAGATTTTATCACCTTCTTTCTTCAACCATCTTGCAATGTTACCCTGCATATCATTGGGAATCAGTAAGGAGAAACCATGATCTAC